GAACTGCAGGTGTCCCATGGTTGACTGGGGTTATGAGGTGGCTTAAGGAGTCGGGGTGGGGGTGTATGCGGGAGATTCGGAGCTTGGAGCATGCTCTTCACTTTATGGACTTATACTTTGTGTGAGGTCGGACGGTATGAAGTACTAGGGTGGGAGAGTAGTGGGGACATGCAGATACTTGCTTCTGCGCTATACTATGGAAAGTGTGCGTATAATTACATCCGTTGGTGATTAGAAATTTGTGTACTCTGATGAAGAGTGTAGATTTATGTCGAAAGATGGCTGGGATAGTAGTTAGGATATTGCTTGTCGAATGATATTGAAGTTTGCTCATTGTGCAACGTTAGGCATACTCACATCGTAGTATATACAGATTGCATTCGCCAGCATGAATTCGGAGTATTACACAATGCTAGAGGGTGTGTCAAGTCTCGAGATGAGCAGGAACATTTTAGGGTAGTAGTTAATGAATAAGAAGCCAAGTAGATGCTCACCAACAACAAGCACACTATATGCAGGCACAGCCTGTCAATACTGTCCCTCGTGACCGCCCACTTGACCGCTAAAGGCGGCAGAACCTAGTGAACCTCGATCAAAAGCCCGCGGATTTAAGCGGATTTAAGGCATTCCAGAATCCAAATGGTCACCGTGGATTCTGTATGTTTTTGACCGCCTTTTGAATTCTGCCGTTTGGGGTGCCAGCGCCTTTGGTTTTATCTTATACTGTCTAGTTTAGCACGATTAAGCTAGAAGAATGAACTTTATTAAGGTTTCCAGCCCCCCCAAAAAATAAAGAAAAAATGATATTATACCATCAAGCTGCAGTTGGTATATACTTTAGTATGAATTTTTGATAGTATATGTAAAAACTTGCTCAATTGCCCAGCATCCCACTACCACTAATTGTCTCGGCAGAGACCCCCAAGGTCCTCGAAAGACAGCACAGGAGAGTTTCCCAATCTCTCCTACCAATCAAGTACAGTGCATTCCGTACGATATTTGGGATGTGGATAATGGATTGAGCAAATCATAGATAGATGAGAAATAGAGATGCTTAGCTGCACATCGCATCGATGAGCCATACAATAAAATAAATGGTACCGACATCATGCTGTCCGAAGCGATTGGCGCAATCAACCGAGCCAAGAAGGCCAAGACAGCAGCGCGTCACACATATAAAGCAGATGAACATCCAGTATGTGAGAAGAATAGAGTTCGTCACCCCGCCATGGGTAATATTCAAGATGAAAAGCGACAGACAGTCGTTCAGGTTCTTGCGGATGGTGTGAGCGATGAAGCCGAGTTTGCGCAGGAGTTCACTCGAAAGGAACATGCGCTGGGGTTCTGGGAAGCCATGCAACGGCACTGGCCGGCTGTGGCTTGGGCGTCGTTCATGAACCTGGTAGGAAATTACTATATTTGTTCGGTTGAAGAGCAGCTGTTAACTTGCCATAGGCGACCATTTTGAAAGGCATTGTAGGTTATCCTCCATGTGAAGTGAGATGTAGCCCTAACTGGTATAGGATGGCGGTATTGTCAAAGGTCTAGTCGGTCTCGATGTCTTCAAAAAGACATACGGCTACAACTACCATGGGGAATACGTCTTAGCTGCTCAGTGGATCTCCGCCTTCCAATACGCCAATTTACTAGGAGCCATCGTGGGCGCCCTCTGCTCGGGCTTTGCTTACGATCGCTTCGGTCCACGAGTGATGATAGCTGTGTGTTCGTGTCTGTCCATCGCATTCATCTTCGTGCAGTTTTTCAGTCATACGCCAGCCCAGTTGTTTGCGGGCGAGCTCATAAATGGGTGTATCATCGCATTTTACCCCATTTGTGCCTCCGCGTACGTGGGTGAGGTGACTCCGCTAGCACTCCGCGGGTTCGCGGCTACAATGACCAACCTTGCCTTTTCGATCGGGTCGCTCATCGCATCGGGCATCCTAAAAGGCACGGAGTCGCTGAACACCACCATGTCGTACAAAATCCCCATCGCGACGCAGTGGGCGCTACCATGCATCATGCTGGCGCTGATTCTCTTCTGCCCTGATCCACCATACTGGTTGTGTCGGCATGGGCGCAACGAAGCGGCACTAGCATCATTGCGGCGTCTAGCAACTCCAGGTGTAGATGTGTCGCGGCAACTATCCCATATCGAAGAGACACTGCGTCTAGAAGCCAGTTTCCAGGCCGACCGACCGACATACCGGGAATGTCTGCGTGGGCCAAACCTCCGCCGCCTGCTGATCTGCGTGATGGCTTACAACATGCAAGCCTTCACGGGAAATGTCTTCTTCATCAACTACGCCGTGCATTTTATGGAGCTGGCGGGCTTGGACTCGTCAAATGCATTTTCGATGAACATCGGACTGACGGCGCTGGGACTTGTCGGAACATGTCTATCGTGGCTATTACTGCCCTATGTGGGCCGCCGAACGATGTACATCTTCGGGTGCTCCGCTTTGGCGGTGGTACAGTGCCTGATCGGTGTGCTCGACGTCGTCCCACGAGACAATGCCACGGTATGGGGACAGTGTGGGCTCATGTTGGCCTGCACGTTCGTGTATGATCTCAGTCTCGGGCCATTCTGCTACGTGCTGCTGGCGGAAGTCTCATCGGCGAGACTGCGGGGACTGACCATCGCGCTGGCCACAGTCAGCTGCTTTGTGTGGTCGGTAGTGTTCGCAGTAGTGATACCGTATGCGATGAACGAAGACGAGGGGAACTGGCGGGGCAAGATGGGATTTTTATTTGCGGGGTTGGGCGCACTGTGTGCAGGTTATTGCTTCTGGTGGATGCCAGAGACGCAAGGAAAGACGTTTGAGGAATTGGATGTGCTATTTGAGAAGGGCGTTCCCAGTCGAAAGTTCAAACATTGTGTGGTTGAGATGCAGTAAATAGAAGTCAATACTGTCGATGCCGAAGACCGAATCTATCCTACCAAAAGATTGACAGCTTATGCTGACTAATACCGGGGTTAATGGAGATAGATAACCTAACAGCAAATCCATTGAATCAACCTCAACATCCTCCACTGCCGAGGTATCTGGATGATTTTCTTCAGTCTCAATACATCTTCTATTTCTGCTTGATAAGCATCGGTTGCCGAATACTAATCAGTTTCACCGTCTGCATTGAATCCCCCACTTGTCCCCTTATCCCGAGGCCCGTAGCATAACTCGAGTCTCGACACCGTAGTCCCCGCCGAGTGGAAACTTTCCGGCTTCCATTCCTGATTCTAAGTTCGCTCCGCCAGTATGACATAACTAACCCTTCACGGAGATGCGTTTCCGTCGAGTGTAGCCTATCGGAGGGGTACCTTTACACAGTAAGAACTGAATTTGAAAGGGTTCGTTTGTTTGAAACCATCTCCCACTCACTCTTTGGGGGGGAAAAAAAAATTCTAACTTGCCGAGCAGGACTCGTCGTTCACATCCTGCCCGGTTGATGCCCCGAACAAGCATATCCCCCGATTGCCTCATCACCGGCACGGTCCACCAGAGCCGTGGTTCAACGGAGCTCCTGCACCAATCTGCCCGTTGTCCCGGTCGAAAACCCACCCACACCAGCCTGTTTCTGGCAAGAGCCTAGGTAACTCAAAAAAAAGACATTCCTCGTCTCGAGAAGCTTCTGCTTGCTTAGGGGGCAATACAGTAGAAATCACCATGGTGCTTTGTAATCGACATTCCACCCGCCATGATCCGCAGGAAATATAAACCCTACGTCAGACCCTTATTCCATTCATAGCATCTCAAAACACATTCAAGTGAAATATACACACACCATAATCACCATGTCCAACCAAAGCCTCGTCTTCAAGCAAGTCCCCACCGGCTACTTCGTCCCCGGCCAGGACGTCGTCATCGAGCAGGCCTCGTACGACGCCTCCGCCCCGGCCCCGGAGGGTGGCATCTTCGTGCAATCCCTCTATGCCAGCTTCGATCCCTACATGCGCGGCCGCATGCGCCCCGCCCACATCAAGTCCTACTCCCCCGCCTTCACCCTCAACGCTCCCATCGACAGCAGCATCATCGGCAAGGTCCTCCGCTCCAACACCCCCGCCTACAAGGAGGGCGACCTGATCATCGGCTTCCTCCCTATCCAGCAGTACATCTCCGTCGCCGCTGACCAGCTGGTTCGCGTCCGCGCCCTCGAGAACCCCCTCGGCATCGAGGACCTCCGCGTCTTCATCGGCGCCCTCGGCATGCCCGGTCTGACTGCCTACTCTTCCCTCTACGAGATCGGCAAGCCCAAGAAGGGCGAGACCATCTTCGTCTCCGCTGCCAGTGGCGCTGTCGGCCAGCTGGTCGGCCAGCTCGCCAAGCATGAGGGTCTGAAGGTCATTGGATCCGTCGGATCGGACGAGAAGCTCGACTTCATCATCAAGGAGCTTGGCTTCGACGGTGGTTTCAACTACAAGACTGAGAAGCCGGCTGATGCGCTGGCCCGTCTGGCCCCCCAGGGTCTGGATATCTACTACGAGAATGTTGGTGGTGAGCACCTTGAGGCTGCGCTGAACGCGATGAACGATTTCGGTCGTATCGTCGTGTGCGGTATGATCTCGCAGTACAATGGCGGTGGTTACCCGATTAAGAACATCACCAATGTGCTGACCAAGCGTCTGGATATGCGTGGTTTCATTGTCGGTGACAAGGGTATGGGTGATAAGTATACTAAGGAGCATCAGGAGAAGGTGCAGAAGTGGATCAAGGAGGGCACTTTCAAGACTTTGATTCATGAGACTCAGGGTATTGAGAATGCGCCCGAGGGTTTGTTGGGTATTTTCCACGGAAAGAACCTGGGTAAGGCTGTTCTTAAGTTCTAGATGCAGCTTGCAGCTATGCAGCTATGATATAGATATGGTATAGATAATAATGAACATTCACAATTTCATAACTAAGAACTGATCTAGTATTTGGTCTTGGTATAAATAAAGTGCTGACACCACGTGGGATCCACTAGTTAGTCACTACTCCGACCCTTGGTCCTTGCCAGAACTATTCTCATCTTTGGTGGTCTATACTAACACACACTTAACACACCTGATCATCATCATCATCATCCTACCCAACCCTCTCCTCCACACTACCCCCCTTCTCTCCATCACCATTACCATCTTCCCTCCCCTCCACACTTTCCACCCTCCCGCCATCCCTCTCTCCCTCCACACCCCTCCTCTTCCTCTCCACCATCCACGCCACCAACAGCCCCCCAAATAAATCCCCCCAACCACCCCCGCCACAACCGCATACCCAACGACCGCCCCCACCGGCGCCATCCCCATACCCCTGGCAACATGAATCCCAATGCCCCCATTAACCACTCCCACCACAATAACCACCCTCCCAAGCCACCTATGACAAACCCCCCACACCGTCCTACCCCCTGTCCTCACATACCCAAAATGCTGCAACCAGCCCATAGCCGGCTGGAACAGCACCAACACCCCGACGACAATAATCCCGAGGATCGGGTGCGCCGTGCGCAACTGCCCCGTCTCATAGGCAAGGTAGATGCCGCATCCGAAGCCCGCGAGGGTCATAAGCATAGTGAAGAACTGGAGGGGCATATGCAGTCTGAATTTTGAGATGGGGAGGGAGATGGGCAGGGGCATGAGCAGGGCGGAGAGCGGGTAGAACAGCACGAAGGAGAGGGCCATGAGGGTTGCGTGGGAGATGAGGATATGGGTCATTTTGGTGAGGTTTGGAAGCGGGGAGGAGGTTGTGGATGGGTTGGTGGTAGGGGATTGGGCGGGGATGGAGTCGGTGAGTGGGTTGTAGTTGGCGAAGGGGTTTGTGGTGTTGCTGCTGCTGCTGCTGCTGCTGCTGCTACTACTACTACTGTCTGGGGATGTGGTGTCGTTGGGTTGAGGTGGCATACCGGCCCGAGTGAGATCGACTTGGATACCGCCCATGTCGTCGTGGATGGAGATGTCGGCGTCCATGGCGGCGGAGTTGATGGGTACGCCGGCGCGGTAGGCCCAGATGAAGGGGAAGTTGGTGTCCTTGGGGTTCATGGTGCCGGTGCCGTCTTGCCAGGTGAGACAGTTGTCGCAGCGGAAGTTGGCTGTCATGGTTGTTCTGGTGTTATCGGAGGAGGGGGAGCTGCTGTTGGTGAGGGCGGCGGTGGTGGAGTTGATGGTGGAGATGCCGGTGCCTGGGAGCATGGTGATTTGGGTGTTGCTTGTGTATTGGGGTTCGAAGTGGCCCAGGCCGGAGCGCGGGGAGAGGGTGATTTTGGTCGAGGACGAGGTGTATAGGACGAACATGTTAGCGCCGGTCATTTGGGCGCCTTGGCCTAGGCCGACCCATTGGATGGAGGTTGGGGCCGTGATTTGGACGTAGATTGGGCCTGGGGTGGAGAGGGTGGTGGTGTTGGGGATGGTGAGGCTGTAGATGATGTCCGGATTGGTTGGGGGGGAGAAGGAGATGATGCTTGCGTGGGCTGGTATTCGGCTTGGTTAGTATGGGTAGAGGTGGTAGGTGGTAAAGGGAAGGGAGGGGAGGTACCTAGCCCTAAGGCTATGGGGAGGAGGTTGAGCCACTTCATGGTGATGTTACTTGGGATAGTGGTGGGAAGAGGATCAGGCAGGCCTACTTACCAGACTAGAGTCTGGTAAAGAGGATATATACTGTCCTGGCGGTCAACGTGTCTCTAACTGAAGCTACCTGCTAGGGTCATGCATGTAGAGACAGACATGTTCCATTGCAACGACGTTGGAACGTTGATAGATACTTGTTTCTGTATCTCCCCCTTGCATCGCCCTTGCAGGGCTTGATTCTCCGCCAAGCTGACGGCTCGAAAATGGTAGCTGTCATGGTGGAAAACTAAGGTTCAATAGACGTGGATCATCCCGATGGCATTGGGCTGGAATGGTGCTGTTGGAGCAGTCGGGACTCGGGAGATACTAAGCCACTATGTGACATGGAGCTGGAGGGAGCCAAAAAGGGACGTGAGGGATCAGCGAGGGGGTCCCTTGCAGGGGTGGTATGTGAGAAACTTCGGTGATATATCCATGACAGAGTGGGATGGTTTGGTGAGTCTATCTCAACAATATATAAATAGGATACTAGTTAGCATCTGAATGTTAATTTGTCAAGTATCATAGAAAGACAACTAAACACCGCATAGCACAGTATTAGCCCATCTCTCCCGATCTCAGCATCTCAGCTACTATTCTCCGAATTCAGTATGACTGCTCTATACCCCTGCAGACCCAAGAATGCGCCGACGCACGATCCCCGCACCCCAGACTCCCCCTGCACCAGTGAGCAGTAAGTAAGTTGGCAATTAGTTGACATTTACCTATCTAGGAGTTAGTTGCTACTCCCACCCCGAATCACCCCATACAAACACCAAAAAGATACTTAGTACTATCGGCATCTACACAGCCGACCACCCGCACCCGCACCCACTCGGCAACCAATCTCGGGTCGGGCGGATAAACGGTCCATCCCAAACTCACTCCAACATAACAATAATACTACTAAAGTGCTCCCATCCCCACCCCACCACCCTTCCCTCCATCCACATTAACCAACTTATGTTTATCATCCCCAAACCCCGACCCAAACACTTCCCTTTTAAACTGTAAGCCGATACCTCCCCTCTCTTCTCATCCTACAACAAAGCTAACAACATCACCAATAGTCCCTCAAATCCCTCACGAAAAATGCGTCTCCCCTACGCCCCCTCCACCCCCCCGGACCCCACCGACCTCCCCACCACCGAAATCTACTCCCGCATCGCCGCCCGCCGGCATCCCCGCCCCCTCATCCCCCTCGACCTCTCCCTGCTTCATTCCCCCCCGGTCGCCGACGGCTGGAACAGCTTCCTCGGCGCGATCCGCACTCAGACCATCATTGACGGCGGATTACTCGAGCTGGCGGTGTGTCGCGTCGCCGTGCTGACAAATGCCATTTACGAGTGGAATGCGCATGCGCCGTTGGCGCTGAAGGGGGGCATTAAGGGGGTGGAGTTGGGTGCGGTGCGGACACTTCCCTCTCTGGCCGAGGGAGATGCGAAGGCGGAGGAGGAATTGAAGGGAAGTCAATTGACGGATCTGCAGAAGGCCGTGGTGCGGTATGTGGATGAGATGACGCGGACGGTGAAAGTGCAGGATAGTACATTTGAGAGGTTGAAGGAGGTGGGGTTGTCGGATCGGGAGATTGTCGAGTTGACGACGGGCGTGGCGGGGTATAACTGTGTGAGTCGGGTGTTGGTTGCGCTGGATGTGGGGGAGAATAATGGGAGGGAGATGAGGAGTGTGGATGATTTGGTTGCTGATCTTGAGAGGAAGTGATCTAGTATCGTCTATCTAGTATATAATGGGTGTATATAGTGGGAGGGGTGATAAGGGTATCAGATGCTGGAATTGTACGGGAGGTGCAAGGTAGCTAGCTACGCCTAGTATATATACCTAAAGTGGATATTCTCTCGGTCTGTCCTGTCCTCGAACGCCCTCGCTAGATGGTCCTCGCCCTCTAGGGATATACCCATCTCTGCCATTGCCTTGTCCTTCTTCTTGTTCTCTCGGATCAGGTAGAAGCGCAGGAAGATCACCGCCAGTGTCATGGCGGAGTAACAGCCGAGGTGCACGCCAAAGGCAGTGAAGTACCGCGGGGCGTCGCGGTCGAGGAATACTTGGGGGCCTATTTCATTAGTATGACTCTGGGGAAGATAGACGCGTGGTGTAGGGCCTACCGATGGCGTTCCCGACGGCCCATGAGACAAACGTCGCGGCCACAACAGTTGACTTCTTAGTAGCGCCGGCAATGTTTCTCGTCACCATGGACAAGCCCAAGTTCTGCGCAGACCAGAACGATAGCGTGATGTAGTAGCTGATGAGCAGGCCAACTTTGGTGCTAAGGGAGTGGTTCTGCACCGTCATGAGGACGATGGTTCCGACGAAGGATCTGCATCTTGTTAACATCACTCACGCATTTTAGATACAATAAGAGAGGGAGGCTCACGGAATAATAAATCCCAACATTACCAGCAAGTTCTGCTGATATTTCTTGACCAACCACGCACTGGTCAACAACACAATGATGATGTAAAAGCCCAGAACCATCGCCAACAACTGCGTCTGCAACTCCGTAAAGTTAAACCCACTAATAATGATGTTCGCAAACGCTCCTAGCCCACTCGTGGGCAGCGTGGTAAAGACCTGAATCGCGCAGTAGCAGTACATCTGCGGATCCCGGAACGCTTCCCACATCTGGTACGCGCGGAACTTCTTATTCTGCAGTCCTGTCTGGTTGGCGCGCACACGCTCAACCATCTTGTGCTTGTCCTCTTCGGTAAAGCACTTGGCGCGCATTGGGGAGTCAGGCATCCACCAGACCACGAAGAGGCCCCAGAGCACGGAAATGCAGCCGTAGGTGAGGAAGAGGGCTTGCCAAGATTTGAGGGCACGGTCAGACCCAATCAGACTGAAGCAATAGGCTAGGAGGCCACCGACGATTTGTTGGCCGCCATTCATCATGTACCTGTTGCCATGTGTTAGTGTGTGTAGATGAAAGGTGTAGGCTGGGATTACCAGAAGGTGACGGTAGAAGCTTGTTCTTCCCGCTTATACCACATTCCGGAAAGAACAACAAAGGAAGGCTGGCAGGCAGCTTCGAAGATACCAAGCAGAGTACGCACGGTAACTAGACCGGCGAAGTTATGGCATACCGAGTGCAAGGCTAGAATCGTACCCCAGCAGACGATATTGAAGCCAAGGTATTTGGCGATGCGGACGCGTTGGATGATCCAGTTGGTAGGGTATTCGACGATCAGAACGGCGATGTAGATGCAGGTTGTGAGCCAGGAGTACTATCCAGTTAGTGCATGAACGTGTGCAGGTATAGGCTCACTCACCTCCTGTCCCACAAGATGAGCATCGTTGCGAATGCCCATAATGGAAGCAAACGACATGGTACCCTTATCCAGCGCCTGCAGAAAATATGTCACGATCATAATGACCAACACACGACGATCAATCATGCGGCGAAGACGCCGACTATCGGCTTCATCGACCTCGATCTGGCCGCGCGTGGCATACTCCAGCACCTCATTATCGACGCGAGCAGCATCGATCGGGTCCTTGAGTTTGTCGGTGGGCGACAGCACCCGCTCGACATGGGAGACATCTTGAGTCGGCTTGTGATCCTCCACAGCTGTGGAAGCTCCCTTGGAGTCAGGCCCGCCCGCGGGCATCGAGCTAATATTCTCCATAGACATGTTGCTGCCAGACCTCTAGGGTTGGAGAGGATCAACTGGGTCAACCCAGCTGGGGGACCGGACACCCTTATATCGGTCATGCGGATGATAGAGTCTGACTAGGGCACGAGTGGCTGCTCCGTGGCTACATTATCACTCCAATGAGAGGCATGATGGTCTGATGCCAGGGATGGCTGCGGGCTGGGATTCTCCACGCGTACAATCCGGGGGCGGACCCTGCCGCCCCCGCGCGGGGACAATTGGCCCGAGCCCTTCGCTTAGAAGCAATTCAGGGCCTATCCTTAGTTTAGCATCTTAAACGACCAATCCCTCTATTTGCCGAGCGAGCTTGGCCTGATTAAGACGTGGCTACTCGGCAGAAATTAGCCCGAGGGCATACCCCGCATTGCTGCTTCAGCTCGACACGAGGGGTGCTTCATCCCACTTATAGACACTGGTCTCACCATACTGCAGCACAATCAACCACCCCATCAGCAATTCTCCTCAATTCCACATCTCCCACCATGGCTTCTACAACTCCTCCCGCTGTCAGGTCCAAGATTGACCTCCTCATCACCAACCTCGTCAACATCCAAGACAAAACCGGTCAATTCCTCCTCCCCCTCGCCGATGGCCGCATCATCGATACTAAGTCCTGGCACGGCTGGGAGTGGACACACGGTATCGGCCTCTATGGTATTTGGAAATACTACGAGATGACCGGCTCCCCACACCTCCTGCAGATAATCGAGGATTGGTTCGCCGCCCGTTTCGCAGAAGGCGGCACCACCAAGAACATCAACACAATGGCCGTCTTCCTCACACTTGCCTACGTTTACGAGAAGACGCAAAACCCCATTTATCTTCCCTGGCTGGATTCATGGGCCGAGTGGGCCATGCATGAACTCCCACGCACTAAGCAGGGTGGAATGCAGCATGCTACGTACCTCACCGAGAATTACCAGCAATTGTGGGATGATACGTTGATGATGACTGTGATGCCGTTGGCGAAGATTGGAAAGTTGCTGAATCGACCGGAGTATGTAGAGGAGGCCAAGCGTCAGACGTTAGTGCACGTAAAGTACTTGGTGGATACGAGCACCGGTCTGTGGTTTCATGGGTGGACGTTTGAGGAGGGAGGACATAACTTTGCTCGGGCGAGGTGGGCGCGCGGTAATAGTTGGGTGACGATGGTCATCCCGGAGTTTGTTGAGTTGTTGGAATTGAAGGAGACGGATCCCATTCGCCTGTTCTTGTTGGATACGTTAGAGGCCCAATGCGAGGCATTGATGGGCCTGCAGGAGGAATCGGGCTTTTGGCACACTCTGCTTGACCATCCTGATTCGTACGTCGAGGCTTCCGCCACGGCAGGCTTTGCATATGGTATCCTCAAAGCTGTTAGGAAAAGGTATCTGCCAAAGAAGTATCGGGTAGTTGCAGAGAAGGCTATTCAAGCAGTGTTGGGCGCCGTCGATGAGACAGGAGAACTGCAGCAGACGAGCTTTGGAACCGGCATGGGAGATTCTTTGGACTTCTATAAGAACATTCCTTTGACAGCCATGCCATATGGACAGGCCATGGCTATAATGGCGCTGGGCGAGTACCTCCGGGGATATCTGTAGGAATGTACCATCCTTTTCCGCTTTTTAGATAGCATATAGAGCATGGCATCAACTTTTGGTTCAGTTAAAATGTGATTGATTTGACACAAGCTAGTAAATCGTGCGCTTGCGCCCATCATCCTGCACTAAATAATGCTGGTGCAATGGCTTGCACTCATTGGACCGACGTAGCGCAGGCCCTAGGAGTCATAAAACAAATGTTGTATTAGTCTATGGTTCCGAGCACTGCACTGGTCCAGAAAAATTGAGTTACATGGGAAAGAGATTGGGATAATGTAAGTAATTTATTAGTCAGTAATCTTCACACAGCCGCTCTGCCTCGGCGTGATAGCTAGTAAAATTCGGCCTTGATCTATTCTTGCCAGCACAATTCAGCGCATCGATATGATCCAATCTGATTGACACAAAGGTCAAAGGGAGTGGTGAGGCTAGGCCTAAATTTAAGGCTAGCGCTAGAAGACAAGGACCATTCCAGCCTTGGATGACAACCTGATGCTAGTGCTAGTCTAGATAATATTCCTTTAGTGTTTTTGCTCTTCTTCGTAATGTCTAACCCACGAGGCCCCGCGGCTAGGAAGAATCAAATGGCTGCAATCACGCGTTATAATGAGAGCTGGCACTGAAGAAGCGGGGGTATTCAAGTACAGCCGACTCAACATAATAGCGCAGCGCTAAATTTTCTCAGATAATGGAATTGCTCGAGCCTTGCTCAGGAGGCTTTATAAAGCCTATAAAAGCTGCTCTAAATTTGAATAGAACTTCCTTGTTCTAAAGTCTGCTTCTCTGATCATCAGATCTTTATATTGTCTTATGTATTCTCATCAAGCCTCTAAAACTTCACCAAAAGACACATTCCTATCATTCCAGAAACCTTCATTTCATACACATTATTATGCCTTAGAGGATGATGTGTCCAGTCACTAACACCTCCAGAATTGCCTACACCGCCAGCTGATTCAATGAAGAAGAAATACTACTCCAGTAGTAATAAGGTCTATTACTACTTACCAGGAGGTCCGTATCCCTGTCCCTCCTTAGAAAGCTTAATAGCTAACCGGACTAGAGGATGAGTGGCACACGGGCGTGATCGATAAGGCAACATCCAGCACTCATTTGCATCTGGTAAGCAGCATATCCCTTAAATGAGCTTAACGCTTACCTCGGAGACTCGGTCATAGATGATGAGACTGGAAAGATCTACAACGTGAAGGCGGAGTATATTCGCCTCCGTCTCTGAGTACTCGGTTAGGAAATGTTTCCCCAGTCTTTCTTGAATTCCAAGATCCACTTCCACAACTTGGAATCAGTGACAAAGAGCTCTCCGGTTTTTCGGAGGCGTTGTTGATGAAATGGCGTGTATTGGCAACCCCACTGTGAAATCAATGTTAGCTTCCTCGCAATTGTATCTCTGAAAACGTCATCCCGGAAGTAGTTGGACTCTGCCTTCTTGAGCTTCTCCAAAGGCTGGTCCTCTAGTCGGACGTCATTGTAGAGCTCAATATAGCTAGGGGACGATCGCCTTTCGGCAAAGTAAGATCCGATGTCTTTGCTGTGGCCGTAGGTATGTTCCCATAGGGCCGTAAAAAGACCGTGGTCGTCAATCGAATCAAAATTAAGAAACCGGGTCAACAGCCACGAGCACCTGCCCTCTTTCACAAGTTCAAGGGCGGCCTTAATGCTTTCTGTCCGTTGATCACACGTGTCTCCTATGATGGCAGTTTCGAATCCATCTTGGAAGGCAAGGCGGAGGCTCTTATCCAACTCGTAGCGCGACTGCGGCAGGCCGGGGGGTGTCAACAGCAGGGCTTCTGGGACAGTTGTTGAAAATGCCCAGTCGATGATACATGTGATATTGAAATCATCGTCGACGTATATATTATTCACGCTTAAATCCGCATGACATAGTGGAAACAAATGCGAGTCGGTGTTAGGTAATTGCGACCTCCATGCTGGTATAAGCTCTCGGAGTGCGTGTGCAGCCACTATGTAATCGAGTCTGTTGTCAGATGAGTCGAGCTTTTTCCCAACAGTGACGAAGTCATTCCACAGATCACAGGCTTCAAGGTACTGATCGTGTGATTCATAGTCTTCACGGCTAGGAATAGGGGCAGTAAAGCAGTGATGAGAAAGCTGTAAAACTTCTGCATGTTTGCATGTTGGTTCAATATAGCTATTAGGCTATCGAAAAACTGTTCCTCAGAAATAAATGGCCCTCGGGCAACACCTTCTAGTGAATAACGGTCGTGCAGTATATGACCACGGGAGAGACATTCTTCGACTGGAACAAGCCCATCTCGCTCGAAGAGTGAGCCGATCCGACTGAACCGTAACTGTGAGAGCTTATAAGTTGTCTCTCCTAGTTGACGAAGCACTTTGGCTTTCAACGATGCAGCCAATACTGGTTTGTCGGACTCTGGGTTTTTCCAGGCTTTTTCAAGGGGCCAGCCGGACGCCTTGCTCATCAATATGAATGGTATGCCGATTTCATTTTCGGCATTGGCCCTTCCAAAATCAGCGTGTAATAGATAAGGTGGAAAACACAACTTACCTGTAAAGGTGTACAGTGGGCACTGGAATGTCACTATTTTGTTGTACATATTTCATGGTAGCGGCTTCACTTTCAAGCAATTTCGAGCTAAGCTCCATCGATAACTCGGCGCCATTCGTATGTGGCGACCGCAGGACCCACTGAACTCCATCTTCGAAGGTAAGGAAAACGGCCCAATTAAAGCTGCCGCTCGCGGGATGTTGGTCGGGGTTACAAGTGCATGCAATATCCTGTCGAAGGCTGCTTGCAGTCCGGCAAAGAGCCTGTACATCAAATTTGGCATACAGAAATATGGGAGGCCTCTTGTCGGATGGCATGATGGAATCCAAGACTTCGCACGTTCCTGTGGAGTATGGATCTGCAAGTAGTGCCAGCTTCGCTATAAATAGCAGGGCAGACCGATGATGGAAAAAGGATGTGTTGTGATCAGCCTACAACATGATACAGTGTAGCCCTCCAAAGTGATTTTGAAGCAAACGATGGCTATAGCTTGACAAGCCGTAGGTAGACGGGTCTGGAAAGTGTTCCTGGGGTAGTGCTAGTAACACCGGGAAGTGAGCCCAACCACGGGAAACCGCACAACAGCAGGCCGTAAATGGCGAACACAGGGAAGTAATATCTTCAAAATATATGATTTCTCGCAGATTTCGGAGGACTGAGATGTACTTTACTATTCACAGAAGCAAAGGAGAGGAACACTGGTAGTCATTCCCTTGCTTCCCACACGGCGCTTACGGAGTGCGGATTAATTATATTCCGGGGTGCAGGCCAGTTCCGTTAGGTTAGAATTGAACAATGCCCCATTTGATGGATTCTGTGGACCCCACGGATTAGTATACAAGCATAAGGGGTGAGCTTGAAGCTTTGCAGTAGGAGAGTACATGTATTGATGAAATCTTTATCTACAAGCATGGTCCTAATTAGTAATTTTATAATTACTCTCCCTTATCTATCAGAGTACCTGGATTCTCTACATTATGGAAAGTGACATTATATACACAATTATTATATGAAATTTCAGAAGCATGATCCGGTATTCTCCCACATGCTGTCTAGAGATCTCTGGCTTCTTATTCCCCACGCCTCAAGCCAGTTGTTATAAGTACAACCAGCCAGGGGAGACCTGCAGTTATAGTATAAGCCAATTGTAAACAATCAAACATACTTTTCAATGCTCCTCAATATTGTTAGACACATTCTTCAAGACCTTGTAATATAGATAACTACTATACTAGAGCTAGATACTGGTCATTATAGTTATTTTGGGAATATTAAAAACATTCCTACTGATGTATAATGAACGAATGAGACACTAGGACCTTTGTCATGTTTATCGTTGAAGATATGCAGAGTCGGTATCGAGGATGTTCAGACGTGCTAAATAGTGGGGAAGGTAAGGTCGGAGTCCCTTCTTTGCAGATGCTACAATGATGATCCTGTGGGTGTACTCTATCAAGGCTTTTGATATAATACTCAGCTACATCTCTCCCAGTCATCAGTAGGTTAAACTGGTCCGAGTCAATTAACCACTGTGCAGGCACGCAGCAGCAATCTCGGAGCGGAAGTCCCATGATCAAACCCAGCTGCGAGCTATCAGTCAAGCTAAGGTTTCAATAACCGCTTGCAGCTTGGTCATAAGCAGATCACCGGTGTATCGTGTCGCACTGACCATCTTGCTGAAGGCACCGACGCTGGGATGCTATCGGCTGGTGTGTTTCTCCGTTGCTCCGTGACATTAGTCAGCATATGGAAGTTGTCCTTGAAGACAGTTTCACCAGGTAAACGAGAAACAAAGAATAGTTAAGCAGTGCTACTGTGACGTAGTGTGTTTGATAATCATCAGATAATTCCATCACCACTCGCTTGGCGCGAAGTTTGCCCTTTTCGCTTGAGTCAGCTGGTATTCACGTCACGAAACACCCGCCGAGAGATACTCCGGATACCTGCGAACTATCTCGCCACACGCAAAGCCTCCAATCAATCAATCAATCAAGATGAGCATCTATCATCATGTGTCTATTTGCTATTAAGGCTACCAGGCGTCCGGAGAACGCCGCCTCAGGCAACAGGCCGGAGACACCGGTTGGCAAGCTGAAATGGAAGGCGGAAAATCTCCGACTGGAGGGAATGACGCCGTCCGTGCCTCGTGTCACTCGTGTAGATAATATCACATCGCACTGCTCTTCCACGTTCCAGCTGTGTGACGCTTGTCAATGCCGCATGCTGCAGGAGAACGTGATTGGAAAGTGAGACAAAGACGGCAATTCAGGCGTCCGACGATCAATCTGACATTCACCCACTGTTCGGAGCTAAACAGTCCCCATGCGCACCGTAGTGACTAACTAGATTCAAGGTGCGGGGAATGTCAGCAATCTCGCCGAATGCGGCCGGTATAGAGTTCAATGTAGCGGATTTGGCCGGCTTTCATGTGTTTGAGGTCCTTCTAGGCGCATTGCGATGCTGCTCTTATAGTCCGGCTGTGCCCTGCTCCAATTGCTTGCTTTCGTTCATCCTCATCATCGTAATAAATCACAACTTTGGACATCATGGCTTTGGATTACACTGTAAGTGATCAAACATCAATACTCCGATCTGCATGCGATCTAACAGCCCAGACCTTTTACAATGTCATCGACAACGAATTGACTTCCACAACGCAAACCCGTCATGGCATTAACCCAGCCAATTGCCAGCCTAATCCTGAAGTGCCCGTCTCAACGGCAGAAGATCTCGATCGCGCAGTGGGCGCTGCCAGCCGAGCGTTTCGTCAATGGTCACGGACCTCGTATGATGAGCGCCGCACTGCCATCCATTCCTTTGCTGATCGCATCGCAGCCAATAAGGAAGGATTGGTGGGACTTTTGTCCCGCGAGCAGGGCAAATCATTGAGCCAGGCATCGACCGAGCTGGACATGGCCATTCAGTGGACCCGTTCGCTCAGCTCCATCATTATTCCCCAGACGGTTGTCAATGACACAGATGACCGGGAGGTAATTCAGCGCTATATTCCCATCGGTGTAGCCGCTGCTATTGTGCCCTGGAATTTTCCCGTACTGCTGGCTATCGGCAAGATTGTCCCGGCTGTGTATACGGGTAATACTATCATCGTCAAGCCCTCCCCATACACGCCATACTGTGATTTGAAATTGGCAGAACTGGCAACACAATGCTTTCCACCGGGTGTGGTGCAGGCTCTCAGTGGGGGCGACGATCTGGGACCGATGATTACCGAGCACCCGGGTATTCAGAAGATTAGCTTCACGGGCTCAATAGCTACGGGCCAGCGTGTCATGGCTAGTTGTGCTAAGACGTTGAAGAAAGTGACATTGGAACTGGGCGGGAATGACCCCTGCATTGTCTGCGAGGATGTGGACATTGATGCTATAATTCCTCAGGTGTGTTGCATCTTCTGAATTTCCAATCTCTGCTAACATTATAGATTGCTTTCCTCTCCTTTCTATGCTCAAGTCAGATCTGCATGATGATCAAGCGCCTTTATGTGCACGAGAAAATTTACGATGAGTTCCGCGATAAACTCGTGCAGCATGTTCAAGCCCTGAAGATAGGCGAGGGAACCGAACCAGACGTGTTTATTGGGCCTCTGCAGAACAAAATGCAGTACGACAAGGCCAGTGACCTTCTTAACAACATCCATTCCAGCGGTCTGAGCACCTTCTCGAGTAACCCCACCCCCGGCCGAACAGGCTACTTCATCACTCCAACAATCGTCGACAACCCGCCCGAGACATCCCGGGTCGTGCAGGAGGAGCCATTCGCCCCGATCCTGCCTCTTATGAAATGGTCCGACGAGACGGACGTGCTGGCACGCGCTAACAACACAGACTACGGCCTAGGAGCATCCGTCTGGAGTCGCGACCTGCAACGTGCACGACGCATGGCAGATCAGCTCGAGGCGGGCTCAGTCTGGGTGAACTCACATTTCGATTGTGCGCCCTTCGCACCCTTCGGAGGACACAAGAAGAGCGGTCTCGGAGTGGAGTGGGGATTGAACGGACTGACAGGATGGTGCAACTCGCAGACTCTGTGGTTACCAAAGCTTTAATCAAATATCCGTACTTCACAAATCAATTTGATTCAATAAAACTTCACAAAACCGGCCACCTAGCACCCACCTTCCCCCCCAACCCAGCCCTCTCCACAACCTCCCTACTCCTCCTCTCCGCCTCCCTGACCACCTCCCCTTCATCCATAGTGACCAACTCGCCCTCCCTAACAACCACCTTCCCATCCACCATCACAAACCTCACATCCCTCCCCGTAGCCGTATACACTACCGCACTAACCGGATTAAACCAGGGCTGCATCTCCACGCCCCTAGCATCAATCGCCACAATATCCGCCTTCTTCCCCACCTCTAAACTCCCGATACTATCCTGCAACCCCAACGCCCTAGCCCCATTAATCGTCGCCATCTCCAGCACTTCCTCAGCACTTACAACCGTCGGATCCCCACTCGTCCCCTTATGTATAATCCCCGCCAGCTTCATCTCCTGCAACATATCGCAGGTATTATTACACGGCGCACCATCCGTCCCCAACCCAATATTCACCCCCGCACGCTGCAGATCCGGGACTCGGCATGTGCCCGACGCGAGCTTCGCATTGGAGGTGGGGCAGTGCGCGACGTGTGTTCCGGACTTAGCTAGAAGCGAGATATCCCCGTCGTCGAGGTGCACCATGTGTACTAGGACAGTGGAGGGCGAGAGGAGCCCGACACTGTCGCAGTACGTCATGGGGGTATGGTTGACGGAAGCGAAGAAGTCCCGGTCTGCGGAGACTTCGGCGCAGTGCATGGTTATGGGGATGTTGTGTTCCGCTGACAGGGCAGTCATTTCTTTGTAGAGGGCAGGAGACACTCTGAGAGATTCGTCAGTTAATACCATAATAAGAGGGCAATATTTAGATGGAGAAAAGAAAAGGGTGTATACCCCCCCGGCGTCCTCGCCCCAAACCAAACCCTAATCCGATCCCCCGCCTTCCCATTCCACTTCTCCCACATCTTCATCGTGCCCAGCAAGGACGTTTCCCGATCCTCAATGAGGCCTGGATGCATCGCCCACGCATCGTCTTTCGCGTATCGGCCTGTATCCATTACGATCTTGCCCAGGCACCCGCGGATCCCGCTCTCCTCGACGGCGCGACATAGTCCGTCGAAGCCATACCGGTCTGCGAACTACCCATCCACAGTATCATATCAGCACGACCCGTGTACATATCCCCGAAACCAGGAAGGGAGGGAGAGAGAGAAATACCATGCTCTCCAAAAAACACGTCGTCCCACTCTTCAACATTTCCGCAATACTCAACCTCGCCGCCGCATATCCATCCTGGGGCGTGAAGTTACCCTGCAGGACCCAGATGCGCTCGCATAGCCAGGATACCAGCTCGAGATCGTCTGCGCAGCCGCGGAGGAGCGTCTGGGCGGTGTGCATATGCGTGGAGATTAGTCCCGGAATGAGGATGTGGCCGGTTAGATCGATGACTTCGTCATCGGGGTATTTGGCTAGTAGGACGGGGGTTTTGTCGATGTCGGTTATGTAATTGGACTCGGTGCGGAGGGCGCCGTTGGTGAGGATAGTGCGGGTCGGGGAGAGGGTTAGGATTGTGGTGTTGGTTAGGAGCATTTTGGTTCAATTGAGAGGGAATGAGATATAATTGAGGGTTGAGGTAGGGGTTGTAAGTGGTCAGTGGTGTTTTACTTTTGTGGCGGTTTGTGTAGGGGCGTTTTATTATATAGATGGGGTGGTGGCGGAGGTCGCCGATGAGGGGGTGAAGGAGGATATCGGAATGGAAAATTGGGGATAGAGATAAGATTAGGACGGGTTATCATATCAGATTAGCGTACTCCGCACACGGAATCGTATTCATCCCTTTCGTAACCATCAATGCACTTCTCAGAGTCTCTGCCCACCTGATATCGTTCATCATGGACGAGATAAATGGACGTGTACTTAAAGCTATCCAAGATCTAAAGACTATTCGGGTTACTCTTGACATTCCTACTTAACTTTTAACCTCTGAGAACTATCTTGATTCAGCATTTGAACTCGTTGAACCGTTCACGAACAGCTGGGAAGAACACCACGTGGTGCGAAAAATCGTCGTTGATGTGTATCCGCGACATGCATACGTTGTTATCGACATCAATAATTTTTCTTATGACTTCAAGCTCGCTCATTTACAGACCTTCGCTATTCCAGTCTATATTCTACTTTTGTCAAGGAAAAGCAAGCAATGGTCCTTCTTTAGACGACAGTTAGAGGATCGACGAGTCGCCAAGGATATTGCAGAGTTGCACAGGTGTAACGGCCAAAACCAACCCCCTTTCTTTGCAGACCATATTCGAGGGTCTGTTTACCTTTCTCCCCGTACAACATGAGGAAATGATGGACAAGTTGGGGTTTGTTGTGCATGCAACGTCGCATATTTTCGGGATCTTATTTCTTAACTTTTATGGCTTACTTGTGTTTCTAATGATCGAACTGGGGCTTTTAGCGAATCGAGCGCTTGTTAACAACTAGGTGTCTGTTCATTTAGTATCACTCGGTGTAATTGGTTATGTTCAGATCGGTTCCGGGATTTTGTTGCGGGTTAAGGAAAGAATTAGTGCATTGATAACTATATGTATTGCTCACAAGTAATTCTGCTCTTAGTGCAATGTGTGACATTAGTCCCCAACATCATCCTGCTCGGGTAAAGCGCTCACAAGTGGCTTCCAGTTGAGCCGAGCAGATCAAGGAAAAGGAGAGAAGCAGAGATTTCGGAAGAAAGTTTCCGGCATTTGGTAGTACAGTCCTCCGCCAACATTAAAATTGTAGATCGAAGGGGGTCTCATGATGACAATATTCTCTTACCATAGTGGAATATAAACAGAGAACCTTAGTTTGACAGGATATCTCAAGTAAAATGTAGGTGGTAAGCACCGACAAGCATTCTAAGTAAATTTTCTTAAAACCTACCGGCAAGCCTTGTTCATGTACATATCGATTATAAACCAACTCATTCAATCATTCATTCAAAATCAGTGGCAGTAATCCAGGGCCCGTCTCAATCGTACATAGTGTAAATAGGAAGATAACCGGAGACCGGCATTCTTCGCCCTTTAATTGCTAGCAAAATGCAAATCGACAATAAATGACCTGAACGTGACATATGACGAAGGATGACGTGCTGTATGATTCAATGAGAACCCCTTCCTAATGATACTAGCCACGACATACCCTCAATACTCTTCTCGGGTAAATACCTACCTCAACACTCAAGGCTTAGGGAAAGGCTGCACAGTCTCCCCAAACAAGAAAATAGCTGGCTTGTTGCTGAAATTAACAACATCCCCTATAACCTCCGGCACCTCGAGACTCTCAGATGCTTTCTTCATCCCCTCCTTACTTTCCCAGTGTACTCGGCTACCAACAGCATACGGAGGGGGTGTACCGTCCAAGGACGGCCCAAACTTGGTGACGGACCAGCTTTTGAGACCGTACTTGATCCAATGCTTCTCGATTAGCCTCATGTGAACGTTGGTGTAGTAATTGATATCGTATTTGGCATCGGGCTCGTTGGGGAAGACGACGGTGATTGTATAAGTCATGTTGATGAATGTTCCTCTGAATGAGATGTTATCTTGAAAGTTTTGGTGTTTTGGAGGATCGAATGTAGGCAAGGAGGTTAGTGTTTCAAACCTTCTGATTGAGGCGCAGGGTCAGCCTTATGTGGGATTCATTCTGAATATCGCGGTGAGTTACACCCGCTAAGTCCGTGAACTCACAACAAATCGGTAGAACTTCGATTGTTTCTACTCAATCATTCACATTTCCACTAGTTATATAGGATAGATTGAGTAGCCAGGCCTACCCTGGATCCTTGTCCGGAAGTATACCGAAGTATGACCGAGGCGTCATCAAGTTAGAGGCAGGCAAAGTCGTGTCTGCTGTGTGCCTTGGCCTTGATGTTCTGGTCAATGTGAAGTCATCGAATGTAACATGATTGGTTTCAGCACATAAGGTTACTGGTATCTCTGACGTGGTGGAATGAATTTTAGAACTTAGCCAAGGTATGTCCTTGTCGGAGACGAAACTACACAAGCATAAAGGAATCTATGAGAAGGCGGCTGGCGTTTTTGGCGTCAAGGCTCTCATCAGTGGGGAGAACGGCGAATTTCTTACGGGTCACAACCCGCCAAGCGCTGCAAGTTTTGGCGGTAGTGTTATCAAAGCTGCTGAGATGCGTATAAAGGGTCTTTTGAAGTTTGTCATGCTCTTCATTGAGTGCAATGAGTTGGTGGGTTCGGAAAGGACTATATGTGGAGGGTTTAATATATGCGTTTCAGGTTTTAAAATCGAAGTTTTCCTTTTCACAGTTAGTAAAAGCAGAAGGCTACCTTTACATGTAGATCCACTACGGTGCTGGAATTGATCTCCGTAGGAGCTGAGTTATATGTGACATATGCTTCGTTCGATAGTAACCTTGTCTGAAACATTAAAATCAACATTTCAAATGTATTTGTTCTCCTACGACAACGAAGACGAGCAGATAGTACTATGCATGAACCCCGACTAAACGTGGACAGGCCTGCCTGTATCTTTTGACATCTACTCTACAAATATATATTATGAGCACTGAATGATAAAAGGTTGCATATTGTACTATCGAAAGAACAACAAAGTAACAACGAAGCTCAAGCGACATAATCAGGTACTAGTTCATGAATGCACTCGCTTGCAAACAATACTACATCACCGACTAAAGTCCTGTGCAACTTGATCAATTCCAGTCTCTTTAATTATCAAGATTGGGAAAATTTAAAGCCACTGATACTTCCTGATGCTGACCACCTTTGTCTCCAGGATGTATTCAAATCTTTTCAACATTCGGAATTAACCTGTAAAATAAAAAGATGAAGACAATTTACCCTGCTATTCTGCGTATAAGACAGGTAAGGTCTTATTAGACAGCTGCAAACTCCATCATTGCAAATTAACTTACCCCACCTAGGGAATACGGCTGGATTACACAATGAATGAGGGAATGTCAGGCTGTTTGAGCGTATTGCCTCATGCACCCCTGCTACAACAAAGTGAAGGAGATACCCGATGTAGTTCAATAGTATTTTGGTTTTCCTTTAACCCCAGACTTGTATAAGAGAGAGCGCCAGTTGTCGAATACAGGTTCAGGATAAAACCCACCAACTAGAAACGTCAAGTCAGTTTATCTGTGGGCAAGCTTATACCAAGGGTCAGAATGATGGCCAGTAAGTACCTGATGGTTTCGATAATCTCTTCATAACCTTCTGTGTTATTTCATTTCCAGCCCAAATTATGAAGTACTAATTATGCCTATCATAGACCGAGAGAGCAGCATTCACAACCCCCATCCTTGCCCTTCGGATGACGAAAAATACGACGAGATCGAAGGAATCGACTACACCGCCGGGTATGTAAAGCAGCTCAGCTCAGACGATGCACTCCTCGCCGGAGCCTGGGGCATGAATGCCACTACAGAGCTATGGGACCTATGCTACCGAAGCGGCCCAAGGATGGCAAAAATTCTCGAGGATTTTGTCCGTAGCCTGAAGCCTTCAAAGAGGGCCTACGACGACGCAAGGGAAATCCTGACTATTGACATGCACCTATTCTACTGGTCCCAAGATATAGCTTATATATCCATCTTCGATGACCCCGAACCACCCAGCTTGGATTGGGACAAGGTCACGATGAACAACATTGTAGGAATCACTGCAATCTGGACTTTGCATGAAATGGCTAGGATCAAACCGGGTATGTTCCGCCACACTTATCAATACGTCCCTGGAGAGAGAAATCCGTTCAAGTTGGATGCCTATGATCTTCTTCATGGAATAATGCTTTTGCGCTGGGTGCTTCGCACCTGGAATTATGATCGCGACCAGCGGCCTGACAGACCTCGGCCGTTGAGGGCTAAGGAGAGACGGTTTTGGAGACCGAAAGCGCGCGTTATATCGTTCGTACCATTGCCTGAGCCGGAGGATAGTGAAATGATGGATATTGATTGAATGGTGCTATAACACGGGTTTATATGATGCGACAGTGCTTTGACCTATTCCAGTCTTGGACGATAGGGCAATTCATAAGCTGCGCTGTTCATTTTAGGGAGAAAAAGATCATTATAGATACAACATGAGTCTACTATATTCAGTGACCAGAGTGTGGGGGTCTTAGAAAATGATTGTAAAAGCAGATTTCCCATACAGATTCAATGGAATCTGACAGATCGTTTAGATTAAGTAAAGCGTGCCAAATTCCCACGTACTCAGGCAGTATAATGTAGTGGGGTGGGCCGGCAAATAGGACTGGGAATGCGTGCTATGACTTCTTTACCGGAAGTTGTTCTTGATTAGAAGATTTTGTTGAAGCCTCCTTCGGCAAGCTTGATAATCGAGGGACAGTGATGAGACGCTAATACTGGTACCGATAATTAACCAAGACGTGTTACCGCTGAGGCAGTTTGATAAACATTGCCTTAAGGGAGGTGTTGAGCGTTCTGGCTAGATACAGAGGGATCAAGAAGCATTATTGGCTTTCACACCCATAATCAAGTGGTAGTAGTTACACTAATCAAACGGTAATTACATACCCCATAGCCAGAAACTAGTGAAACAAAGCTTCTCACCCAATCAAGCTACCGACACTTAATCCTTCCCCGCGAAACAGGGCCATGACAGGTGCGGATCAGCCCTACATGCCGCCTCCATATGCCTTGTTCGCAATTCACCCCACCGTATCACATCACCGACCACCATTCAACCGCCCATCACTCCAACGTTCACCAACATGGCTAACCAGCTGAGTGAACATCATCATAATTATAGCATCAGGTCAGGCAACCGTGTTTCACCGCCGATCCCCCTGATGACGTCATCCTGGGCCTCAGCCACTCCCCACTTTGTCTCCATTTGCAAATAAATACCCCGCCTGTCAGCTTCTCAGGGTCCCAGGGTCCAAACACCTCCCACTCCAACTTGATCCGTCTTTCACTCTCCCTGCTACTCTCATCATGCCTGGACACTTCGGCCAGAAAATCCTCAACACCCTCGGCATCGACCATCACGGTCACCACGGCCATGGCCAAGGCCAACCCTACCAACAACCGCCCCCACCGGGCGACAACCGCCTCGCCGGCAATCGCGTCATCCATAACGACGAGCGCCTCCTCTCCCCCCACCCCGCAGGCACCTACCCACGCCTCGCACGCCTTAGCGACGGTCGCATTCTTGCCTCATTCACACGATTTGTCGGCGGCGGTGAACGCGTCCTAATGGTCTCCATCAGCGAGGATAACGGCCAAACTTTCACCGACCATGGCGAGATCACCCGCGGCAAGGGCGACGTTGATAACGTGTACCTTCTCGAGATCGGACCTGGAACTGTCCTCGCTGCCTTCCGTAATCACGATATTGGCCCTGGTGGTCCTACACACTTCCGCATCACTGTTTGCCGTTCCACGGACGCCGGGCGCAGCTGGTCCTTCGCCTCCCAGGCCGCAGAGAAGCCCGCCCCCTTGGGTATTTGGGAACCGTTCATGAGACTGGGTCGTCGGCCGGGAGAGATCCAGCTTACGTATTCGCAGGAGTTTGCGCATAACAACCAGTGCACCATGCTGGTGAGGTCGTATGATGGGGGTTCGTCGTGGTCGGCACCGCAGTGTCTACACGGGGCGGAGGATCAGCGCAGAGATGGTATGAATGGTATTGCGAGGACGTGGGATCAGGCGAGGAATTGCGAAGCGTTGGTTATGGTCTTTGAGACGACCACGTATGGCACATTTGATGTTGAGGCGCTGGTTAGTTATGATGATGGCGAGACGTGGGGTGGCAGGCAGCAAGTGTATGTGCCCCCGCAGGGACACAATGCTGGAGCCCCGCAGATTGCTAGTTTGGGTGATGGGTCGTTGGCAGTTATCTTCATGTGCGATGAGGATTTCGATGAGGTAAACTGGACCAGGAATGCTTGTGTCAAGGTCGTTTTTGGGTCCATGCCCCATGAAGGGAGGATTATGTGGACGAGGCCCACGACAGTGTGTCGGGACTCGAGTCACTGGCCGGGTATCTTCACTCTTGATGACAGACGGTTGTTGGCGCTGTATGAGTGTGGTGGACCTAAGGCGAAGACGATTGCGTTGGAGTGATAGTGGCCATATACCTAAATAACGGCGACATTGCATGTAATATGAGTTTAGCCTGATTGATGGAAATGACATGTTATTCTCAGGACGGTTCGAGTAATGAGAGTGTGCAACCCCATAGTACGACCATTGCCAGATCTGTAGCTGGTAGTATGTCTGCAAGTATGTGTCTTTTAGACGTGCTCTTGACACTTCATCTCTTCGCAGGCTGCAACTCATCGGCGACTGCTCCGATCACTCCCATTTCGACTGTCATGTCGACGTTTGTGTCTCCTCCCTGAGCTACGGGAGCTCTGACCAGAGGTCCACGAATAAACCGAGTAAAAGTCACTGCCAGCCACGGATCCAGCCTGGGATGCAGTGCTGTGCCGACTCTTATGTCGACGCGAATGATGTCGGATAGTATGCTGTTCGGTCTCTCCAGCTGATGCGACTGTCGAGGCGCGCTCTAACTCATCATCTGTTTCTCTACCAACGGCTTCCTCATATATGTACTCGTCACCACTCACTGGATCTTCTGCCAGCACATCACGCATCTTCTCTTGCACTTGTACCTGCTCGCCAGGTTGTCGTATTGTCTCATCGACGGACTGATCATGAATCACCAATCCGTCCGTCTTCCCAATCTCCCCATCATGCAATACCTGCATCCCCAACAACCTGGGATTCTCATCCTGTCCAGTCCCTATCCCGAATACTAATTCCTCATCAGCATCCCGATCCTCAAACACAGAATAATATGTTCACACTTACATTGTTCCCAAAACCCCCTCTGCGGCTTCCACAACCCCACATTCCCCAACTCGCCTTCCCTCACGCCGGGCAGAAACATTCTTACCAACGGCACCCCATTATGCACATCACAATAGACATCGAAAGGCTCAATACTTTCCACCGGGAATTTGACTGGCGTCTCCACCGTAATTGGATAATAGGCCGGAATTAGTAACCTGAAATGCACCTCCCCTTCCCCGCCTCCTCCTCTCCCGACCCCGGCCCTCCTCATAGCCTGCATATAAATAACCACCGCATCCAAACTCCCAAATATTCCAATGAATCTCTCTCCCAGCACGCCGCGATTCAGAACCAAATCCTCAAAATGATGTCGCCAGATCGTGTCGGGGTGATAGACGAGGTACCATATCGAAGACGGCTCGGATTTTATCTTGTGTTGCAGCATATTGTACACAAGGGTAGGGAACTCGGATGCGACGCGCAGTGCATTGTCGCGGGCGAGGGTGTCGGAGATGGTGCCCAGGTGGGAGGAAATTTGGCGTAGTTGGGTGTTGGTTTCAAGGGCTTGGTGGATGGTGATTGCTGCGAGCGCGGGGGGCGCGAAGCTGCTGGCTAGGGTGAGGGCTGTGCTGGCGTAGAGGGGGTTGTCGCCGTGGGAGTCTTGGGCGATCAGGATGGTGGAGAGCAGGTCGTGGGTGGTTTTGGAGATAGTTGTTAGGGTTGTTAGGAGGTTGGGGAGGGATTTGAAGACCATCTTGGTCTTGAAGGCAGTAATTGAGTATTTTTTGTCGTGGTGATGGGTGTTCCCGGGGTTTAGTATCAGACTTTGGTTGGGGTTTAGGTGTATTTACGATCATGATATGTGATTTTGTGGAGCTGTCCACGTTGACGCATTTGAGTGGGGTGGTTGGAACGAATTGAAACAACCGTTTCTCACTAAGCACTGAGGACAACTCATAGTGCTGATTGTGGACCAATTATTTATTCGCCTCACTTTGGGTGTATATTGTTTGTGATGATGATATAAATTATTCGGTTGCCCCCGATTTCAGGCTGCTTTGTTATTTGTTCATTTCAATGTTGCCAAATTGCCAAGAATAAAGAGCTGAGGAAGTGCTCTCAAATGTCTGCGATTACCCATGCAGATATGGGCAGAGTACCTTTATTATCGTCAAATACGGGAATTTCCGATGGGATCGTGTTCATTGTGATTGTAATTGAAGGGACCTATCAGTGATCAGAATCACTGGTACCGCTAAGTTACTCATATATGAGACCGTGTTTCAAATGGAGAACTTCAGATATACAAACCACGACATAATAGTCATAAATTCGTACGGTGCTCACCGATACGGCAGCATACCAAGCATGTAGTACAGTGGGGGTTCCCTGAAATCAAGCTCAAGCAACGGACTTCATCCTTTTGTTACATGCTTTTGTGATCCCCATGGTTGCTCTTGTCTTGATATAAGTTTGTAGTCGTTGTACCTTAGATGTCACTTCCTCTTATCCTCCCATTGCTGACCCGTGGAGCACTTATCATACTCTAATTTCTCTTCCCAGGCCATCGATACGTTTTTGCTTTGACAAGCTCCTGTCTTTCCTGAATAACCAGTCTTCTCATAACCCATATTCTCCCGGTTACTCCGATATTTATATCATGTCAGGAAGATTCATCAGCAGCAACTTGAATCCATCCAATCAACCCAGACAGAACCTGATAGGCATCTTTGGCCTTCCCGGATCTGGAAAGACCCATATTCTGAATCAACTCCGAAGGAAGCTTGAGGGAGGCCCTTTTTCATTTTATGAGTACGAAGAGGTCAGGAAAACCAGTCCTATTCACTGGCCTGCCTATGATAGGGCCTTTGAACTCATCAGACATAAATGCGATGATGCTGGGGTCACTGGAATTGCCACAGCTAATTACATGCTACCGGACGAGTTTAACGACCATCCATACACGACACTTCTCGATGATGGTACCCCCAATAGGCCGTTCACGCATATCATGTATGTGAACACCCCTGTCGAGGTAGCCCATCAGCGTTGTATGGAGGACGCTGAGAAGAATCTTGCCTGGTGTTCTCTTGATTACTTTCGCAAATGGGCCGATGAAGAAATCATTGGGCTAAAAGACACGTGTTTCGACCGGAAGATCATGTTCACCATGGTGGACTCTCATGACCTTCCGAAGATTATCGCCCTCATTCACACCTTTCAGCTTGATCGAAATGAAGAACACAATCAAGGCATTGTGGATCAGTGTGTTGACGAAGTTGTAGCTCCTTGGCAAGGGCAGGTGGAGAAGGTCCTAGTCATGGACTGCGATGGAGTCTTCGCACCCAAATCTGAAGAGCAGACCTTCTGGGAAATGTTCTATTCTGGCGAGAGTAATGACAAGGGACCCCGTGCCTTGCCGATGAGACTCCCGTGGTGTGGATTTATTGACGATTACATGGAATGCCGTCAATTAAGCTTAGCTTACGAGCAAGCTGTGGCCGACGGCCGATTCGACGAGGCCGCGGAAAGGCTGCGTCTGTAGTTGCTCTCTATCCCGAAATAAGAAGCTTTCTGCATCGTGTCTCGAAGTGTCCGCGCCTTCGCATCATCCTGGTGACTTCCAGACTACGCTTGCTGTGGGAAAGGGTTCTGGCGCAAGAGGGTCTCTCGCAATCTGTCAAGATCATTGGCTCGGGGCCACTATCCAACGGTTATATCGTCCCCCCTAAGGCTAAAGAGAAACCGATCAAGCGCCTCAGGACCGTCCATAACTTGCAAGTATGGGCGTTTGGAGGCCACGGCTCAGATGAGCAGATGCTTCATCGAGCACATTATTCGATCATCCTTCGCCGCCCAGATAATCCCGGCTATAATGAATTATGGTTATCGGACGTGGCTTTGAGATTGAAGAATTCAAAGGATTGCATAGATTCAACCACCTTCCATCTGAAGGAACTCGGGGAGCCGGCCTTTTTGGATCAACTCATGCAACATCAATTTACCCTTGCCCACGCGACCCACAAGGGTGTCGCAAAGTTGCTGCATACCAGGATGCTGAAATCGATATACTTCCCCGATCAGCGTTTGGAGGAAAATGTCTACAGTGAGGCTGGATGGTATCTTGCCAATGAATACATAAGCGAGATAGGAGGCATTGAGGAGGCTGCTATTGCTGTCTCCGAGGAGCCCAAAGCCACTGGCTATCAACTTGTCCGTGAAAGCGGCATGCTAATTATTCCCCTCACGGGAAGTAGTCACCAGATGGGCGCTGGAATTCGGGATGTCTTTCAGAAAGCTTGCACCCTGCAGACAGATAACCCAGAAGACATCGATGATGACCATCTACGGGAAATAGACACTGTTGTGCTTGTGGAAGCTGTCGCGGATAGTGCTGATGTTATCACGCGTTATGTCAACCACATCCACAGAGTGAAACCATGCCTTCCTATTCTCGTTGTGACCGGAATCCTTCAAGCCGAGCTAGTTGCACCTGGTGGACCGCTGTCGTCTCTCATTCGAGGCGGCCCCATTACGGTGGTTGCTCTAAGTCTAGCCAAAGGCAGAGAAATGACTACCGAAAGCTATGTTTATGAGACTGCTCGCATTTCCTGAGGCATGCCTGGCTTTTCTGGGAGATGTTATCGTGATCATTATCCCGGTTCGAAGTTTTCATTAAGCCTCATGTCGACTGTCCAGCTACCTGACTACTACAATTTGCAATGTTTGAATTTGACATATAGTACTAAATTGAGAACTAATTACCCTCCTCACTACCTCGTCATATAAACATTTCTATAGTACCAGTAATTACTATCCCCCGGAACAATACCCCTGCAACCTCTCCACCACAACCCCTACAATCCTCTCCAATCTCCGCGCAACCCCAAATTTCCTCCCAAAAACCCTCAGTAACTCCACCACCAGCCCCAAATCCTCCACAACTTTACTCTCCCTAACCACAACCCCCAACTCATCCGGCCTCGCCAGCGTAGCATACATCAGCGCCACCGCGCTCTGAAACACCCCCAACAGATTCAGCCAGTTATACGCAAACCGGCCCTGCCGATGCAGATTCATTGCCTGCCTGATCGCCATGGCAGCGGCTGTCGCTAACACCTTCACTTTCTGTTCGTCTAGAGAGGGGAATAGAGGAGATGGTCGATATAGCATTGTCATGTGGGTGTAGTAGTTCAGATCGAACCAAGCGCTGGTTAGATGTGGGATTGGCGATGGGGTTGGTGGGAGTGGGAAGGGCATGGTGCGGCGCCAGTGGAGGAGTTTCTTGTGTAGGGCTTGGAGGGTTTTGTTCCGGTCTTGATTGGGTGTGTTGGTTGGGGAGTGCAGGGCGGTAGTGATTTCGCTGGCGATGCGGCGGAGGGAGAGGATGTGGAGCGGTATGGAGAGGTCGGTTGCGTGGTTTGGGTCGTCTGTCGAGGTGGTGTCGGTGAAGGGCTGTAGTTTGTTGGTTAGTTTGAGATGGAGATTGTGGGTTTGGGGTGCGGTGGGGAAGTGGGAGTTACTTCGATGTCAATGTCGTTGTCGTGGATGGCAAAGGGACGGCCTAGGGCTATGGATACTACTCTGTTATTCTTCGTTAATAGATATGGGACAAGATGCGGGTATATGGGAGGGATACCTATCCATCATGTATAGAGAGAAGAATATCCGCTTGCGATATTCGATTACGTCGGATGGAAGACTGGCGTAGCTTGAAGAGCAGTGTAAGCCTATACCGATGGCCATGCGGGCGGCAACCCCGACGAGGAAGAACGTATCTTGATTCAGGTTAGTAGAATTATAGATCAGGTTGAGGGTGAACATACTTGGACCGACTTGATTAAAGAATGAATACGAGACTTGCAGCATCATGACCTCTAGCGCAGCCTGACTGGTCAGTCAGTCGACTTTGTCGCTGGAGGAGGAACATGACATACCATATCGCCCAAGCCAAGCGCGTCCTCGAAGTATACCATCGCTTTGTTGTAGTACAGTACAGACTCCGACTCGTCTCCCAATGTCACTGAGCAGTGTGTTGTCGACCCGATGGCTAGAACCATCCAGATGCGGAACATCCACAGCGCGGACCCTGCTAGATGGTCCTGCGGGTTGTTGTATACTCGCCATATGACGGATGCGAACTCGGTTTGACGGATGATAGGGTACAGAGTGTGGGAATGTGCAAAGTAAAACTCCATTAGGTATTCGATATGTGCCCTGTCTGGGAACTGCAGATCAGCTAGCGTTGTCTCGTCTTCCATGACGTGTGACAGAGGGAGTTGGTTGAATAGGCATGGCGATGAGAAGGAGTTGTTCAATTCCCAGAGCGAATTTGACGCATCGAGTAGAGGATCTGAGAGAGGTCCATCGTATTGCTCTGTAGACTCATCGGAAGTATCGTCGAATACAAATTCGGCTTTGTCGGGGGATAGCCGTCGTAAGACTGCCTGTGTTAGCTTGGCGAAAGATAGTCCTGATGAGGAGCCAAGATGTCGTTCTGCTGCAGCTTCTAGGGATAGTCGTTTGAGCTCATCGACCAGAAAGTCCGATCGGCTGTGAGATGGGGGAGTCGCAAAGGGGAAGGTGTCGCTGATGTCTGTATCCGGAGGTGTCGCGAAGTTGATTATTGGCTGGTCGAAGTCATGATCGGGTTGGAGGTTAGGGTATGGCGACGATACTAAGGCCGCGGAAAGCTGCTTCTCAAGCTCCCTAACGCGAGTCTCTAGTCCCTGTACGTATCTTCGACCCCTACTATTAGCGGATGAACTCGGATTATTGCTGGCACACTTACGCGATTGGATACGTGCCGACTTGTCGATCATCATCGAGAAAACTGCATTCTACCTGAGCATGAATACAGTTCTCACATTGTGGAAGTGTACGGTCGCAGCGCTTCTTCCGTCGGTGGCAGCGACGGCAGGAGGTGCTTGCACGGGCTGTACTCGAGGATGAAGGCATTTTTGGATGGATGGAGAGGGGGAAGAGGGGAGGCCGATGCCTTCACCCTCTTATCTGGACTTCTCCGCATTTCTTATCAAGCAGCGGCCGCGATATGGGGTTGACGATGCATGATTGGCGTTGAGGTGCAGTAGTGCCGTGTGGATTGATAAGACGCTAGTGCGTAACGCTGAATCGTCCGATTACAGGATGGCATTGGGGATCTTTTTGCACTTGGCAATGGGCTGGGAGCACAAGCAGTACCTGATGCTTACTTGCCGAACCTGGTGGATGAACGGCTTGAGAATCAACCTGGCGATGGTTCCAGAAACCGAGTATAACAATATGCCACTTTTGCAAAATATTCATGATTGGATAATATTAACACGCGTATAAAGGTCTATAGCCGATCAAGATCACTACTATCCCTGATGTAAATGTTAGGTTCAAGCTTGCCCCATAAATACGACTTATGAAATTTGGGATTGAGTAGTAAAGTTCCAGTGCGAAGTACAGTCATTGAACAGAGCCCACTTCATGTGAGCTAGTTCAAGCAGGAAGGACGTGAGTATGGGTGAGCAGCCTTTCTACCGACTGTACTAGCCATATGGTCCTATTTTGCGGCGTTATTCTCTCCCGGTTACACATAACCGCGCTGTAACCCTAACAGTGATTTAGATATATGCACCTCTACTATTCCTAGTCGAATAATCAGGCCTTACCATAACACTATATATCTGAAGAACACACAAACAGCTTTCCAGTCCGTCCAGTTGTTGCCGTAGATATATCATGGTAGCACAAATTCAGTGTATTTTATGCACAAGCTACATGCGACCTGTTTATAATCTCGTCATATATAATAGTCAAGGCGGAGCCACCATATTCTCAGTCTTGTCTCATCCCACCCAACCTAGGCCCACTTGCTACTCATATATCGAAATGAAACTGATACTCACAATCTCAGCGTTTCTTAGCCTCGTCCCACCTCTCTTCGGTCAGCCCATTTCTGATGTCAATGTGGACTATGTCACTACCAGCATCACTTCATCCTCAAGCATTGCTGCTACCGTACCTGCACAACCCTCTGCACCCCCGCCCGGCATTCCCAATCCAGAGAGTAGCGTTAGTAACCTCATCTCACTCCTCCAGCGCCTCAGCGAGCAAGCTATTGTTCTTCAAAAGACCCTCTCTACAGTTGAATCAGACAAGAATAGCATCCCTTCGATCCGCGCCCAGACCCGAGCCATTACCGCCACCGGCGACGCCTCAATAGCCCAAGGGCTCGCCTTGGATTACCTGAATACGCTTGACAGCACAAGGGTGACTCTCAGCACCGTCGCATTAAAACCGATTTTCGGTCACTTACTGACGATTATCAAAAATAAGGTGAGTGAGCCTCGGATGAATGCATGCAAGTTGATGATAGACTAAATCATGACAACTGGTAGAAAACCCCGCTTTGTGAGATATAATACTGCAAAGAGATGCACGACTGGATAGGAGTGGTGCGAATTAGCGCACTTAGGCTGTTTGTCGCTGTCACTGGTATAGTCAAAATTTCGGAAGGGCTTTTGATTGAGGAGGCTTGGGCCAGTGTGGACCGTCGGTTCCCGGCAATCTTGGTGGAGTTTCACGGGCCGTTTTCTTGAAGAAGAGCATGGAGAAGTTATTTGGATGCTTGGGACTACTAGAGATGGATAAATGTCACAGCATGAATATGAGAATATGAGCTTAAGCGGAGTGCTTAGACGGGCTAAGCTGCCGGATCCGTCGTCGCCATAATTATTTAGCCAAAAGTCCCGAACAAGCTGTGCATCCGATGTTCTTTCCAAGCACCCGAACCTGCTTCCTTCTCTCCACCCACCTGCATGTCTCGGCCAATATGGTAGCCTCAGTAGCCCTATCCTCACCTCAAACCACCCCGTCACGAATCTTGAGCACAGGTCCCCCCAAAAACCCAATTCAATAGTCCTGGATTTTTACTACTAACGCCATATAATCCATGACAGACCCCCCTTCCTGTCCAGCAGACAGCCTGTCCATACCAGAAACCACAGTATAATGGGAAATAGACCAACAGACCTCAGCCCCATCGGCCCCCATCGGCCCCCATCATAACCTCAACAGAGCCATGTCCTCATACCTATATATAGACCTACTACTAAGCCCCAGACAGCATCATCTCCTTCTCCTCCATGTCCGTTGCAGTGAGAGCTGACAGCGTCATGCAAATTCTATTCGTTCGGCCCCTCCCAAACCCCCCCCCCCCCCGGGAGATCTCCTAGTTTATATTAGTGGGTATTCAGGATCATCCAACCTTTTGGTTGTAGGTACCTAAATCAAGGCATCACGGCAGGTTACAAGCTAATCACGAAATTGGATGAGCCGAGTTGCAGTAGTTGAGATGGTGGGTAAAATCGGGGGTTTAGTAGGTAGGCAGTGGATGGCGAGACGGAAAAGGTTTAGACAATTGCTTTCTTTTGGCTAGCTGGTGAGTTTCACTGAGATTGATTCTAAGCAAATTACTCCCTCGAAATCATAGATTATGAATAATGGACAATGACGGGCATCCAAAATCTGCACGCGGGAGATTCTGGAGGCAGGAGAAAACTTGACCAATAAGGGTAATGTTTGAATAAGGATTTGTAGGCAAGAAAGAACTGGGAGAAAGAAAGTATCACAAATAAATCAAGACTTTGAATAAGAGTAGTAGGGGCCATCAGAGAACTGCATCTAAACAATAACCCGCGGGTAATATATGGAAGAAAGTACCATAATCCCCAATTGGTATGGTGCCGTGGTCCCTGAAGACTTAAATCTAGTAGTATGATAAACGGATAAGTTATATTCTCAATGAAATCAACATGACTCATAAGCTCTGTTGATATTCTCCGATAAATTACCGATCATCAACCTGTTCTCCTGTAGATTTGATTGGTCTATGTTCATAATGGATATCGTCAGCACAGGCAGGACCCTTTAATTTATTCCTGGAGATCCCGTTCTCCACAATGCTTGGTTGCTGATTGCCACAGACCGTCGCTAACTTGAAGCGGAAAGTGCTCCGAAGCAGGGTCTCATTTTGAAACGGAGGATGTACATGTCAATGTTGCAGGTTGGCGTTAATGATGGCGCACCCGCTATAGCTAGTTGGCTTACTTCTTGGTGAAATGCCGCATTGGACACGGAAAGTCGGACAAGATCAGTGTGAATAGTAAGCATCATTGACCAGATTTGATCTATTTAAACTGCGTCGTCTGCCGCCCCGTCCGTATTTGTTTCTTATTCCAAACAACCACCCTCTTTTCCTCTTCGAAAACTTCTCGCCTACCGTTTCTCTGCTCTATTGCCCAACATGAAGCTCGCTGTGACACTTTCCATTCTTGCAGCCACCGCCATGGGCCAGACGATGTGCTCTCAGTATGACAGTGCCTCGAGCCCCCCATACTCGGTGAACCAGAACCTCTGGGGCGAATACCAGGGCACTGGCAGCCAGTGTGTGTACGTCGACAAGCTTAGCAGCAGTGGTGCCTCATGGCATACCAAATGGACCTGGAGTGGTGGCGAGGGAACAGTGAAAAGTTACTCTAACTCCGGCCTTACGTTCGACAAGAAGCTAGTCAGCGATGTGTCAAGCATTCCCACCTCGGTGGAATGGAGCCAGGACGACACCAATGTCCAAGCCGATGTCTCATATGATCTGTTCACCGCGGCGAATGCGGATCATGCCACTTCCAGCGGTGACTATGAGCTTATGATTTGGTATGTGACGGCGCGAACAAGATAGATGGAGGAGGCTAACATCACCAGGCTTGCCCGCTACGGCTCAGTCCAGCCTATTGGCAAGCAGATTGCCACGGCCACTGTGGGAGGCAAGTCCTGGGAGGTGTGGTATGGTACCAGCACCCAGGCCGGTGCGGAGCAGAAGACATATAGCTTCGTGGCAGGATCGCCTATCAACTCGTACAGTGGGGACATCAAGGACTTCTTCAACTATCTCACCCAGAACCAAGGCTTCCCGGCTAGCTCTCAGCATTTGATCAGTGAGTTTTCCTAATTCTACTAGCGAGCGCCGCTGTGAACCGGTCACTAACAGAAGTGATGATTAGCTCTGCAATTTGGAACTGAGCCGTTTACTGGGGGCCCGGCAACCTTCACGGTTGACAACTGGACCGCTAGTGTCAACTAAGACTCTAATAGAAGGCTTTAGGCGCAGCCTGGGTAAATAGACTCCATCGCGGGAAATAACAGCTTGGTTCTTCGTTCTAGAACGTCGGGCGTGTAAGAGCTAGGAAATCCGCCCACTCTGATTGGAAACACTCATTCAATATCCTTACTCCTCTTCAGCCGGGAAAGGCACAGATAGTGTGTATCTAATCCAATAAATATACTATTTAGTGTTGCTTAAGTTCTGACCCAGTCCTTTCTTTGAAAGGTAACCCACCCGTAGAGCGATGATCATTAACAGATCCGAGTTTTGCTAGGTTAAATTGTTAACCGATCCCGCTCAACTAGCTAGCGCATCCGGCAGATTCAATCTTGACAGTGGGCCAGGCATTTCATGAACCCCGTAGAAGGAACTGACCCTTGTCTAGAAATCTCTAAATAGTATAAGCCGAAACCTGCCCCGAGCCATTCAAGTGCCGTGAGAGAAGATTCCTCTTCGCAGTGCCAGGCGGTGAACTCTCTGAAGAGGGAGCATCGCTTGCCGATGTCTGGTTCGGGGATCATGACGTCCGGTTTGGCAACTCAATGTTCTGTGCTAAACAGACCTTGCAATAGTGGATTAATTTCACGGCTTATAGTCTTCCACGGCTAATCAATTCCCGCGGCTTATGGCTCTCCACGGATTGGGGTCTGAACTTCTGCACTCCGTAATAAGTGTGAATCAGACTATGCTAGGATCATCGGCATATAAGCCTGAATATGAGAGCCGAGATGGCCGGGGCTTAAATTAGATGGTCGTCACTAGACAGGGGTATCTAAGACATCCGATTCTTAGTTGTAAGCTACATTTTTACTATTCTCGGTAACGGCAATTGTTTGCCCTATATGTCAAGGTATTTTGACCGTGCTCTATCCGCGGCGGAATTCAAAAAGATGGCATTGGCTGTGAAGTGGAAGACTTGCTTCCATAGTCACTAGTTGCTTCTGCACCAGCTGTCACGAAAGGTCGGCGGTAGGCAGCCCCCAAACAACATGGTATATTGGACAATGACTAAAGCTTCTGATATTAGTTAGTTACTATGAGTTTCATCTGTCCGGATACTGCCGAATAATATCAGGCTAAATTCTTCTACCGTGATAGCCCCTTCACCGCACATCCTATTTCGGTGCTAGTGTATCAACTTCCTCACTCGCCTTTCTATCAACTCCTCAAACTCATCAACACCTCGTCCCAGAACACTCAACTCCCCACCGCGTACCATATACATGACTCTCCTCCTATTCTCTAACCCATCCACAGTATCATCTTCCTCATCCTCCGACTGCCCTTCATCTATACCCCCCTCCACAGCCCCCCTCATAAACCATCTATCATGACTAACAGCAACAACTGCCCCATCCCACTCATTAAGCGCCCGTCTTAACGCTGTAACAGTCTCATAGTCCAAGTGGGTCGTGACCTCATCCAGAACAAGGCAATGAGGACGACGCCAGAACAACCGTGCCAATGCACAGCGAACCAGCTGTCCGCCCGACAGCTTGCGAATAGGTACATCTGAGGCTAGACGCCCAGGCAGTCCCAGCTGACTTAGGAGGCCGCGGATCTCACCCTCTGTCAATTCCCCATCAACATCCTGGGTCAATAGTGCTAGCGATGTGAGTGTTTCATCCTGCGCACCAAGGGCTTGCAGACCCTCCACTCCATGCTGGGAGTAATATCCCAGCCGTAGGCGAGGGTGCGTATTCCTTGTTCCTTGTGTCGCATTTGTATCTCCAACCAATGTTTGGATGAGTGTTGACTTGCCCGCCCCGTTCAATCCCAATATCCCAATTCGGTCGCCCATACCGACCGAGAGGTCGACATCCCGGATGACGATCGGAGACGTAGCCGCATAACGAAAGCTGACTTTTTCAAGGGTTATAAGCGATCCTGGAAATCGTAGATCAGGCGGCTCCGGTAAATTTAGAATAACGGGGCGTTCTTCCGGGGGTATGTCGATCTCCTCTCGAGCTGTAAAGTGATAGCCAACTAGGTCGCGATTTAACTTAAACCTACCGCCCCTAGCACCGACTTCCATGCCCCACCGGTTATCCAGTTTCTTCTGACGTGACTTCGCTTGTCGGATCTTGTTCTGATCGTCGTTTGCTTTGCCCGCCTTGAGATTGGCTGCGATCGTCTTCTCAATGTGGGCTTTTTGCTTTTCCTGTGCTTCTTTCATCGTCGTGAGATATTTTCGTCGTTCGGATTGCGATATCTCGTATGTGGGCAGGTCTCCGTGGAAGTATGTGAGCTGCTTGTCTTTGAGAATGATCAGATCCGTGCAGAGGCTGATGAAGTCTCGATCGTGGGACACGATAATCATGGTAGGTGGCTTCCGGCTATCCCCCATCGAGGTGAGGTGTCGTTGCAGCCAGATAATGCCTAGCATGTCGAGGAAGTTTGTAGGTTCGTCAAGGATCAGTATATCGGCGTCCTGTAAAAGGGTAGCTGCAAGAGCTGCTCGCATGTGCCAACCGCCCGACAAGTCGGAGATAGGCTTTGCCATCATTGCAGATGAGAATCCTAATCCGGTCAGGATACTCCGCGCCCTAGTCTCTGTTTCTGCAACAAGAGCTGGTTCGATTTGTGCTTGAAGCTGCGCGAGCAAGTCCACTGCATCTTGAGTCTCTTGCTGGAGGGTGTCGGCCGAGATGTCTTCGCTGGGTTGTTCTACCCTGGGTAAATTGTCAGTTCGGAAGGGCTAGCGCTGATCAAGGTCGATGTCTAACGAATTGTCCACGCACATTCTCTTCGATTCAGCAACAATTTTCTCAAAGGCCACAAGCGCTTTCCTGGCTTGCATGCCTCGCATACCACTGCGTAGTCGAGCATCTTTATCCAATATAAAGAGGCGCTTTTGGAGGCGCTCGTGTTTCAGCGACCGAAGTGCTCTAACTGGAGCATAAGGATCTGAAGTATCAATTCCCTGAGACAGGGCTAATTTGTTAGCTAGAACACAACACCATCAGATGTATACATACTCGATATCTCTTGTTCAATAGCACTCCTAGACGTGGCCCTCTCTATCACAGTCTGTAGGACATTCAGACCTGTATGATCCCTACCCGCTTGCCTGGGATCATTGACCCCATCCGTCAGTCTGGTCTGCTGAAGTATCGCAATTTTTGTGTTCTCTGGTATTCCCGGGATGAGCTTCTCCGCTATACTTCTCAATAATGCTGTTTTAGGACGAGGCAAACTGGTCAGCCCATGAGTAAAAGTTATCTGTCTAGCAGGGCTGTCTCTTACTCGACTTCCCAGTCCCATTCCGACCGACAAGAGCATATCGCCGACCTTCTTTTAATGACAGATCCGCGCTGGATAAAATCTCGATACCGTCTTTAGATCTCGCTTTGGATTTCCCCTTCGTGGCGAATTTTTTCTCCACTGATGTAACGAGAATTTGCAGTCCCTTGATGTCGAGCTAGAGACATGGGCACAGTCAACACATGAGACTTATTGATCCTGTGTAACTCATTGCTGCAACTTAGACTTACCTCGCGGTAATTGGGAGATTCGATATGAAATCGAGTTTGTTGGGAGGTACATTGAATCGTTGCAGGTGAGTCCATTTTTCCGGTGTCGGACTGCGCTATGAGTTCGTTAAGTACTTGACTGTCGCTTTGGCGTGTAGTGTAAGCAAAATTTTCTGCAGTGGACCGAGTGATTTGGCAGATAACAATGATGTTTGATGTTTGAACAAGTTGATTCGTCGTCTAGGTGTTTTTGAAGATGCAGAGAGTGTGACGAGCAATCTAGACGTCCTTACAGTGCGGTTACATACCAAGAATAAATGATCCTTTCAAGTCGGGGTCCCGAAAGGGATAAGCCATGCGCTGATCAATTGAGAGGAACGGCTAGTGGACTAGACCCTGAGAAAAATGTATAAGGTACCAAAGCTGGCTTGTCGGGTTCCCGTAAGAGACTATACCGCTATATCCCCTTCACTATGGCGCAGGCACCGGAGTTCTGAAGGTGGCGGATGGGTCCATGTCGGGGTCCCAAAAGGGAAGGTTAGTCACAATGAACCACCTCGGGACGCCTGCACCAGTATCCACTATCGTGCTAATTGGCATTTCTGTGACTGATCAGCACCGAATCACTGTTTTGGAATGGCAGGAAGTACTAAAAGTAGTCATACATGTTTGACTCATCGGTTACTCCTAGCATGATGCCAATGAAGATGTCCTGGATCATGACTCCAATGAGCGGAGGTTGAGTCCAAGACAAGCGGGGAGCTTATCGTTACCCAGGAAAGATTAACTTTCGCCGTTCCCCACCTTCAGTTGATGGTTAGGTAGTGATTACAACTGAAATAGCATTGAAGATAGGGCTGCGGGAGTCCAGGACAGTGTCCGCCTTTCTGTGGATACATACCCAAAAGGGATAAATGTCGCTATCATTACCTATCAAATATCATAACAAGCCCATCCACCATCAGATTACAAGCCTCATTGAAGGGTTGGCTCTCCTTAAAAGTCTCACGTAAAGGACTACCAGCTTTTCCCTTGCCACCTTGAGATAACCACAACACCACCATGAACGAACCACCACCCCCCAACCAAGCCCCCATCATAAACCTACCAACCATAACCAACCCAACCTATATCCAAACCATCATCGGCAAACCCTCTCTTCTGTCCCTCAACATCGACAACTTCCTCGGCATCCCATACGGAGAAATAACCCATCGATGGAAGCACGCCAAACTCCGCACCCACCTCCCATCCGATGTGTTCTACGCAACAACAAACGGGTACTTGTACATCCAACCTAACATTCTCCACACATTAACAAATTAACCCGCTAACATTAGACCCAAATGCCCCCAACCACCCGGCGGCGACAACAGCGTCTACTTCCAAGCAGACATTCCCTTCCCCAAACCCGTACCAGAATCAGAATTCGACTGTCTGAACCTCAACATCATCCGACCTAGTGCAACGGGTCTATCCCGTGCCGGTATAGATCCCTCCATCAAACTGCCGGTTCTCGTCTGGATACATGGCGGTGCGGGCGCATTTGGCGCGGGGAGTGATCCTATAATAGGTAGTTAAAAACTACTAGATTTCATTTCTCCCACGATGGACAGATAACAATTACTAATATAACATCAAGACCCCACCCGCCTCGTCCTCCGCTCAGTAGAATCTCGCCGGCCCATGATAGCAATAACCATATCCTACCGCCTTGGCGTTTTCGGATTACTTGGTTCAGCTGATATGCTGGATACCCAAGCACATACTACTGATATCAAAGGCCTCAACTTCGCTACTTATGATCAGAAGATCGCGTTGACGTGGATTTCAACCAACATAGGATATTTTGGTGGTGATGCTAATCAAATTACACTCGGTGGGAACTCATCCGGTTCTCATGATGTGCATACACATCTGCTCGATGCAGATACGCATGGAACCCCACTGTTCCGGAGAGTCATTATGCACTCTGGTGCCAGGGGGACGGTGTCGCCGGGTAGTTTGGCAGATGCGGAGGTGGGGTGGAGGAAGTTGTGTGGGTATTGGGGGGTAAATCAGGAGATGGGGGGCTTGGAGAGGGTGGAAGGATGAGGAGCATTCCGGCGAGGGAGTTGTTGGAGGGTGCGCTGGTGAATGGGGTTTGTGTGATGCCGCCGGTTGTTGATGAGGTGGGGATGGGGTGGGAGGTGGTTACGTTACCTGGGGTTGAGGGTGGTGCTAAGTTCAGGGATGGTGGATATGGGAGGCATTATCCTGTTGAGGTTATGATTGGGGCGTGTGAGGCTGAGGTTAGTGTGTTGGACTCTACTACTCACCTTCCTCTAATTCTTCAGCTATGGGGTGCGGCTCCTTGCTAACAGTGTTACCGTCCGGTGTATAGTCAGCTGGTCACTTCCAAGAAAGCAACATCACCTTCTCATCCCTCAAAGAAACATTCACGAAAAGCTATCCCACTCCCGAAGCAGCCACATTGATTCTCCAACTCTACGGTCTAGTCGAAGGCGCATCACAGAGAAGCTTCCTCTCCGGCCTCGAACGATTTCGCTCAGACGCTGTCTTTCACTTACCCATCCACCGTACGATAGATACGTTGAGGGCCCAGCGCCACAATGTATATGGCGATGCACACAGTATCCAACACTTCCATATTGAGTTTGGGAACCCATTTCCTGGACCGAAGATGGGATGTGCGCACCATGGGGTGGAGTTGATTTATCTCTTCGATGCATTTCATGAGCAGCTTGTTGACCTAGATGATTTGTCTACTGGGCAGGGTGTGATGAAGCATATGGAGTTGGTGAGGAGGTTTCAGGATCATTGGATTGGGTTTATTGTTGGAAGGGCGGTACAGAAGGTTAGTGATAAGGAGGTGTTGGTTTGGGGTGAGGATGGGGATACTAGGGTTGAGATGTTGAATGAGATGTCTAGGTGGGTGGAGAGGAAAAGGCGGCTTGAGGTGCTGGGGAGGGATGTTAAATCTATGATGAGGGTATTTTGGGCTTTGGGGTAGATGGTTCTGGAGAAGGTCGATTTAGAGTATGTACTATGGGTCTTCGGTAGCATAGTCAAAGATCGTGTAGGTATATTGCAGTCCTATATTAATGTCCCATAAAATATTGACAGAGCCAAACTCGATCTGGTATATGGTATCTTGTCCAATGAGTAATACAATGTCAATCTGGATATCACCGCTTCAAAACAACAACAGCTCTCTATCGAGAAAGCACTCTGATCTACTCCAACTAAGCCCCCCTTACTCGCTGCGCTTCTCCACCTCAACCTCCGTCCTACCAGCACCAGTCTCCGTGCTCTCACTGTCACCACTAGCAGGCTGATCAGCAGGACCGAATCCGTACTGAATAGCAACCTGCTCGACCTCCTCATCGGTCAAGAACGGCAATTCCTTGGCCGCACGCACATAGGTCATCTTCTCAAGGTATCCCTTGGCGAAAATTAAGTCAATTTCTTCGAGTGATCTACCCTTTGTCTCGGGGTAGAAGAGGTAAATGACCGGGATGAAGAGGGCGTTGATCACCGCGAAGAAGAGGTACGTGCCCCATCCAATGTTGCGAATCATAATGGGGGTGACCATGACAATGAGGAAGTTGAAGAGCCAGTTGGTGCAGGTGGAGATGGCGTTGGCCTTGGTACGGGTCTTGATCGGGGAGATTTCAGCAGGGTAGAGCCAGGGAAGCGGCAGCCAGGTAGCGCCGAAGGTGGCAATGAAGGTGAACAGGCCGACGGCGGCACCCTTGGCGGCTTCGGGGCCGCCTGGGATCAAGCACGCAAAAGTGATCACCATGGAAGCGCTTTGGCCGAATGAGCCGACAAGGAAGAGGTTGCGACGGCCGACCTTTTGGATCAGGAACCAAGATGAACAGGCGAAGATAGAGTAGACAATCATATTGACACCGCCCAGAATCATTGCCATGAATTCGGTTTGGTGAAGGGATTGCTGCATCAGGACGGGTAGGTAGTAGATGACAGCATTGCAACCACCGATTTGCTGGAAGAATTGAGATGAGCAACCAAGAAGCATGCGACGGCAATGCTGGGTCTTGCCGCCCGTGAAGACGGCGGAGAGGGGAGTGGACTTGGTTGCCATGCCGGAACTGGTGAGGTTAGCTTAGGCTGAGGTTGATTTGAGGGCAGGGAACATACGCTCTGAGAGAGTCCAGAATGATGGTCTTCTGCAGCTGGACCTCGTGGTGGCTGATTTCCTTGCCCTGCAAGGCGGCAATGACCCGCTCACCTTCCTCGTAGCGCTCCTGGGTGAACAGCCATCTGGGAGACTCGGGCAGCACCATGAGACCGAGGATGATGAGAAGACCGAAGAAGATCTGGAAAGCGATAGGGAAACGCCAGGTGAGGTCATCGGGACCATAGGAGGCGCCGAAGTCCACCCAGTAGGAGATCAGGGTTCCAATAGCAATGGTACTACCCTCGATACAAATGAGCAGACCACGATTGGAGGTCCTTGAACATTCAGCCTGATATGTGGGGATGGTGGATGTGTTCATGCCGTTTCCAACACCAGTAATGACACGTCCAACACAGAATTGAGCCAGAGGGACGTGTCCCTTGACAGACGTAACCTGGATGATAACACCGATGATCATGATAGTGGCACCCAGCATGATGGAGTATCTGCGGCCGAGCCAGTCACCGCAGGCGAGGATAAAGACAGCACCGGCGAGGCATCCTAGAGGGGTTAGAGTCTGGTTCTGAGCCAAAGACAAGGGATGTACCTACCCAATTCATAGATAGCAGTGACCACACCCTGAATGGTGGAGTTGTCTCTCGTAGCCGTGAAAATGTCGTTGAACGGATCGGCGTCAATAATACTGCTCATCACACCCTCTAAATCGAGGTTAGCTCAAGGCTGAAAGCGCCAGGCAAAGGGAAAGCCTCACGATCGTAACCAAAGAGCAAGAAACCCAAGGTCGCACAGGAAGTCACAGACCAGATCAGCTTCCGACCGGACAAGCCGGCGAAAGTGGGCACCGAAGACATGGTGAGATGTCTTATTTTTGGCTGAATCAGGACTGATGCAGGTCGCAAGCAACGGTGGGATTGAACGGGAAGCGACGCGACCTCTTTATAGCTAAGGGCTGCACCCCGGAAAAACCGTGAGCTCTGCGGGGTGGAGGTCGGGCTGCATTGCTTGCTTCAACGACTAGGATAATCGGAAGAAGAGCTTCTCGGTCACACCAATCAGCTCATCTCGGCAAGGGCAGGGGAGACGAATGAACGGGGAGAAATGAAGGCATCGAGGAAGGTTCAGGGCCGCGTTCCCTCCTTGGCTCCCGGCCAAGGGCTGGGCAGATGAATGCCGAGATCTTGGTTCCAGCCAGGATGGGAGGTTTGGGGGAAGAAGAGGAAGGACAGCCGAAGACATGACGAGGAGTCTGTCAGACTGTGAAACTGTGAAACTTTTCATTTCTGAATCAGGCTGGTATCCCGAATTCTCGCGGGTTGATGAGGCTGCGACAAGAAATGATACCAAGACAGGCCGAGTTGGGTGGAGGGCACCCACCACCCACACTTATGCTCTCGGTAACCCTCACCCACTTGCTGCCTCGCTCTCTCTCTACACCTACCATGGAAAAACACTTAGGACACTCACATCGTAGCGAGACTAATTGAACCAATTACTTTCTACCCTTATACTTTCAAAAAATTGGTCATTCAGTCAGCACCAACCTCAATCCTCACGCCACTTGCCAAGCCCACCAGCACCACCACCAGTCAGAACAAATCCCGCAACTCGCTGGAAATTGGCCGGATTTCCATTCCAAACTTTGACCATCGAATTGAAGCAACCCTACCTACCTACGCTAGTAACCTTTTACCACCACCGTCGGGGGGCCAAGTTAAGTTGCACCGCGCAAGCCAAGAAGCCTTGTCGATCTTGCCTATTCCTTACTTTTACGCCCAGCGACGCCGTTGCCGCAACCGTGTGTGTATGTGGGCGTGAATTGTCAACATAGCCGAAGCCAACCTGCATGCTACTAGAGCTATAGTAATCTTCCTTTCCACGTGTGCCATGCGATGACAAGAGTATCGGGAACATGCCACTGTGGACTCTGATACGTGACTTGCTCTAGCTTATCGCAGCTCAGCTGTTTGCCAACGCCAACGCTCATGCTCGTGCTCGCACAGACTAGGATGCTGTGCAGGTAGAATCTATCTAGCTCGTGCATGGCCGACAGCTTGAAACTTGGCCGACTGGTTGTGCTGCTGTGTCTTACCTTAGTTAGGCGGGAGAGCGCCATGACTCATTCGTTCATTAAGTGAACTCTAGAGGATTGACACTCGTGGCGCCGATGACGTTGTCGCGTCGGGTAGTTCTGTTGGTGGTGGTGTCCTAAGTAGCTTCTTTGTGGTCTTCTGGTGGATAGATAGACAAGCAGTAGACGGTGGCGTCTTTGAGCAGGGGCCTGACCAAGTCAACACCATCATCATCATCGTGGCTTTGTGGAAGAGAGAGTGGGGTGAGGTGAGTGAGCGGCAATAAACAGTCCAGGGCACGTGCCACGATCACTTGCTTTGAATGCGGGGACTCCGCATATTCTCAAACAAGTGACAGCCTCGACGGGTAATGAGAAGAGACATAACATAATAACTAGCATCTTCTCTCACGGGTAGTATTATCTCCGTAGATAGATATATCTCGACCAAGCTGTCTTTTTTACAGATACTCTCTTTTTACTCTCTTCTTTTTACTGCGCATTGACTTCAGCTGCGAAATTTTCAGCCGACTGTCACAAGCGATCCAGTGATTGAGCGTCCACAAAGTGTCTGACCGCCAAGATGGCGCCGCCGCGGTGATCTTGGCGGGCCCTTGGCGGGCTCTTGGCACTGGCGCTTAGGGAAATTTTCGGGTGAGACGGGCGGCAAGCTGGGGATCGGAATTTTGCGGGGTTTCACTCCTTACTAGGTGGTGAGTAAGACGATGGCACGATGGGGGCTAAATTAATGGTATGTGGTATGCCGTTATATTATACATTTCTTTCCATAGGCTTTTCTGTACAGAATGCATCTAGTCTGTTATGACATATGTGGCGCTATATGCAATATATACCTGGTCTATACCTTCCCTCTAAGCATTACTGGCACAAGAGAAACTGCTGCTGTTGGCGTCGTCGTGAAGGGACCGGCCGGATACGTAGAGTCCGAGACCGCACTGGTGCTGTGGTTAGGAAAGAAATGACAATAGCAGGAAGGATACTCACAATGCAAGCTGCAATACCGATTATAATAACGTTGAGGATAGTCAGGGCAATCTTCTTCGGCGAAGAGAACAGTCGATCCTTGTTGAGGTAAAGCCAGAACATGCCGCTGAAGCCGACTATTTGCTGTTAGTGTGAGTACGACGAATGAAAGGGATTAATGCGCTCACATGTAGACCAACTAGCGAAAAGGGACGCCTAGAACGTAGTTAGTAAGATATTTGAGTAAAAGAGGCTGGCAGCATACAATCAAACTCAGCAAATCATTGAACACAGGAATGGCCTCTGCAATGATCCAGGCAATGATCCACAATCCCAAAGCGATGCCCACCCAGGATCCAGTTGCCACGAGGTCGCGGCTGTGCATCCGGTCTCCGTGACGGAAGATACGGACATAGACATATTTACAGGCGACATGGCCATTCACAACGCCACCGATGATGATCTATCACATGTCAGTAGAGCAAAGGCAATATGAGCACCGCACGTACGGTAGGAAGGGCAATTCCGTAGGCCACCTTGCCCACGAGTTCACTAGCGGAGCCTAGTGCAGGGGACGTGACATTAGGCCCCGCATAAATGTAGATCACCACAGAAGTAACCAGGTAGAGAATGGTGTCGAGACCCTGGAGAAGACATAGGGCCTTGGGGTACTCCCGGTGGTCCTTCAATTCGGACATGAAGCCGAAGAATGCGACATGACCCGCTATTGCACGTTAGTAGGAATAGCTAATGCAGGAGAAAAAAGTGACCCACAGAAGGAGAAGACGATGTTGCAGACAGCAAGGAATGCTTCATACAAGCTGGTATCCACCGTTGCTTCAAGGGTTCCCTTGTAAGGACGTTCCACACCGAGGGCAATCATAACGATCATCACGGCGGAGAACACACTGATGAAAGCTGTGCAAGTTAGTATCGTGAGACCAACTGACATTGTTCGCAACTCACAAGCAACAGAGAGATAGGACACATTCGCAGACGTCCTAGGTAAACCCAGGAAGTAGCAGATCACAAGACCGACAACACCAAAAACGATGGAGCAAGTTCCATGTTCCGTAATGGTGTTCATGGCGACCGAGAAGGTCAACAGATGACTCGCCATGATGAAGATTACGAGCAGCAGCTGTCCGATACCGAAGATCTCTCGACCGATAGACCCAAATAGGATCTCACCAGCATCGGCCAGATTCTGGACATGGGGATAGCGCCATCTGAACTGACCGATGACGTAACCGGTGTAGGTAGCCAGAAGACCGAGGCCAACAATGAGAACAATAGCACTGCACTTAGTTAGAGGAAGATATCACTTCAAGCAGCTGTTGGTTCAGTACATACGGAGCAAGACCCAGAGTGGCGACAACAGCAGGCAGCGACAGGATACCAAGGGACACGGTTTCCGCAACCATGACTGGCAAAGTTAGTAAGACAAGCTGTCGACTGATGCTAGCATCAGAATCACTTACGGAAACCACATTGCCTGGCACATTCAAGTCAGTTATTCAGTAGCAGATATAGGAGGTTTGAATAGACATACCACCAGCTCAAGACCTTATATTTAACCTCGGCATACTCTTCATCGCCAAAGGTGTCATTATAGACGGGACTGTCCTTCTTATCGTCCTGCTTCTCCTCTGCGTCATGCAGATAGGGTTCCTCTCGGCCCTCCTGAAAGAATTGACCCGTCTGAACATTCAGATGGGAATCAAACTTGTCGCCAGTTGGATGGGCCATGACTTTGCGGTGACGGGAAGGTGAGAATCCCAGCTTGCCTCTCCTCTCCTCAGGAAATGAGATGGACGAGGAGTGGGGACGGTAAAAAGAACTGGCGACGAAGAAAGTTTCCTGGGGATGTACAACGTCAACGGCCCAACCGCTCCTACATTGACACAAACAGGCAAACAATCAATCTAGCGCAGAAACTGAACAACAATGACAGGCTGAAGATGTCAAGAGGAACTGCGATGACAAATGAACGAGGCCGGCGAGAAGACCATCTTCTGAGTCACCCGCCGGGCCGAATGAAAGTCTTTGCATCACAACAAATTTGTGTGTTCAACGTTACACCTGTTGAACATCTCATTACCTAATTCGCGAGCCTTTTCAGTGGGGCTCTCCGCTTCATCTGCCCGCCCCCGACCAATGGTTTCCAATGCCAAGCCGGCGGTGCCTGCGGAAGGGCCTGGCACTAGGCTGGATTGAGAAGGACCTGCCGGGATGGTGTGGGGGCACCATCATGTGATCGGTGATGCAGAAAGATTCTGGAATCAGAAATCTTCTAGAAGCTGAGCCTGGAATCATGAGATGTTGAATAGTTATACATTCGCCACTACATTATAGTCATCCAATAACTAGCATGATGGCCTCATGTGGTGAAGTGGCGGATTTCCCCCTGGATATGACTACTAACTCAAAATTGATTCATCATCTGTGGGAATGGGTACAAGGTATTCATAGTGCCCGACTAGTAGAATATATATTTCCGCTTGGAATGCCTTCCCTGTCACTCTATTAGGTCGACAGCTGCATGTTCACAGACAGTATTGGAGTAAGTGAACATTTAGCCTGCTCCATGTGATCGCTTTGGGCCCCCTATCATAAGCACTGCCATAACGAGGCTACTGTGCTTGTACTGGTAGGATGAGTCCCTGCGTGATGTGATCTACTTCCCTGTCAGCCCCCAAAGAGATCCCAATCGGAATCATTTGCCTGACCCACACATAATGTTGCGGAATACCGTGTTCCCTTTACTCGGCGAATTAGATTGTTTCCCTATACGAGTACGCTATCAAGTCCTAGTAAGTCTGATAGGAATAACTGTTCCTGCTCCAGATAATCAAACAATGCCACAGCTTTCCGATAGGTCCAGGAAATAAATAAGGACGACACTGTCCAGAGCAGATACGGGGACTCCCGATCGAAGAGGCCCAAAGTAACCCTGCTACGAAGCGACCAATCGCGTATTCGCACGATCCTTTAGAGCGTTATTTTAGAGATACTCGTAATATCAAGGCCTCGAGGCACATTCAACCATTAATCCGATTACCCTTCTTGTTGCATGTCCACTCCAGCAACCCTTCCATACAACCCTGAGTTGACTGTCATAACACAAAAAGGTATCGAATGAGCTCGACCAAGCCCTTGCACTATTTATCAAAGCGGTTGCCTGCTATATCTTTGTCCTTACATTCCGAGAACTGCTTCGTGTCCTCGAGCCCTTCCTCGATCTACGCAGTCTCAACAATGGAACCAACGCAACAGAGAAGCCTTTGGGCGACCCTAACAACCATCCTCAGCACCCTGATGCATGCGGCCTGGAGAAGCATAGTTGGGGGTTTAATAACCAAATAAGTCATTTCTCTTCGAATGCGTGCAGGTAGGTGGTATTTGATTTCTGTGGGGATAAGTATGCAACTGGCTCGCCTCTCTCTCAAAGGCATCTGCTAGGCTTTGTCATCGCGACATGTTGGATTCGCAGATAGCAGAGCCATATCGATCCGATTAGAGACTACTTATGCAAATAGACAATCTGACCTGGAGGCTGATGTTTGAGGAGATAGCATGAGCGACCTCTTACCTTTCTGAGAGATGAATCGAAGCTACGCGATTGGGTTGGAATAAAAGGCTACTGCAGATGTCCAGTTTTTACTTCAAAATTCTCATACCAGGAAGATCAAGAACTTATTGCTAGCTGTTGCAAAAGCAAAATAACAAAATTAACTCAAGAACCTCCCACCACCTGGATAAGGTACGAGCATAACTACTTATCAAAACTTAAAAGTGGGAATGGGTGTAGCACCATCAAAAGCGCGAAGCATTTCTTTAAGCGGAAAAGACTCAACATTGGTTCGAAAGACGATAAGGGAGACCAACGCCATGAGCTGGGGTTGCTTGTAGTTCTCGCTGCTCTCCCATGAAGCTAAAGTACTATGAGGGCTCTCCGTGTTGGATCCGACATTTCCGATCGTACCGATCGTGGGTTTCTAAACAGTCCCAGTAGTCCTGTTTGTCGTATTGCACACCAGGAGGAGGGTTCTCGTCCGTCCTCAGCACGCAGTCAAGACACAGTCCATCAAAGTAGCCAGCTACGCGGGTTGCTGTGGACTCAACGATATTGTTCCAATTCATACTGCACATAACGCAATTCATTGGGCTGTTCGTGGCAGGATCAATGTACTTGTGCATTCGATCCGCGTCGAAGTGGGCCAGGCGATTCAGCAGCTCGTCAATTCCATGGTTCGTGAAGCAGTTATCGAAAGGCCAGGCTTGTATTCTCTGAAGCTCTCGAAGGAATTCGAAAACGGTACGCTCACAGCAGGGTGACAATGGTCTTTGGAGGATATGCGTAATGCGGCCGGAGAGCTCTTGGTGGACAATCTCGCCGAGACGATCACGGGCACCATTCAATTAGCCTGTTAAATCCGTATATATCATAAGTCAAAAATGACGATGTCTCGGGTCTTACATTTTGGAGTTTCATAGGATAAGCAGGGCAATTATAAGTCGGGACTTACTCATGATAGGTGTTGCAAGCGGCACCCTACGCTCAATAGGGATGTGCGCTGTAATATGCCCACTGCTCTGGTATACCACAGTCCACGTTGCTTGGGCAAAGATCTCGGCTTGGTTATAAACAGCACTCGGAAGCAAGATCTCATGACAGTAGCTCAGCTCTTTGCCTGGCTCGACCTTGCCTTTTTGGTGAGCGCACCACGTCTCGAACCATTGCGTAAACCCCTTGAGCTCGACTTCACAGGATCGGCACTCACTCGGCAGACTCCAAATATCCGCTAAGGAGACAGCGTCTACACTCATCTGTTCCAGAGTGTTGTGAAGCTTGCGCAGTATGATCTCAAAAGTGATAATGTTGGAAGGCATCACACAGAGTTTGTTGTTTAGCCAGTCTCGAAAAATTCGAGAGTTGAGGAGTGTTGCACGGTCAACATCGAATGTTGCCTGCTTGTGCCGTCTATGCTTCGAGTATATGTTACTCTGTGTGACGGTCATTTCGAAGTCGGACGGACAGATGATTGAAATCTTTTCATGGCTTATCCTGTCTTCTAGTGACGCTGGAGGCATTGTATAAGGGGGAAGCCACTCAATTTAACACACATAAAACTTTGATTGTACAGCTGAAAAAGAAAGCTGGACTATTTATTTTGGGTGTTGATTGAGAATCTAAGTACTAGAGATTGACACGAAGCATCGAGCATGGATATCAAAGCCGAGTGACGTGTGAATGATATGAAAGGGTATATAACGTAAATGCTGCAAGCTCGCCTTCCTCTGCTAGCCGTCCTTGGCACGAATTTCAACGAGATATGTTGGCTCTGCCGTTCAGACCTTCACTGCCTTCCCATCTACTCATAGTCATGCAACTGCTTTTGAGGCGGCACATCTCCTCGCAAGATATATTTCCTTACATACCACGGCAGCATCCCTGCATAGTGATTGACGTGCTTTCTCGTGGGAATCGAGAAGACTTGGTCCAGTTCCTCGAGAGACAACGCTTTGGTCTCAGGCAGACAGAAGTAGCAGAAGATCCATCCGAACACGTTCCATGCTGCGTACCAGCCAAATGCGCCTTGTGGACTGAAGGCGTCCCGCAATGGAAGCCACGTCAATGAGACAATGAAGTTGAAACCCCAGGTCGTCGCAGTCGCAAAGGACATGCCTACATCACGGATATAAAGTGGCTGTGTCTTGTTTAGCAAGAACCCTTCTCACAGTTTGATACACGTTAACTTACAAATGCCTCAGCAGAGTACGTGAAAGGTACTGGTCCCTCGCCTGGTGAGTACACCACCATGAACAGATAGATGCCCGTCGCCACGCAAGCCGTCCTTGATGTTTGGTCCGGAATATAGAATGAAAAGCCGGTGAAAAGCAGAAATAGGCTCATCAATGGGAATGTGGTGAGGAGCAGGTTCCGCCTGCCAAACGTGTCAATCGTATATACTGCCGGCAGAGCGAATATCCAGTTCGTTATACCACATCCCAATGACGTCACCAGCGCCATACGCCTATCAAACCCTGCATCGGCGAACATTGAACTCGAATAGTACATTATCGCGTTGACACCGCAGAATTGTTGCATAAACATGACAAAAAAGGAGGATTGTGCTGCTCGTCGATTGCGTGGGATGGTGAACATCTCGCGCCAGAGGTGTTTGCCTTCCCGGAGCTGTTCCTCCACCTGTAGTGCCGTGTGGATATAGTAGAGGTCGCGGGCCGCCTGAAACGAGGAAGGGCGGAGCTTACAAAGTGCTTTGTAAGCGTCCAGATAGCGATTTTTCATCATATACCATCTGGGTGACTCGGGGCAGAAGTACACCTGCATGCACACGAAGAAGGGACTCGACGGGATTAGCACAACTAGGGCCTGTGAGTTAGGTAGGTCTGACTAAACTTACGGGATGGCAGTTGAACCCAGCATCAATCTCCAGTTGAAACCGGGAATTGTGGGGTGTGTCACATCCATGAAGGCAACTGAAGCAATGTACCCTAGCATAATCCCAAATGCGGTCCACATTTGCCACATCATAACCAACGCACCACGAATGATTGCTGGAGAGCATTCCGCACCATATACCGGGGTTGTTGTTGACTTGGCACCTACTGCAAAACCAAGGAGGAATCGGGCCAGTAGCAGGTTCCACCAAGTGTGTGCCGCAGCCATCCAAAAGGACGAGGCAAAGGATATGAAGCATGAGATGAAGATGCATCCACGACGACCAAACCACCGGTTCAGAGGGGCTGTCGTCCAGCATCCTATAAGCGCCGAGCATAAGTATGGAGCCCCGTTGAGGAGCCCTTGCTGCCATCTATTGGTGAGGTTGAATTCGGCGAAGTAGAACCTGACCGTACTCAGTTATTAGAAAGGGCAAGTCTCACAATGTGTCACTTACTCTTGTGCTCCATTAACTGCCGTCTGGTCCATGCCCTGGACAATTGCGGAACCAGCACAAAGAACTAGTATCTTGTTAAGATCCAATCTGTGCCAGTCTGTATTGGAGAAGACGTACTAGTCATGAAGTACATCATAAATGGCTGGCTCCATCGATGTGTCTTCTCACGTCGAAGCAGTTCTTTATCGCCTTCGGATAATTCATCAAGGGACTCAAAGCCCTTAGGATCTTGGGCTACGAGGGAGCCTCTTTTCAGCTCATCCATGATATGCTCCAAACCCTTGTCCCTTGCAAATGACTCGACATCTCGAAATAGTTCATCACGCGTCAGGCCAGAAAGTGGATTCTTCAACCTTGTGGATGTGGTGACATTCTTGCTCTCGGTCAAATCGTGTGTCCAATCTTGAGCAACCTCTGGATCTTGCTTGTCATTAGAGGTAGGTGATTTAAGGTGATGAACAGTCGAGGTAGGATTCTCCAGGCCGCCTTTTTTGTCATCCATAATGGTATTAGGTAATGCAGCCCCAGTGACCACTTGATAGGGAGGTCTTTTGTTTATATTGGAAGTAGAGCAGGGCGCACCGTGTCTTAACGAAAGTTCCCTGGGTCAGGATGGCCTATTTGTACCCCGGTGCACTAAAGACCTAAATACGTAGGTCTATTGGGCTCAATCCAGCCGAAATGACTCGTTCCATTCGCGTCAAAGCATAATTTCAGGCTTCCTAATGTTACAGCCAATCTGATATTTAGGTCTAAGTACTCGGTTTCACGGATCCGACCCAAGAACCTTGGACTTCAATGAACGCAACTGCGAATTTTCTTGGACTACATATGCCGAGATCTTGGATGCGTGGCACTATCCATACAGACAACCTCCGAAGTGGTCACTCCATCCATACCTATTCCGACTTGAGTTTATGAAAGACTAATACCAAGACTGAGGGGCACTGAAAGCGGCTCCTAAGGCTTGGGAAACCATGGCCTGTGTCTGTTGTATCAGGCCGTCATCCAGGCGTGACTTTGGTGGAGGGTACGTGTAGCAGCTTGTAACCCCCGCTCGGTCTTGGCCGACAACCTCGTGTATCCGGGGATATCTGCGTGGCAACTTTCAAGCAAAACAGCCTCCCCAGATCTCACCCGCTGTGCGGCGGAGAAATTGGCAACCTCCGCTGGCTTGAATGACTCTCGGCAGCTTGGCGCCCAGATAGAACTGTCTGAGCACCTCGGACAAAGACCGAACCGGCGGTCGGACGAGTCCAGGATTCGCTGCAAACGATTGTATGAGCCGATCTCCAGGCCGGTGAGGTGTCGACTTGGGTCATCTGAGAAGCGCACAGAGTCTCCATGTTGTCAGATGGATCCATATTGATCATACTGTCTTGGGGCTGTAGACTGGTTCATTCCAAAGCGCTAGCTGGCCATCCTTCGTTGGCATACTTTCTCATGGTGGTTCATCAAAGCGCTAGTGGCTCCTGAGTTGGGCGCGATGTGTCAGACTATCTGCCACCTCTACTGCATCTCACGAAGTTCAAGACGTGCAAGCAGTCTAAATTTGAGATATTTGAATTTCAAATATAGTATACTATTTCGAGCGATATCCCTAACGCCCATCATTCGTTTCGAGTTTGAGGTGGGCTAGGTGAAACTACTGAGCACCATATTTGGAATACCTCAGACTGAAGAATAGGAAACATGAGGCTAAGCCTGGGTGTATTTTGCTTTCAGCCCCTCAACCACATATTATTGAGTCCACCCACCGTTTTGACCTTGGAAAGTGCGGACATTGGAATCTTCAACCATATAAACTTGCGCGCCCAATTTCTGGCCTCGATGGCAACGAGCGAATCAATCACAATACCCGCGATTTGGTCCTAGGAGTGCTCAACATCCCCAGGGCAGTGCACAACTACCTTGCTAAATTCTCTCATGATCGCCAACGCCACACCAATAGCTGCGCAGAGGAGTTGGGACAGCTCTGGCTCGTGGACTCTAGACGCTTGATGCACCCTTCGTAGTTCGTCTACCGGTTGATCAGCTATCTATGCTGGATATACTAACGTAAGTAGTGTCTCTTAAAATACCTTGCAGGTTCCATGATGGAGGAGGATCAAGACTCTGAAGGATCTGATCCATTTTCTATTAGATCAGCAGCAAAGTCTGCCTCTGTATCTAATAATCTTTTGCCCATGCCAGGCCATTGTGTGCCTTGCCCGGTAAAGACAATTGACACCTCTGGGACCGCCCCAGACCATGATGAGCGAATGGATCCCTGTTCAGTCAGTTCCACATCTGGGCGGGCAATGACAAATACGCGGTAGATGAGATGTCGTCGCCGTACAGCAAGGGCATGGGATAGATCGCACAAAAGGTAATCCTTCCCCATACCGTTTGCGTAAGTCGTCAACCGCTGAATACGAGCATCCAACGACGCTTTAGTATTTGCTGAGATGAGTATATTTTGGGGCTATCTGATGGTGCAACATATTTGTCCCGGATCGGGATGTCACGGCTTTTCATGTAGTAATCGGCGGACTTAAGAATAACGTGGGCGTTGGACCCTCCGATACCGAAAGAATTGATGCTAACCCGCTCAGGGCGGTCGCTAGGCCATGGAATGGCATTCAGTGCTACTTGGAGATTCCCCTCAACCCAAGGATTATTCGGATGAGGGGATTTAATATAGATATTGGGAGGGATGGTTCTATGTTTCAGCACGAGGGAAATAGGACGGACTGTGCACGCTCTTCGTCCCTCAAATCCGTCCCTGGGCCTTTGGGTTTATTACTGGTAAATAATGACCCAGACACCTTTACGCAACAATCGATCAAGAAAAGGAATGCAGATATTCTAGAGCAGATAGGAGCAGACAAATCCTCGCTAGCATTGGTCTAGTCGATAATGCTCTTACCACTGCTAAAGGTAGCTGTTTGTAGGCAGCAAGGGATGCTTTGGTTGTATCAGACAATAGCCAAGCATTGACTCTATTATCTTAGTATCCTAAGGGATACAAAATCGAGGGTATAGAGTGCAGTTATAGACACCTCCATGTTCCAACATACTAGTGGTAGGCTGACAGTGTTATACAATGGTATGTCCGTGAACCTTGCCGAGCATGTACTGACCGCTGCATTTATTCATATGTTAGTTATGTTTTGGCAGCGTCTATATCAGCTGTTGGGACACATATCTTCGCGTCACCTGGCTGACTAAAATCGATATAGTTATCGTTTTCAGCCTAGTGGATAGTGTGCCGGTATTAGCTGTAGACATAGCGGTGTTCTACTCTTTCATTTCCTTTCTCTCCTGGAACATGTCGTAGAGGGTAGTTGACCACTGAGAAAATAGCGAGCTATGCAAGGTTCTGGACATGGGTGTACCGGAGCAAGGGATATTTCTGCGCTGTGGTGTGGCATATTACGCCACAGGTGCAGTTAACTTTTGTCAATGCACTAACCTGTGCTCAGCAGATTGGAAAACAACATAATTTCCCGTCGATCTGACCTGATCAGGGGTCGGAGGGATATGTCTCAACTACATATGAGTCTGTACATTATATACGGCCCGGCTTAATATGTTTCTGGTCTATCATTATGCAAGGGGCTAGATCGTTCTGCCTCTTTTGTCGACTCTTCTTAGTGGCGCCCGGTGATGTCCACGCCCATGCGTCTACTCTAGATATTCTCCATACCCAGGGTTCTGTATAATCACCCTTTTCAGTGACTTTCTGTCCAGTGCTCCTCACGAAAATTGTACAATATGAGCTTCCATTATGCCGACAAGGGCGCAGCACGGTTTCTCCAGGTACACGGTTCGTTTGTGCTTGGGGAAGCATTTGATCCAATACAGCTTGAAAACTGTTTCCAGGAACTCGTCCATGAATGGCCAATACTTCAGGCTAGACTAAATCTTTTGGTTTGAGCTTCTGTTTCAACCGTAGGAAGACTTGCTGATCGAGCCACTTAGCGTACAGGCACATTTCAGGTCTCGAGAACCCACTCATTTTTTCAGCATCGTGTTATCGACGGTACACTTGCGGACATCCTCCCCCTCTATCCATTTATCCACCATAACGTGCAAGAGGATGATTACAATCGGTTGAAAGATCTCACATCATTACCGTGCTCTACATTCTCTATTCTGTGTCCACCAGTCTGTACCCTGACCGCAGTCTGTCTTAAAGATGCCTGTGTCTTGAAGTTCACATTTCAACATGCATTTTGTGATGCGCTAGGTAAACCACACTGATGCGACAATCCATGACCGTCATCATCATATTTCGCTAAACAGGTATCTATCAAGGCATGTACGAAATTGCGCGGGCTTACTCCATGCTTCTCTCCGGGAAATGTATTGATGTCCCTGATTTCCACCGGCCAGTCACTTTCCGGTTTCACGCTTCCTCCAAGACGCCATCCAGTCCTCACCATCGCCACGACTATTCCCCTAGCACTTTGAGCAATGCAAGTAACCACCTATTCTCCGGGGGGTTGTCACATTTTACCCTGGGATTACTGTCTCATCGACTGGCGCCTGCTTCATGGGGCAATACGGGGTCTTCTCGCATGCTGCACATCCCAGGGTCAGTAATTGATGGAATTGCCCACGATGCTACGAAACAAGGTATTCGTATTACTCGGATTGACATTATGATGGCTTTACTCCTTCAGGTAAACAATGCATACTTCCCGTTCAAGGGCCTTTCACACAAGTCCAACTAATGGGGATCCATCCAGGCAACTTTACGAGCATTCCCTCATGATTCAACAATTGCTTCCTACCCGCTGAGTTTCATGGTAAACTTCAATCACTTACTGGAAAGTCCTGCCAAATTCCACAACAGCTTCTGGCCTGTTCCCATTCCGCGATTACCAGACTTCGACGCGAATCAAGTGAGCCACGAGACTACGATCAACCTCGCAGTCCACATTCGCCGCGTCACACGGGCTGCGCGGTCACCAGAATGCCTCGAGGCTTTCAGTCTTCAACATCAGCAAATGGGGCCCTTGCACCTCTGGCATACGCGGGTAGTCAGACCCTCTCATCCCAGATCTCTGGTCTCCTCCAGCGCTCAAATCAATCTCTACGATCTCGAGTTTAAGCCAGGTGTGCGACCGCTTTTTTACGACGTTCGCATGGAAACCATGGATTTGGCGCAATGTATAGGAATTCACCTGCATGGGATTGTCACCATCAACGGGGATCGTAATGCAACAGGCCACTGCTTGACTGGGTCTTTGCATCCGGCTTTATGGAGGGAGTTGGAATGGATTCGTGATACCTTCCTGTATAGATCGGGCAACGCCTTCAAATCCAAGATTTGGTCCTTGTGGCTCATTTGTCTTAGCACGAAACTTCTATTTTAATTACCTGCCTGCAGCTAGTCCTATATACCTTATCCGCACCTTTGCTGCCGGCAGTCTCGTGGCTCATATGTCCGATATGCATTCAACTTGATAATCGCTGGCACAGGATGGCCGAGGATCTGCTATCTGGCGAGCAACACGGCGACAACTTCCACTGTGCTTGTTCTAGAAGATGCGACAGGTGCCGAATTCAGCTTGCTGGGCCTTCGTGGTCCCTCAGCTTCATAGAAAAAAAGCTAAAAAAAAAACAGCAACCCCCAACCCCGGGTCGTATTGCTTGTCTCAGCAGTCGACTCCTGAACACTCCTAAACCGAGGTTGACCCACATTTTCCTTAACAGGGAGCGGTTGATAGTGTGATGCTCTGAGTGATATCATTTCCCCTCATATCTCCTTCTCGCCAGTTCCGTTTAAACCTGGGTTGACGTCTACATCAAACCATCTAGGTCGGACTGTGAAAGTTCGATAGAGTGCACTAGAATAGTAGACAACAAAACCAAGGCACAGTGTTGTAGAAGCCCACCAACTGGTTACGTAATACCACAACTTATACTGGACTTCTAGGTCGCCCTAAAGGTCCTATAAGATAAACAAGCAGGCAAAGAAATACTCCCAGGAGACGAGTAAGACTCGGCTGTTTTCAAATCAGAATTCCGTTTGGCCAGTGCTGCCATCCTTCCACTTACATTGGACAAGTACGGCTCAAGGGCCAGCCACGGTCTGTAGCAACAAACGCAAGCACCAGGTCATGGTCACGGATGTGTTTGGTGCAGCCGGAAGCGAGTTTCTGGTCGGCACATACTATGTATGTGGTCCGCACCGAAGTTGTCCGCAGTGACAAACTTATGCCGTCATGCACTCTATCAAAGCCCTCTACTTCATCTTATAGAATGGAATGATCTGTTTCACCTAGTCTTCCAATATTAACCACTGCAACCAATGTTCTAGTGTCGAATAATATCTCCCCACCAAACGCACCATGCTATCTCATTGGTTCGCGGAGTCAGAAATCCGCCCAGGTGTAACAATTCAGCTCAACCAAACTTGGACGGTGCTTGAAGCATGTACGGAGCATATCTCGCAATATTCTAAGGACCAAGGCAGCCCAGGCCATCCTCCCGCCTCCGACGCCACAATCCGACTCATTTGTGAGCAGACAGATGGAAATATCAAATCACATATAAGGATCTATAAACAGATCCCAGCCGCTGGTACTGAGGCCGAGCCAGCAGCTGTTCGCGCCAAGCAAGCCAAACCCTGTGAGCCGGATGAATTGATAGCTCTCCGTGCCCTTACCAACAAGCGCTCCAGCTTCACGCCGCGCCTGCTGGACTCCAAAAACACAACCCAGGGAGACTCGGGCTTTGTCCCTGGTGGCTTCCTAGTCTATGTAGCCTGGGAGGTAGTTGCTGGCGAACAACTGGGTACAGAGGGAGGGGACGAAGACTGTGGTTTCTGGAGGATGGAAAAAGATAGAAGGGAGATCGTCCGGGAGCACTTCAAAAACAACTTTCTGTTCGTCTTTCTTCCTTCCTTCTCTTACGTCCATCATGTGCGTCTGGCTTGGACTGATATAAGCTACAGACAGCTTTCTAAATGGGGCTATATGCCTCTTGGTGGCAGGCTGTCCAACCTCGTCTGGGACGGGGAATCGTCTACCCTGTAAGTCCTTGACGTTGGAATGCAATCTGAAGAATACGCTTATGTGTATACGAAGTTTCATCGTTGGCTTCTATATGGCGACGACTAATATGAAGAAGAAAAAGTGGTCTCCTGCGGTGTGGTTCGCTTGGGGCCTGGCCAAGTGCCCCCGTCCCCCGGGGCCGGACTGGGATGGGTCAACGAGTGATTGGGAGTGGTAGCCTGTTCTTTGATTTTCCTCTTTTCCTGTCTATTAACTCGCTTTCTTTTATTGGGTTGTCTTTATTTCAATGCTCCTTCTCTCTCCAGACTGCGTTGGTATTTTTTTCTTCTCTTTTATTCTTGACACTACCGATACTGTGGGCAGTATTCTCCAGGTACCGCGTGATAATGAAGTCGTTGCAGTAATATGATCCGTCGTAAATACGGCGCTTAAATGCTCCTAAGATTACTGATGATGCATGCGACAGCCAATAACTGCCTTCGAGCGAGGTCAGATCCCCGCTCTGAGACTTGCCAGAGCCCCTGCAATATACTCTTATATCCGACCCGAACATCCGATGCCAGCAAATCTAGCTAAACACAGCCTTACAATCAGCTCTCATTAGTTTAGTTTCGCGCAGTCCCGCTGACTCAGGGTCGGAACTGCCCTGCCGGCCAGGGCTACATTAGGAGAGCAGGCTGTGCAGAGGACATATTTTGACGCTGCGGCCGCCTTTAATAAACAGGTATGTTTCAGGGCCCACACTCGATCCGGTTTGCCAAGGGCTCACTATCATGGCGAGTCATTCAACGTTACCGTTATGTCTCACTTAAGGTTAATTGTACAATGGTCTTAAAGTTGCTTGGTAGTCGCACGGTCTTGGTGCTGCAGCGTCGTATTGCTGTAGTTGAGGTTGTGTTGGTATGCTACGGCGATGGCAGATTTGTTATACACCTCCGCGATCAGGGACTGCAAATTAGTGCAGGTACTCTGTACACAGCTGTGCCTCCACGGAGCAGACTCCGACGTGGACCCTGGCCGGTCAAAGCGCTGCCAAACTCGGCGAGGCAATAGGTTTTTGCTGACGAAGCTCCATCTATACTAGCATCTAAGGAAGACGATGGTCCACTACTGGTTGTCATTGGAGAACTTAGAGATTTCGCTCCCGAATGTGGTGGCGGGCGTCTGTGGAAAATGGGCAGGGACTGGGTGCTGCAGGAACAGCGGCTATTCAGCATCAAGGGGCGTAATTGGTGGGGACGACCAGTCAGGGAAGACTTAATCTATATGAGTCTGGACCAGCATTAATCCGATGAGCTATCATCTAGCTAGGGAGACACTAGTTCTTCGGTGGCTAGTGCCGGATCCGCAGTGGGCGGCGGGCATCTGCTACTATTTTTAAACCACGCTGGCAGCGTTCATTAACCCGTTGAACAACTGTTCTTGAACTATTAATTGAGAAAAGCTTCTTCATGATAAGCGAATTCTGAGTGAAACCGACAAGGACATGCTCGACAGAAGGTGACAGAAGGTTGTTGTGAGGCAAAAGTGGAAACTCTCCGACAGCCAAGACCCTAGCCTTAATATCAGACAGATCTGGAACACTTGCCCCTGCCCTACCGCCGTTTGCCCTCACCTTAATTGCTACGGCGCTTCCCAAGGGCCCAGTTCGGACCCGCTATCTAGGGCGGTGGTCAGACCAGACTCCTGGGTGGGTGTCATGGCTCCAGCGGTGGTTTGAGATATGACACAGGTAAAGCATCGCTGAATATTGACAGGGCGACCCGAAGACATAAAAGCCTTGCTGCTCCTCGACCATGCTGTTGTTTTTTTCCCTTCCTCAAGCAAGTCTTCTCTTCAATCATTCCCTTCGTTACTTTCCGCTTCATTGATTGAGGCTTTCACACTCTTTGCGCTGCGCGCTCACTCTTTACAACTCTACATTCCATTACATTACATTCTCTACCAACCTTTCCTTCTTCTCCAAGCCACTCTAGCAATCATGCGTCAAGCTCAGTCTGCTTCCCTCCTCGCGGCCCTTCTGTCGGCCACCCAGGTCGCTGCCCACGGTCACGTCACCAACCTCGTCGTCGACGGTGTCTACTACGAGGGTTTCGACATCAACGTCTTCCCCTACGAGTCCGACCCCCCGAAGGTCGCCGCCTGGACGACCCCCAACACCGGCAACGGCTTCATCTCGCCCGATGAGTACCGCAACCCTAATATCATCTGCCACGAGAACGCCACCAACGCCCAGGCCCACGTTGTCGTCGGTGCTGGTGAGAAGATCAACATCCAGTGGACTGCCTGGCCCGACTCCCACCACGGGCCCGTCCTGGACTACCTGGCTCGCTGCGACGGCAGCTGCGAGACCGTCGAAAAGACCGACCTGGAGTTCTTCAAGATCGACGGTGTCGGTCTCATCAGCGACACCGAAGTCCCCGGCACCTGGGGTACCGACCAGCTGATCAACAACAATAACAGCTGGATGGTCGAGATCCCTCCCTCCATCGCCGCTGGCAACTACGTCCTCCGTCACGAGCTCATCGCTCTCCACGGCGCTGAGGAGGAGGACGGCGCCCAGAACTACCCCCAGTGTTTCAACCTCCAGGTCACCGGTACCGGTACTGCCACTCCCTCCGGTGTCAAGGGTACCGAACTCTACACTGCCACTGAGAATGGCATCCTCGTCAACATCTACTCCTCCCTGAGCACTTACACCGTGCCCGGCCCTACTGCCTACAGCGGCGCCGTCTCCATCACCCAGACTACCTCCGCCATCACCTCCACTGGCACTGCCGTCGTTGGCAGCGCCAGCGCCGTCGCTTCCGCTTCCTCCACCGCTGCCGCCGCTACCAGCGCTGCTGCCGTGACCAGCGTTGACACCAACACCCAGGTCGCTCAATCCAGCAGTGCCCCTGCCCCTGCTGCCCCCAGCTCCAGCTCCTCCGCCTACACTCAGATCCCCGTGCAGGTCCCCTCCTCTTGGACTACCCTGTTGACCTTCACCAACACCCCCCAGGCTGTGCAGCCCACTACCTCGGTCGAGCCCGAGCCTGCTCAGTCGACCATCACCCCTGCTCCGGCTGTCAGCTCTGCTGCTTCCGGTAGCTCCGGTAGCCAGTCTTTGTACGGCCAGTGCGGTGGTATCAACTGGACTGGTGCCACTCAGTGCACTAGCGGATCTAGCTGCCACTCTTACAACCCTTACTACTACCAGTGCATTGCTAGTGCTTAAGTAGCTCTTACTTAGCTACTCTTATAGTTCTACTCTTTGTCAGTCATAGCTAGTCTATGCTGTTTAGTGTATTGAAATAAATTGACTTGCCTCATATTCTCTCAGAATAAATATAAACAGTAACCTCGTAGAAAGTATAAAACCACTAGCTATTTCTTACCTCGACCGGAACCCTTCACATAGAAGAACCTCTCTTTACATCATTAAAGTCTTTCACTGAACTCAACAAATATTCATCACAATGACTGATTATCATCTGACAAATAGAACTTCAATATATACTACCCACAACCCTACCCATCCAACTATATACATCCACCCCCTCCCCCTCTCATCATAACCCTAGTAGTACTTCAATGTCATCAATAAGTAGCCTTCGCCAAATTCTCATCAAAAGTACTATCCTTAAACGGCACAATCGCCTTATCAAAATCCGCCGTCTGCAAGGCATCCCTCGCCGCAGTAGTCAAGCTCTCCCACGCCACAAGCGGCTGCGTCCCACCCACCACATCCGTCAACCCACAACTATGATCCAACGGCCAGATACTCTCATACTTGATCAACGCCTTCGTACCATCAAGCGTATACCCATCCGTGGAACAGTCCCACCCGCCATGCGCAGATGGACACACAGCCAGGATATTATCCGCGGAGACGGTAGTGGAATCAGACAGGTAGATGATTACGCCCTCCCAGTCGTGGCGGTGGCCCAGGCCGTCGCTGGGTTCGTCTTTGGGCATGTACCAGCTGTATAGTAATGCTGTTGGGTATTCACTAGTGGTGCTGCTGGAGGAGATGTTGCTGCGCACGTAGATTTGGCCTGTATTGGAGCTGCAGTCGCCGTCGGTGGCGCCGGTGGGGGCTAGGCCGGCACTATCATTGTTTTTCAGACATTAGGATGATTTGATTGGGATATGAGGTGGTAGGTAGCTGAAAGGATGGACATACTCGGTATCACCTTCGGCGTCAACACCGGGGAACGGGACGCATCCGTTCACGACCTTCAGGTAGGGCTGATAGGCGAGGTAGAGGTCGCCGGTGGAGTTGTCTGGCACCGTCTGGTTGAAGCCGACGATTTCGTCGCTGGCGATCCAGTCGCGCGCGTGCAGACGGTGCTTGCTTGCTGTTGCTGCTGCTGATGTTGTGGCGGAGAGGGTGGATGCGGCGAGGAGAAGGGTGCGGACGGACATTTTGTCGATGTCTTTCTTTCTTATTGATTTATTTACTTATTTTCTCTTGGGTGGTTGGTATGTAAATTATGGCATGAGGATGAGGGGGAAAGGGAGCTCCTTTTATGTCCATCTCTACTATAGGCAAGTATCGTCAGATCTGCAAAGGAACGGTAGCGGTGGGCCAATAGGGAGATAGACGGGAGAATAGAGCATGTGGTTGCTGATGCTCGGGGGTTATGCCTATTCCTGTGCAGGATCAGCTGGATGCGCGTATCCGGGTGATACTGTTGACAGGCACGGAGGATGTTGGAACGGAGAATGTTCGGCAGGAACGTGTAGTTTTCAGGGCAGTGAGGGAAATACCAAGTCGAATAGATTAATAGTGGCGCATATTAAGATATAGACACGGAATGTCGGAGGGCGTATTTTCAACCAATAATGGCATGTGTTCGGACCACGCATCCTGCAGGCGTAAAAGCGGATATAGGGCTGCACATGCTACTCCGCCTATTATACTATACTGACTATATACCATGTACTACGTAGTACTATTTACAATCCACCTCTGGAAATAGTGGAATCAATCCAAACAAGTCAACAACCCCCCTAACTTCTCCAATACCACGCCTTGCACTGTCGCGTTCGCATCCAGCTTATCTCCCGCCATACCCACTGACACGCTCGCCCAGCATCCACTCTGCAGCATAACATCCAACTCGGTGGGCAACCTCGTACTATTACAGGTTTCCACATCATCCGCCGTGATCAATGGAATCGCCGTAAAAAGTCTCGACAGCACAAAGCTGAAATCATCCGCACTCGTACAACTATCATCGCTCACAGCCCCAAAGTTCACATTTAACCACACGCCCGTGGGCAAATACGGCGTTCCGGACTCCACCAACTCATCTACCAGCTTTGTCGCCAGCTGCGCATATACGGTGCTGTACGTCGGAACACTGCTCACATTCCAGGCGATCTGGGAGCCAGTGTAGCCGGAGAAAGCAATAGCGGGAATGCCTTGGTTGGCGGCGTAAGTAGTTGCGCCGACGGTGCCGGAGAAGAAGACGGCTAGACCGATGTTGGCGCCCACATTGGGACCGGCGACGGCGAGGTCGGGAGAGCCGGAGAAGTAGGTGGAGGAGAGGTTGTTGAGCCCGTATTTCATGGAGGTCACTGGGTAGCTGTTGACGTAGTTGAAGCGTGGTTGGGTGGCATTGTGGCCGACGGCGGGACTGCCGCTGGGACAGGAGTCAAATTCGCAGGGGGAGGTGAGGACAGTGGGTGTCGCGTCGTTGGAGCCTGTATGAATCAGCTTTTTAATTCGTTGAAGTGATGGTAAGGCAAGGTATTAAGGTATAGAAAGTACCAGATCCGCTTTGATTCTCTGCAGGAGCGGATATCACCACCGAGTGGTCGGCGGCAGTGAGCGCATTGTACAAAGTGCGAATGTTGAGCTCGGCCCAGCCATCGTCGTTGGAGGAGAGGATGTTAATGGCGTGGGTGGCGAGGGGAAGCAGAGTCAGGGCTGCCAGGGGGAAGTGCATGGTGGGAATGGAAGGCTTGATTGGCGGGTAAAGTGAGGGAGCAGTACTACTACTAGTAAATGGATAAGGAGCCCGTGCCGGGCCCCAGCTATATAGACTCCAGTCAAATTAATAGACGGCGGACTGACTGGTCAGATTCACTTGAAGCTCGGCTGGACAGTTGCCGTGCGGGAGTTCATCCACCCAAAATCCCGCATTTATGCCAAAAGAATGAATTGGTTAAGGATCATCACGGATATCCCGGAACCCAACAATTCAGCCACGTGCAGGTCAGCATACCATGATGACTTGACAGCAATTGTGGGTCGTGTAATCTGCTGTGCCTGAGGGCCACGCATTCTTCAACACTAAATAGTATCCGGTACATTTGAATATAGTGAAGCGCATACACACTACTCTAGATTACTGCCACACCCGCTCGGCTACTTTCTGCACCAGCTGCAGCTTCTCCCACATGCGCTCCTCCGTCATTCCAATTCCCCGACCATAGCTCACACTTGAGAAGCCACACTGCGGACTCACTCCAAGCGAGCTGTCGAGAACCTCTTGCCGACTCCGGCCTTGCCCCTGTGCAATCACATCCGCCGCTTCATACACACGCGCTTGCAGCTCCTCTACCGTCTCCAATTCCGGTGCCTTCGTCGACACCACTCCCAGCACCACGTTCTTGCCCACCGGCAAATGCCGCAGCGGCTGGAAATCTCCCGCGCGCTCCGTGTCGTACTCGAGGTAGAATGTGTCGTAGTCGAGCTCAGTGAACATGCGTCGCGCGATCCGCTCATACGACCCGCTGAGTACGTGCGTTGACCCAGGCATATTGCCCCGACAGAGGTGCACTCCGACATGAAGGTCTGCGGGTCGGTCCCGGAGACTTTCGTTGTGCGCCCAGATATACAGGTCCAGTAGTTCATCCGGGTCAATCCCATCCGCCAGACACCCCGATCGCATCTCGTCCGTGACAAAGAATGTCATGGCCGGATCGTCAACCTGAATGGAGCGCAGTCCCGCGTCGTAAAGGACCTGGTACTCGCGTGCAAAGGCCGTTGCAAGGTCTGCAAAGTACTCTTTGTCGGTCGTGTACGAACTAGAAGCCGTGTAGGCGGCCCCCGCGCGCAAATGTTGGTGCTGCCAAGTGATAGACGGCATGCTCATCTTGCACTCCTTCCACTGTTCCTGTGGCACCAGACTCCGCAGGTGCTCCCAGTCGGCCAGGTACGGGCTGCGCACGTGCTGAATCTTGCCCACAGCCACGCAGGCATCCCGTTCCTTGATGCCCAGCTTCTCGAGCGTCTGCACGGTTGGAAGCCCCGTGCGGTAGCCTGCAGGAATGGGGACCTTGGTCAACTCGAAACCCTCCAGGTTCTCAAAGAATCCGGCATAGAAGATGGGCCGCTCAAACTCTCCGGTCATGATAGGGCGCACCTTGTGCGCCTGCTGCTGCTCCACCACCTTGGCGATCGCCTGTTTCGTCGCCTGCTGCACATCTTCCGGCACGTTGGTTCGGGTGTAGATGCGCCCCAGTCCGGCGGCGTTACGGGCAGCCAACAGCTCCTCGGGCCGCATCAACGACCCGATTTGTTCTGCGCGGAATGTAGGAGCCATGATAGCTGATTGCGTTGCTGATAAAAATTGAGGCAATCATTCCCATACAGATCCCTTCTGTCAAGCTCAGTTAAATAGCCTCATCTTGCATTGAATGCGGGGAAGGAGGGGCTAAGCGGTCTCGGCTGTTCGCAAAGACCGACCGAGCAGCCACCTTCAATGCCTCTCACTCCCTCAAACGGCAGTATTGTCCGAGCCCAATAACAATAACCCCACACAGTATCATCTTTTGTCTGATTCCACGTTATCCGGTTTCCCCTTCACCCCCTTGAGCGCCTCCAAGATCAAGTCCAGTTTCCGATGGACTTCTCCCATCTCTCGCCGTAGATCTCGTACTTCTTGCACCAAAGCCCGGGCAAGACTGTTCCCGTCCACTTCACGACGTGCCTGCGAAGGACTCGAAGGGGCGACCTGGGAAGCATCCGCCGTCGCCGGTCGCAAACGCTTAACTTGGTCGGCATCCTGTGTACTGGGATCATCCGGCGCGGGCCGTTTGTGCGACGAAGCCTCGATCTCGCTCGTTTGCTTCAGAAGCTCATCCTCCATCGCAATCCACTGATCGATCACAGTCGTGAGGGCGTTGGGTGGCTCCGCGTGGGCCTTTCCAGTCGCAATGTCGCGTCGATGCGTCCGACGGTCAATGCTTCGGTCCGTCACGATCTGCTGATAGGATGGGGGAGAGAAATTCCGCCCTGTGAAGCTGTTCATATACCCGGCCACGTTGTCCCAGAATACGCTTCGGTTCCGGTTGGTCAGGTACATGTCCTTTCGCTCGATACAGCCTTTGAAGAGAATGATAAGCTCGTTTTCGAATAGCATCCGTCCGCGCCGTCGCGCAGCTTGCATGTCGGTGCCATGAGTGGTTTCACTATACGGGGAGAGGACCTGCGGAGGCTGTCCATGAGGGGACGGGGCCGGATATGGGTGGGGAGGCGTTTGCTGCCAGGGCTGGCACTGTGGTGCCGGAGGATGTGTCGTTGTTTGGGCCGCGGGCTTTGAATTCGGAGCATGTGGAGTGGTAAGAGGCACCGGAGTAGCGGAGAGGCGATACAGAGGCTTCCGTCCGGTCAAATCCAAGCTCTTAGTAGGAAGCATGATTGTCAGTCGTGCTGACACGTCGGGGGCGGAAGTTTGAGAGGCAGCAGAACCGGTGAGGAAGAATGATTGTTTGTCCCCAGCTCCATTGAGGTAATGGCGGGGAAGAGCTCCGTACGTAATTTAGCTGCTGTTGCTATGAGAGGCAGTAGCCGCCGATGCAGCTGTCGGCAATCTCAGCCTTATACTTGCCGCAGCATGGCCATGGCTATCGCGTCTGCAGGCAGTAAGGAAAGAGCTATCCCAAGTGAGCACGCGACGTGTCCCTGAGCAAACAAGACAAACAAGACAAACCCATCCCCAAAATCACCGGGCCGAATATCAGGGGTTGCCTTATCGGGCAGAACCGCTCCGACTAGATTGCTCCACCAATGACCACCTTCCATTTAACCGACGCAGCTAATCAAAATAAGGAGAGATTAGCAGTCCACGTTCACTTCTATTGGCTGTCTTATCCACAATCCCTGTATCTCCAACCAATAAGCGCATGAAATCCGCCGTAACTGCCGACATCCATGACGCAATTGGCCGTTCTCGATCAAATCACAGCCGTTCCTTCTGCCTGCCAGATCGGGTGCCACAACTTTGCGACGAACTCTACTGATTACCAACTTCGCCTCACTTGCTGATTACCATTGCAAAAGTTAACTTGCTATGCTGTGCTGTGTAACCCTCCCTATCCCCTTCACCACCACCACCTACCTCATCGCCTCCCTTCTATCGATCGATAAATAATAACCTCCACTACCTTTCTTTCCCTCCCCATCAATGCCCCCCATTAATGCCCCATTTCACCCTTGACGACGCGGCAACCCAATCCCCCACCGGCCTAACCCGACATCTCAACACCACCGTCGAGGAATATGTCTTCCCTATCCTCATCGCCCTCTCATGGTGCAATGCCATCGAGCTGGTCATCCTCTGCCTCAACACATTCAAACGCTACACCGGCACCTACTTCTGGTCCCTCCTGATCGCCTCCCTCTCCATCATCCCCTTCAGCCTCGGCTACCTGCTCAAAATGTTCGGTCTGACTTTCACCAACTACTTCCTCGAGATCTCCCTAGTCGGCGTCGGCTGGACCGGCATGGTCACCGGACAATCGCTCGTTCTCTGGTCCCGGCTACACCTCGTGCTACATCAGAAGAAACTCCTGCGCGGCCTCCTCTACCTAATTATTTTCGACGGGGTGTTACTACATTGCTCGAGCGAGGGGCTGGAATTTGCGGTCAACGCGATGCCGGATTCCGAGCGCGTGGATGTTGCGTTTGGGATCATGGAGCGCATACAGTTGGTATGGTTCTGTGCGCAGGAGTTGTTACTCTCGGGGCTGTATATACGGGAGACGGCGAGGATGTTGCGCATGGATAGTGGGGAGTTGTCCAGGAGTGTGTTGGTGCAGTTGTTGCTGGTGAATGTGGTGATTATTGTCTTGGATTTGTCGGTCGTGGGGATTCAGTATGCCGGGTTTTTTACGTTCCAGGTGACGTTCAAGGCTCTGGTGTATAGTATCAAGTTGAAGTTGGAGTATGTTATTTTGGGTAGGTTGGTGGATGTCGCGTATGTGAGGTCGCAGGTCGATACGCCGAGGTTTAGGTTTTGATGGATACACTTTTATGGTTTGGGAGTTTGGCTTGGTTATATATATACCCTGGGTTTTGGTTTGGAATTTTTGTTTGGTGGTTGGATTATATATTTGTGTTAATGCCTATATACTTTGTATAATATCATATTTTAGAGAGGAAGAGACACATGATGATCTTCAGATTGGTGTTGATTCTTCCGACAATTCCGATAAAACTCTGGCATGGCGGACAAGCCTAGTTACTTTGGCTTTTAGTCTGCTCATTCCAAACATTTATTTTTCGCGCTCACACTGCCTTTCCTCCTTCATAAAGCCATACTATTACTTGTGCCAGCCACAAAATTCAGGTCTGATAGGAAAAGATATGATAAGAATAGATCATGCAATGCTGCATTAAATTGTAGTATAACAAGTAGTATCTATATGAGTGCATCCAGTCAGTGTATCGTCTAATATCTATGTACCCAAATAACGCTTGTCTAGGTCTTCCCTTCAATGCCCTAGTTACATCAAACACCTCCTAGTCTTGCGGTCTACTCCGACCGTGCACTCTTCGTCTTCTTGCTCCGCAACTTCATCATCAAGAACACCAGTCCGTACGACGTAATACAGAACAACGCTGTAATTCCAGTCTGTAATGTATCGATCAGCATTTAGTCTCATCTCTCGCCAGTGATACACTTACATCTCTCCACGAGTAGTACTTCTCCTTCAAGTTGAAGGACTTGGCATAGTCCGAACCCATCGAGTACTGGCAGAACGAGCAAGTGCCGGTGGCATTCGCGTCCATGAGGTAGCCCGTCTGCTCGGAGATAAAATCGGCCATATACTGACCACACGTTTGTCCGGACGGGGCGTTGAACTGCACAAACTCCGAAGGCTCACATTGCACCTTGACATCCCAAAGCACCTCACCCAGAAGACCACCCACCAGGTAGGTGAAGGGGTCCAGGTAGTACATCCAGTACCGCCAGAAGGGGGTCATACTATCGTAGGGCACAACGACACCACAGAAAGCGATCATGCCCGCGCCGATGAGGATGGGGTTCATGATGGCGGCGAAGTACTCGTTGGGAGCGTAGGCCGCAATGGCCTGTCCGATCGATGTGTACAGGAATTCGTAGACTATATTGGTCAGTTCTGCTCGGTTCTGCAAAGGAAGTGTACGTACAAATCATCTGCAAGTACACGTGGCCGGAGATGTACGCATCAACAGGCAATCCGGAAACAAAGTACCAGCATGCGAAGTAGAGCGTGGCGCAGATAATCAGGTAGGGGATTTCCGAAACTGCTTGAGCACCGATGAAGGCGATCCAGTGATAAGTTTTGGACTGGATTCGGTTAGCGAGGGTTGATGATGGTACTGCTCGCAGGACTTGCCTTCTTCTCTCGAGTCTCAAAGATATCGCGGTTGTGCAGGAAGAACGGCTGCATCTGGTTGATACATCCTGGGGCAACGAAAATGAAGTTGAAGATAGCAAACAGTCGAAGTTGTAGCGCAAACGTTCCATCTCCCATCTTCCAGAAGGTGAATCCACTGAACAGCGCGGCGAAGACGTGCAGGATGATTTTGTTCCACATGTAGTCCTGTTCTTGTTAGTTGATGTTCCCAGCCATACAATCATATAAACTTACCGGTGACCGCCATAGCTGAACCATGAGGCGATGCAGCACCATCTTGAACTGGAACCAAACCGGTGTTGCAAAGTTGCTTTGGTCTTCCACGTTTTCGGCATGTGATTGGCCCTCCTTGTTCAAGGCTTCAAGTTCTGCAAGAGCGCGCTCGCGCTCCTCAGACCGGCTCCACACATCAACCCAATCAATAGGCTTCTCGGTATTACCTTGGATAACCTCCACAATGTGTTCCGCCGGGTTCATGTCAGGAGGACAAGGGGCGCCGTTCTTTGCAAAGTAATCCAACACTTTGTGAGACTCTTCGCCAGCTGGGGGATGTTAGATTGGGTCTGGGAAGGCAGGCGACAAACTTACTCTCTCCGAAGTAGGTCATCTTTCCGCCCTTAGCAAGCAGCACTAGCGAGTCGAAAGCATCGAACAAGACCGCTGACGGCTGATGAATGGTGCACTGGAAGATGTGAGATGCTGCCCACATGCAAAGATGGATAGACTTACCAGCACAGCCTGACCGCTGTCGACGAGCTTTCTCAGGAACCGGATAATGTTGTACGCGGACTGTCCATCAAGACCGGAAGTCGGTTCATCCAAGAATAGAAGCGTTGGCTTAGCGACTAGTTCAACACCCAGTGTCACTCTCTTCCGCTGTTCGATGCTCAAACCAGCCCCGGGAACTTATATTGTCAGTATCGAAATAAGTGTTTGTTGGGAACCGTCACATACCTCCAATCAAGGCATCCCGGATGTCGCTGAGCTCCAAGAGATCAATGATATGATCAACATAGGCAATTTTCTCTTCGCGTGGTACGCTATCAGGTTGGCGGAGAAGGGCGGAGAAGACCAAGGCTTCTCTCACGGTCGCGGTACCTTCATGAACATCCATCTGCTCGCAGTAGCCAGTGGTGCGCTGAAAACTAATACCTTGTGGCCGACCATCGATTAGGATGGATCCGTAGATCTCACCACTATCCTTGCGCTGAGCCAATACATCAAGTAACCTATAACAATCAGCTTTGCATCACTGTGCCGCCCTTTGATAGCACTTACGTAGTCTTTCCCGCACCAGAGCATCCCATTAATGCCACCAAGTTACCCGGCTTGACATATCCAAACACCTGGTCCAGCAACTGTTTCTTTTGGCCATGGAAAGGAACGTGATAATCAAGGTTGTTCCATGTAAATGTCGACTGCTTTCCAGACTGCGCAAGAACTTCTCCTTCAGACTTTGCCGAGACGTTGCTCTCCTCGTCTGGCTTCTTGCTCTTGGCGCCTCGCTTGTAGAGAAGCACAGAAGACCCGGCACTGCTATTGCGCAATTCAAATCCAACCGCGGTCAGGAAGATAAAGAATGCCCAAAAGCCAATGATTATACCGAAGCTTCGCCAGACATGGTGATAGGTGTAATTGAACTGCTCTTTGATGTAAGTGGCACCGTCAATGACACCTTCCGAATTGCTGCCCTTGACAGTGCAGCCGCGGTAAGGGGAAGAGCCGCTGGGGTAGCCCGACCCATATGGGATATAGTCAGGCTCGACACAGTCAAGTTCGAGGCCAGTGAACTCGTTGGCCATTAGCGCCTCAAAGGCATATGCACCCGGGTTCAGATAAAATATCCAACGGAACCAGACATGCATCTTCTCAAAAGGAATAAGATATCCTGTTTGGATTAGTATAAATCCAGGATAAGTGACTTTGACAAAACGAACCTCCGTAGACGAAAAAGACAGTTGAAAGAAACCCGGTCATTTTGGACGCATTACCGAACTGTTTGCACAGGGCACCAATCGCACGGAACATTTGCATGAAGCACAGCGTTTGTACGATAATGATGATCCAGTACGTGAAGAAGCGGCCTGCGTCCATCTGCATCGCACTCATGAAGTACAAAATCAAGGAGAAACAAGTCACCTGAACCAAGACGATAGGGATATCGGTGATCGCATTGGCAATAGCAAAAGCTGTCGGTCGGTAGAAGCCAAACCTCTTTTGCCGGGAAAGGATAGGTCGACCCATGAACGATCCAGTTGTTTCAGACATTGTCTCGAGGAGGAAGTAAAGAACGGGAAAGAAGAGAGCACCAGGACGCAGGAAAATCGAACTGCTGTCGAGCTTGAGGTTGTAGAACAGACTGCCGCAAACAAGAGCCTGCAAGATGGCAGAAACCACCTTGATGGCGATTGAGAGCTTGTCACCGGCCAGGATCTGGAACTGACTTGAATAATGTCAGTTTCGCCGCCATACTTCAAGTGCCAATGATCTTACCGAAGGGTGCAGCTGAGAATCTGATCCCACAGACCAGTCGTATAGACACTTTGAGGTCGAGGAACATGCTGCTTTCTCTTCTCCATTGCCACTGCAAGAGCCAGATTCTCATCCTCGTTGACCAACTTCTCTGGCGGCTGGATGTCATTCATCATCTGAGAGTAGATTGCACTCTGGCGGTAACGAGCCTCGAACTCAGCGGGCGAGTTGGGAACCTTCTCTTCCATGCCGCGTGCAACAGTCCGTTCAGTGACCACGGTAACCGATGTCAGAAAGTCGGCAATGTTGGCTCCCTTGGGACAGATGAATCCCATGTCTTCGAAGTAGCCCCGGGCCAATGCGCGCGGACCGTAGTAGGTGACAAGTCCTTCCGCTAGAACAAGGATCTTGTCAAATTCATCGTAAATACCATTTCCAGCTTGGTACATGGTAGCCATTATCGTCTTCTGGTTTTCGTTGGCCTCGCGTCGCAGCATGCGAGCAAACTCAACCGCTGTTTTGGAATCCAGACCGCGAGTTGGGTTATCCCAGAATTGAACAGGACTCTAATATCGATCGTAAGTATTTTGTCCATGTTATATGGGAGAAATAGCAATACCTGTCCAGCCATCACTTCTGCCAAGGAAACACGCTTCCGCTCACCACCAGATACACCACGGATGAACTCGTTACCAACCAATGTCTTTTTTGTGTGCGGAATGCCCAGAGATTCTAGAATACCGTCTCTTTTCTCCTGCACGTAGTCCTTTCGGTCATGCAGATGGTTGGGTCGTTCCCTGGGAACTTTGTTTCGAAGAGCAAATTTCATCGTCCGATTAACGGTCAATGTGGGGAAATGCACATCGTCTTCATTGTTGAACATGATCTGCTGCCGGTACTTCTTCGCCTGTTTGTGGTCCATGCTTCCATAGCGAGTCTCGCCGACAACTTCGTCGAAAGCTTCGCGATCATTGGAGATTACGCGGAGGAATGATGTACACCCTGAACCTGGACGTCCCAGAACGAGCAACTAGGTACAGTCAGTAAGCTTTCAATCTCTCTGGTCACTTCGTTTCTCTTACCATCTCTCCTGGACGGAGTTGGCCAGAGATGTCCTTGAGGATGGTCTTGTCAAAATTTATTAGCATTGGTCAGAGCTTTCTATTTTCTCAGTCCTACCCTCTTTGGCCTTTGACTCCTGCTAAACCACCCCGAAATCTGCCGTGGATCGGCCACTGACAATAGTGTATCGCCTAGGGCGGCATCGGGGGCTGCGACATTCACGCTAACATTCCGCCACGTGAGCGTCAGCTGTTTTGGAATAGAAGAGTTTCCGGGCTCAATGTCCACGGTCTCTGATGATGAAGTTTCCATCGTGAGCAGTAATTCCACTTGTCACAACTAGACGGGGCCGATCAGTCAGTATATCCGACGTAGATCCCGCAGGCCGCTGGTGAGCATACCTATTGACCACAGTCCATGAAACCAGGGAACTAGATGACAAGTTGGCTCAGGTACTCAAGTGTAAGCTTCTAGAGCCATGGGCGTTCAATCTGTTATATTCCAATATTTTCTCCCTCAAGGAAACAAATACGGAGACAAATCGTTGAAAAAGCGCCCTCCGTAAATCCGTAAACCCGAATCACCTTGAGGCCGTAAAACCGATATCCCCACCATGAGCTCTTTCCGCAGATCTCATTCGCTGGGAAATAAGATAAGACCCACAACAGAATGTTTTTGGTATGGCATCGACGGGGCCGGATATAGAGATGCAGCAAGAGGTACAGCATCACGTCAATAGCGGGCTGCAAAATTCGTCGTGTCTGGAAATATTGTCCGCGATTACCGACGACAATCAAGAGCCAGCTGGCAATTGGTCTTCAGTGCTCTTTATGAGCTTTTGGTGGACCAACCCCACGATCATTTCAGTATGGTTAGGTCTATTCCACATCCCAGGGTGCACAGCACAGCAACCACACTTTTGCCTCGCTGGACCTCTAGGTGATGTCTCGCAAGAGTGTCCGAAAACCAGCTGCAGTAATGCATAGATAGTTTGCGTCACTGTCTCTTGGCAGATAAGCTATCTGGACAGACCCTCAGGGCCAGGAACAACCTAGTAAGGCTCGGATATAGCCAGCTAGCAGGTGGGTACTTTCGGGACTGTTTAGGCTGTGGAACTCATCGAACCCCGTTCCTATTAATCAAACCTGGTCTGGGCCCCTTAAGCCATCCGCTTCCTGTTCCTGTTTCAGAGCTGAATCAGTAATCAGGGTGCAACAAGTTGCTTGTTTGTTCTCTATGGTACCATGACAACTATGTGAGGTTGGCATCCCAACATCATCAAGTGAATCATCATTCGACCTAGAACATCTGGGTATTTGATCTGAATCTTTCCGCCTGTTACCAATAGATGGGCGACCAGTATGTCCCACCGTTTAGACAGCCGGCAAAATGTGATAAATCCGACGGCAGTAGGGAGAGATTTCTCATTTTAGGTCCGCAGAGACATCAGCCACGTCATAGTTGTCGAGCGATCTTTTTTTCTTGCCGATTGGGTTGATCTTGATCTCGGATACTGAGGACATCGTAAATTTCTCCTCGGAAGAATAGATTGTGAAAGGTAAAAGCATCGTTGTGTTAGCGACCAGGTAGTTGCTCCACTTAAATGGCATGGATCACCTAAGGGAATAGCAATCAAAACGTTATCAAACTATAGTGAGGTAGAGGAGTTAGTGTTGTTGAAGAGTCACTTGGAAGTAAAGTATTCTTTAAGTTCAGGAAGATAGGCAAGAGAGGAGTGGTGCCATACATGGGGTGATGGTACAAAACACGTGGGGGGGCGCGTCCACTTGGATCACGGGCCTTTCTCATCAACCTACACTCTGTCCTCTCTCCGCAGGACGTGCAATTGACCATCTTACCATATCACTTACTAGTAATCCTCGAGTGGCAGTGTTTTGTCTCGATCTTAGAAGCTACCGGGAGGCGATCTTTAATGCTTTTCAATTCACTGGTGGGTTTCAGTTGGCTTATTTGCTTCCTGTGCATGCAATTTTGGCTAACAGAGTAGTGAAGGTCATTGTAGTCATTAAACTCTCCGAATAAAAAACTATATACAAAGATCTATTCCTTCTTATCTTGCGCCTGTGTCGCCGTGTTGACTTCAAGCCTCTGTGCCTGAATCATCTGGTCGATGGCATCCTCAGTCTTCAAATACGTGCGGTTTCCTTGTACGAACCAGAATCCAACGGCGACCACCAGCATCACTCCAAACACGGCGATCGCATAATTCATATCGCTAGGTGACGGGTTCGGGGACCCGGGGAACAGGAAGAATACTGTCGTGATAATGCAGTAGATAATGCTGACCCAATTGATCAGCGTCCCCCACCGTCCCAGATGGAACTGGCCGGGTGGAAGCTTATCGCGCCCAACTACCAGAAGGGCAGCAATGGGAAGACCATATGAGATGGTCAACGCGATCGTACTAACACTCAGGATCGCATCGAGCACCGTGTTAGCGAAAAGATAAAGAATTCCGACCAATGCAATCCAAAAGCCCTGGAACCAGAGTGCTCGTGCCGGAACCTTCCATACCGGATCGACCAGCATGAAGTATCCGCTCCAAGGTAAGCCACCATCTCGTGCAAAGCCCCAAGTTAGTCGGGAAGCGGTCGTTAGAATACTGATTCCCTGGCCCAGGCCATTAAAGATGAATAAAGCGATGAGAGTGGCCCCACCTTCCAGGCCTACTGTCTCCACCATCAACTCCATGAACGGCAGGCCGGTTGGAGAGTTGATGACCTCGTTGACGTCCTGGATGCAAAACAAGCAGACCATCATGAAGATAAAACCAGTGATGGCCCCCATGAGTACGGAAAGCCACATGACTTTCGGGGCATTGCGACGCGGGGCGGGAATCTCCTCGACCATATGAATAACGGCATCAAAAGCCGTAAGACCATAAGCGGCCTGCACTAGGCCCGTGAACCAAACGACCCCGTTTCCCCAACCGGTTTCGTTCATCCAAGCTCCAAAGACGAAAGACGCTGGTTGGAAGGAGAGATCTTTCTTCACGCCGACGGAGATGAGCAGCGCAAGTGACAAGACGACGAATAGGCCGGTAAACCATATGCCGACAAAGTTGTTGAGCCATGGGAGGACCTTTTCCTTCCTACAGCCGACTAGGTTGATGACAGTTAACACCAGAACTGTGCAAATGTAGACGACGAAATTTAGCCACCCAGTGTTGGCCCCGCCCCACGAGTTATCGAACATGACTTTCATGCCCAGGAGGAACTCGGCCATGAAAGCAACCTGGGACGCGGTCAAGGTCCACCAGCCGAACATGTTGATCCATGCGCACATGTACGAGGTGAATCGACCCAGCGGGGTGTCCCAAAGTCGAAACACCCAATACGCCTGGCCCAGAGCGGTCGGCATACTACTGGTGAGCTCTCCAAGCGAAACTGCGACACACAGGTTGCAGGCCGTGACCAGCACGAGACCCCAAAGTATGGTTATGGAGCCGCCATTGGTGAGTCCGCTATCCAAATCCTGTGCGAAAGTAGAGTAGGTGCCTGGTCGCAACGGTTAGCTGCCGTTCTTGGCGCCCCGGTGGATGCAGCGCGCACAGAGCACACGAAAAATTCCGACGATCGGGCAGGACTAACCTAAGACACAGAACGCGAGAGACAACATGCTCCAAATGTCAAATTTTCGAGTCATGGCCTGGTCATGGCCCATGGCCGCAAGATCGTGAGCATCTTGAACGCTCTGGTCGACCGACTGGATCGGTTTGATCGGCCCGTTGTTTTCCAAGTCCATCGGCATCCGGAAATAAAATGGATGAAAATGCACAATCACAAAAATCAATTCAGCCAAGCGGGAGAGCAACGAGATCGATGGACAAGTTGTGCACCCAATTGTCCATTTTCTGCAAATTCATATAACTGGCTTTAGGTGCTGAGGGGACGGTTCATATATGAACAAGTCTAAGGATGCAAGGGCATGGGGATTCTCGGGCTTCCCCTCACAAGGCCAGCATGCTTAGTTCGGAAAGGTAAGATGGTTATCAGAATGATAATGACCAAGTTAATGATCAATTGGTCATGGAAGAGATGCTCGTGAGTGGACAAGATAGATAAGTTGTCGATAAGTGAAATTTTTTTTTCCGTCTTTGACTTTTGACTTTTGCGGGGGCTGGTTTTTTTAGGCTCGGCAGGACTTCCCAAGTGGGGATGGCAGCTTCGGGCATCCAAAGGCCTGTTGCAATGACGAGGAGCTTGACTCTGAGCAGCGCTCAGACAGGCTACGGTCGTGATATTTGCCTCGTATACTCATTGTATAGCAGCGGTTTACTCTCAGGCGACCACCGCCTTCTTACGGCCATGGGTCCTATCCGGCCTTTCGGTCGCCATGCTCAAAGCATTCTCAAATTTTAAGGGAATTACCATCTCCCCAGTCTGCTATAGTCGCTCTCTTAAAATGGCAGCTACGTCTATCAACTCGCAGGTCGCATCGAAGTTTCAGGTCGTCCCTGCATTCCTGGAATTCGATCCCAGATCATCATCGTCAGTCTCTCCGTCACCTGTCCCAATCGGGCAGGTCTATGCGGAGGCGATAACCGCGTCCGGGGCACTGATTGTCGATCCATCCGAACCATTATCTCCCCCATGATTAATTAAGATGCGATAGTATGTGGCGAATTCTCGATATTATGGCCAGTATCAGAATTCAATGATGAGTTGTCCTCATCTCAGTCGCTCACCCTGAGACTCAACAACCCACATTCAAAGACGCAGTTGTTACAGAGGTGTCTACAGTGTTCACCCCAGCTGGCGTTGTGGTACCACTAGCCCGAACTTTGTTACAGCCGACTTCCGATCCAAGAGAAGGGGGAATAATGCGGGGTGCTATGGCTGCGGCTGCCTGTTGGCGGCCTGGGCTGTCGATCGAGGTGTCATACATTGGAAGAGAACCCGCTAACTGTGGCGACCTGTCCGACAACGGAATTCGGTTTTCGATGGTGGCATCCGCCGAGTACACTCGCTGGGTGTTCTGTCTGATAGGCTAAGAACACCGAGGACATGCACAATAGCTGCTGATAAGGCCGTTGTGTGTGGCTTTTAATAATCCAACTGCCGCATGCGGGCCAAGATTGTTGATCGCGATTCGCCCATCGACTTTACCTCGTGCTACATATACGAAGTCTGCATCCTCGTATGCAATAGCGGAAGCTTACGGCTACAAGCCAATTCTTACATGCTGCAGGGTTCTTAAGTCTAGTGTCTGAGAGTTCGAATCGAATATTCGAAGCTTTCTAGGTGCCCGGCTGACTTCACAGGGGCTACGATGCTTTCAACTTCCAGGCACATCATGACATCCTACAGACACAATAAGATCGGGTCTCTAGATCTACCGTTATTCATGCTCTCAAATAGCTAACAATTGCAGGCCGGACCAGGATGGGAAAGGCAATTGCCATTCCATACAGTGACTGAATTCATCAACATAAGTCTATTATGCATAGTTGTTTTGCAAGCCCTAAAGAGTTTGGACAAAATTAAATCCCTCATCAGCGAAGGATATGCGACATTATTCGCGGGATCGGCTCTGACAGCCTATCAGCGACGGAATGTATTATGGCGGCACGTAGTTTACCCCAATGAGTGCATATACACGACATGCGAGGCACAGCACTCGCGATACGATATATAGGCTGCGATATCTCCAGCATCGCATAATAGCTCCGAAATGATGCCCTGACCAATGATATCATCATAATATATGATGAAAATCTCTCTGCGTAAATGGGGAAGCGAGTGCCAGGGACCAGTTGCAGACTTACCTTCGCATCCTGATAGATTGTCCCTGCGGTAACCCTCGTCTTCAGGTCTACCTATGGCTGCGCTAGTCAGCTTAGCTGATAACATTACTCGAACACACCATCTGTTTCGTCTTGAAACTTGATAGGTGCCCAGTTTATTATCCTACCTATCGTTCAAATCCATGAGCGAAAGCGAAACAAAAAGCCACACATGTACAGATGCTGTGACTTCTTGACGACTCATTTGTCATTGTATGCAACTCGCAGCGTATTTCGACGTTACGGTTTCAGTACACGCAATGGTTGGTCTGTAAGAAGATGACCGTCACCGCTTTTATGCATGAGCCAAGACAAATCGAGACACATCCCTGGCTATCCCTGATGGGGCTGACTCTCCAGGGCCCCTCGTTTATTTTCATTTCATTCTCCGGCATCTTACGGCCGGAATGTCTCCGAGTTCGGAGTCAAACATCTTTATCTACGCTGACTTCGACCTTGAAGCAGTATGTCGTCGGGCAAGCACGCTACGGCAGGGTATCTCCTGTACTTTTGATCCCGGTCAACGCCCTGCCTCAGGAAGCTTCAACTGGGCTATATTTTATTCTTTTCGGCGATGGCACACAATGGGTTTTGAGGTCGCCACACCCGAGGACATTTATGCCTCTTGATGTTGGGGTAAAGCTACTAGCAAGCGAAGCGGCTACACTTCTATACCTCAAAGCCCGTAGCGATATACCGGTCCCGGAAGTATTGTTATGCACCCCTTCAAAACAGATAGTTCGAGGTTAACCTGTCGTAGCGCATCGTCCGATAATGACAACAAAGTTCCGTTCATCCTTATGAGCGAAGCGCCTGGCTGGCCACTATCAAAAGTCTGGGTGTCAGCCGGCTCCCCTACCTGACCTAGATCCTTCCAAAAAGGACAAGGTCATGACCCAGCTAGGCGGTGTCACCTGGAAACTCTTGCAGTTACGACTTGATGAATTCGGCTCATTCTATGATGACGATGGAGTTTTCAAGATCTAGGAATGCCTCTGGTGCTGCTATATGCTACATGAACGATTTCTGTTAGAGGGTCAGCGCGGCCCTTTCACTACCGACGCAGACTTTTACGAAAGCCTTGTTTCCAAATTTCTGGAACAAGCAGATTGCCTGCAGTTATCACATCATTGTTTTGTGGCCCCAGTTCCTTCGAGAGATGACTATCAATCCGACAAGCAGTATAGGTAGGCTGTGGATCTGTGGAATGACTTCGTCACTGTCGGCAACAAAATCGATTCTGCGGATAACAGGTTGGATTACATTGTTGCAGGTGATGCTCTCCGCGACATTGTACGCAAATTTGAACTCCCAATTTCAAAAACCCGGGGACATTCCCGCTATGTCACGCTGATGTTAGTGTCAATAGTATCTATGTCGACGACGACTACATCATTGCTTGTATCATCGACTGGGCGTTCACATCATCTGTTCCTAAATCCATGCTGTTATCCCCACCCGGCTTGCCGCAATACGGCGACAAGATAAGCCCAGTATTACACACAGCCTTCATCGATGGCTTCCAGGCAGCTATGTCCAAATCTACTGAAGAGAGTACGGTGCGCAAGTACCGCGAATCCCACAAACGAGGCAAATTTCACTGGAATTCAAGTCGACTCCTCGGTCTGGACTCTATCGGTGATTACAATCTCTTTGCTGTAGTTTGGCAATCTACCTGTGGTCCCGAAAAGGATATAGGAGAGTACTTCTCGCAACAATGTCGCTCACCTCACTACCTTAGGCTTTATGACGAGGTTCGTGAGGAGGATCGCCCACTTTGTAAAGTTGAAAGAGATGAGAAGGACTATTTTCGGAACAAGGTGTTTAAACACACCATAGCCAAGATATAGACACTCATGTCCGAGTGGAAAGCAAAGTATACAGCTGACAGTCCGCGGAGGATTCGGCAAGATATGTTCGTTGCTTCTCCGAATTTGTGGAAATGGATTATGCAGTTCATGGAGGACTGGGAGGAGATGCTTGATGCTGATGCCAATGTTCTAAACAGCATCCGTTAAAGACCTTGCTTTACGCGGATAGTTCTTGTTTCCATTACTCGAGTTATTCAGGGTATGCTTTTTCTCCGTTTACATATGGTTGTACGAACCCGAGGACTTCCCCTTACTATGTAGAAAATCTCACGAAGGTCGTTGCAGCCGTATCCCGCTTATCTCCATGACATGAGCACCTCGAGCTATTGAAGTATTTTTTATTTTTTAACTACAAGTGACTTTTTCAGAGTAATACTAAATCTCAATCCACCAAAATCAACACGGGTGAGCAGTAGACAGTGCCACCATGAGCGTTTCGAATTATCTTATCCCCCCCTGTTAGATTATACTGGCATCTCCAAGACCCATACCAGGTTGACCAGCACATGCACTGATAAGCATATTACTGAGCATTGTTTCCATCTCAGTCTCGACAGAAATTATACTAACTGATTCCTTTAAGTATATCCCGCCCACCTCTATAATGATGTTATACTGCGAGTCCCCCTCCTACCTCTTGACCTAGATTAATAGACTGGAAGGAAAAAGCAGGAAGTACGAATAGACGAACACCCATGATGAATAAAAGCAAATCTTTCCCTCCTTCGATGAATATAGCCTCATCACGATTGAGGCTTTTCTATCCTACTGCATCCGACTAGTTTTAAGAAATCAAATAAATAAAAAAGAAAAGAAAAATTGGAATTAAAGCAATAAAATTGATTGCAAATTTCCTAGCCAATAATTCCAGTAAACTACTCAAGAACCAACGATATTACTACCCTCTCTATAACAGAAAACTTTCACCCACTCTTATTACACAATATCTACTTTACTAAAATCATGCTGGAAATTGCAGTATTGGTTTTTATACCATAAAAATAGCAAGCATCCCTCATAATTGAATTGGAATGGGTTCAACTGTCTTGATTCTAACTAGCCGAGTTCGGTTTAGTGCTACCTCTCTCCTTTCCCCTCTCGCAAGGTGCTTCGTTATAGCTGTTTTATAGCAGAGCATAATCAATAATAATATTTCATTGGTAAACACAGAGACATCTATAAAGTCTCATGGTCCATTATTATATTGTTGGAGTTGGTTGGGACGGTCATGGAGGGAAATTTTGCAGGCGATCGCTAGGGTGCGCTCCATCGTTCGCGGGAGAAATATATATTGTAGTAGTTCAAACTATAATCACTACTAATACTGATAGTTTACTACATAGTCGTGGTCAGAATTATCATACTACTTGGTCTGTTACTATATACTAGTCATTTTCACTTATTCAATTAAACGCTGAAGCTACTCTGAAAGTAAAAAGCAGTACAGATACGACACGGTCACGTGGCTGCCGAGTATAAGAGGATGAAAAATGTTGGACACGGTCTATTGTTTCTAGACAGCGGCAGCTATTCGGGGAAAGATAAAGTTTAGCCATTGGTTTATGAGCCTACGAAATTCTTATTTTCAAGGTGTTTAGCACAGCGGCATTAATGTCTACTCACGGGGTGTACCGGTAAACAGCCTGTATTCCGATCAAGGATCCCCAAGAATGATGTGACAAAGTCATATAGCTTGACGTGATTGATGAAGTCAATCTAGTAGACTGCCAAGTGATAGTGACACTCTCCAGGATCAAGTTGAACCCCCAAGGCAGGTTGGTTGAACCCCTGAAGGTCGATCGGCACCACGATGACTGCCCTCAACGTCAGACCGATTTGTAAGCCACCAACAGCGGGGCTCCAAGACACACTTGGAGCTTCACACCACCAAGTCGACGACCCCTGACTGGCACATCTTCCCTCTACACAGCATTGCATCGGATTATCCTACATACAGCCCATCGCTACATTACTACATATCACGAGGCCTTGAAGGAGGAGCACCAGTGTACCATCCTTACGTCATACACCACGCGCACACCATGACCAAAATCGGTGTCTTTCCTGCAGCAGGAGGACTGGGGACCAGCATCATCAATCACCTCGTCAAGCTGGTGCCTGCATCGGAACTGATCCTGATCGCCCGCAAGCCAGATAATCTCGCAGAACTCACGCGGGCCGGAGCTACCGTCCGACGGGCCGACTATGAAGACCCCGCCACGCTAGAGCGCGCCTTCGATGGTATCGACGCCCTGATGTTGATCTCGTATGCCTCGTTTGAGATCCAGTTCCGCTTCGAGGTAGGTTGCCGTGATGATCTCGCGCTGACATGATGCTGATCCGAGACAGGCGCATAAGAACGCCATCGATGCTGCCCGCCGTAGCGGCGTCAAGCACATCTTCTATTCGTCTCTCGCCTTTGCAGGCGATCTAGAGGAGACTAGCGTTGCGCACGTGATGGGCGCCCATCTGCGGACCGAAAAGTATTTGGCCGGACTTTCCGGGCACATCACCTACACCGCTATCCGGGAGGGTCTGTACTCGGAGTCCTATCCGATCTACACCAGCTGGTTCGATATCCACCACCCCGCAGACGAGATCGCGATCCCTCACTCCGGCGACGGACCGGGCGTTGCGTGGGTGAAACGTGACGAGCTGGGCGAGGCCACGGCGAAGCTGATTGCAGACTATGCCAAGAATCCGGCGGGGTTCCCCTACCTGAACCGCGTGCTCTTGCTCTCCGGCCCCAGGGAGATCTCGCTAAAGGAGACTGTTGAAATTCTCGGCCAGGCCGTTGGCAAGCGCCTCCGCTTGCGGGAGATCTCTGTTGACGAGTATGTGGCTTTGCCGCAGCACGGATCAAAACACACCTATCACGGTATCGATTTGACAAGGGAATGGGCAACCGCGTGGGATGCGATCCGTCGTGGGGAGACGGCCGTGGTGTCGCCGCTCTTGAGGGACATCTTGGGACGAGAACCTGAGAGTTTTGAGACGACGGTAAAAGCGTTGGCTAGGAGCAAGTAGATAGCTTACCACAATTCCTTTGATCCCATTCTGTCTTTGCATGGCCACCGGGAAGCCTGTGAGGTAACTGCCGCTCGTGTCGTAGATCTGAAGTCTCGTGCGGGGGATGCCCCTCCTAACCGGCACCCCATCTGCCGAAGTCGATGAGGTCGGCTTTGCACCCCTGACGACAGGATAAAGTCCGATACACTCTTTAGCAGCACGTTGATGACCGGGTGTAGGTTTCCTGCCGCTGTGACATAAGACGCAGGAGGAACAACCGACACACCCAGCCGTCATCCGGGATAATTCTCATCCGCCCTCAGAGTGAGGCCTTGGACCGGTTCCCCCACGGCATCGTACAGTAGTGCACCCGCCGGGCGGATAGCAGCCGGGGTGTGCTGACTTCGAGCTGGTTTCTGGGAAATTGGCAAGCCCGAGCCCCGCGGCAACCCAAACTTGTGGTGGTCAGAGCTTGTGGATCTCGGTGACGCCGTTGCAGAACAAGATGAGGCTCGACTAGATCTAATCAGTTCAGCACTCTGGTGGTGCTCTATCCACATTCCATGTAGACACGTCTGACGCAATTGTTCAGCACCACGTCTGAACCTCTGCAGCTGCTCAACATCATCATGGCGCCAATCCCAGGCCACATTTGACATTCTGGCACACTCATTCGTTTGTTCACATCTTATCGGTCTTAGTTCAGCTAACAACATAATCAGCTGTAAGTCGAATGAGAGTCATCGTGTTGCGGGGTTACTATTCTGGGCTGGTGCGATGAAGCTAAAGCCTAACCTTGTTCTCACAGCCAGGGGAGCACCTTAAAGCAAACATTAATAATGTCGAGCATAACCCTGGATCAATTCTGATCAGTCATCACCCAAATCGGTAGGGCTGACCAGCACTGGCCGGTGCCTTATCCGAAACCATCAGTCAGATGCCGTCCACCCTCGCCGAGTTTAACGTATACAGAATCTCGTGGCCCAAGGCACACCAGGCGTCTCGTGCGTCGGGAAAGACCTAACCGGAGACATGCTACAAAGTCAGCTGCCAGATGAACCAGAATTGAGTCATGAGAACAAGAGCAATCCCAGTGTCTCGGGCGAGATGATCGGGTAGAGCTGGTCATCAAAATCACCCCAGGGGGGTAGCAGGCATACGACCGACGACGAGAATTCTTCTGCAATCCTTGGCGATCTCAAGCCACAGCAAGTGTATCGCAGAGCATCGTCGCACTAAGGAAGGGGTTCTGAAGATGCCGGATCACACCACTGGTGGCATTGCAGCAGACCCTGGGCACCCGGTATCCGGTCCGCCTGGTAAGACTATTTTGGGGTAGGAAATTTTGGAGGGGAAGAGAGCAAAGAACCTTACTCAATGAGGTTATTCTCTCCACGTCCGAAGCCGAGAAATTTACTAGCGTCCGCGCTGGAGCAGTGGGTAGTGTGGTCGGAGATTTTATGTATGTCACTTTTCGTAGGAAAATTTTTATTCTTAGGACGCTGACTATAGCGCCAACCGGGTTGGTGGTTCCGAGGGCGACTTACCGTGGATAGATTCCGTCGATAGCGCGCCAGCCAGCCCTTATTTTTGCCAGCTTTTGTGGTAGCGGGAAGAGGGGCGATGGGGACCTCCCGAGACGTCATGGCGGGTAACCACAGCTATGAACCTTGGACGGATTCATCATCGTTGCGATTATCATTAGGTCAAGAGAATTGGAGGAAAAGGAGGTTGCGAGCACTCCCAATGTTCCAGGAGACAGGCTAGACCCCTCGGTCGGCTGCGAGATTGTGTGTGTGAGAGAATAAAATGGGAGGCGATGCACTCTGTCTCTCCACCTGGATGGGGTTGGTTGCTATGGCCCACTGACCTGGTCTGTGTTCCTTCGGAGTACCCGCGGGAGATGGAAAAAACAAAAAAGGGACGGAGGCAGAGCTGAAGAGAGTAAAGTAGATACTGTAGTGGATTGGGATATACCGGGATAGTACATCCATAGTATGGCTAATCATGTACTGCATCGTGGTCAGAGCAGGATTTTAGCTGAGTAGTAAGCGAGACAGTCGAAAAATTGAGGATGTGAAATACCGATTGTTGGCCACCTGACTGGTCAAGATGGACACTAAGGGGTACTTCATTGCCAATGACCATTTCGTGATTGGTGGATGCGACCATCCTGGGGGGAATGAAAACATACACATACATACATCATCGTATGTGGCAAGTACTAGTATAGTACTTTGGCTCTCCAAGATGATTTTGTTTGTTACACCCAGTGTTGTACAGTTCGGTTTATTCAGGAGGGACTCGGGACGGAAAGGGAGCTGTGCAGGTGGTCTGGCTTGTCATCTGTAACCCCGTCAATGCCTCCGACAGATTACTACCACTTAGTACTTGTGTATGGCTGCCAGAAGCGAATCAATTGTGAGCATAAGAATTTGCCAGGGAACACAAGGGACATACATACAGGAGCAGCCATGAAGGCCAGAACAGACCCACTTGCGGCCGCAATTGAGGGTACCTGAACCATGGCGGCCTAAGGCAGCTGGGATTGGCAAACACTACGTAGACAATATCCAGACACTACAAAGATACTAGTAGATGGAGACTGGACTCAGTATTGCCCCTCGTCTAATTTCAGTCTACGTAGATGGCCTCCATCTTGAGGTTTACCACATGCATCGGACATGTCTATGAAACGAAGAAATCAACATGTGCCGAGCGGATGAAATAACTGCAACAGGCAAGCGAGCGACATTATGGTCGCCTCGTGAAGAAAATCTAGGCAGGCAGGGATAAGATTAATTCCGCATTTGACTGTTGCCATTTTAGTCCGTGAGTTGAGTGTATGGAGTAGGAGATGGAGAAGTCATGTTGGACAAAGGGGAGTAAGTAAGTAGGAAAGGGAAAAAACCAGAAAAATTATTTGTCCAGCTGTTCTTACTTCTGTCGAGTTTCCTCCTCGTCCGGCCGAAGATGTCGGAGCCGAGACTCGGCCGCGGCGGTACTTGGCTGGGGACTAAACCAGAAGGGGGATAGCCAGCAAACGAAAGGGAAGCCAGTCCAACGGTTGTGCATCGATCGATCCACCATCCACCGATCCCGCCCTCCACGGCTCTCCAATCCGTCCTTTTCTCTTGATTTTTTCCTTTTTTATTTTATTTTGTATTTTCTATTTTTCTGGCGGGAGTCTAGTACGTACTCTACTGAGCTGTAGTTTGCCTCAGCTCTCTCCTGCTGAGCTTTGTCCTGCTTCCCATTCACTCCCCCCAAATGGGCCTTCCGACGGCAGACATCGGAGCCGACCGAGGCTGGATGCCCTGCATCCGGCTGGGGTGATCTCTCGGTGCCCCTTCACCGGCCCTGTGCAATTATCGTTTCGACAATGGTCATGGCTTTTCTTGCGCGTCTCCAGTCCAATTATGCTGGCCCTCATTATTCTCGCTGGTCGTGAATTTTTCGACCGTTGCAACCCATTACATCATTGCGTCTCGGCTGGCCTGGCGATCGGTTTCTGACACCGGCTTCTCCTGAAACCTTCCACCTTTATATAGTCCATCCCCCGATGTCTTCTACTGCCTAGCATCCTTCCGATCCACGGTTCAATATCAGACTGCTTCTTTATATTTACCCTTTCTCTTGTCTCCTCAACACTTCTCTGCTTGCCACTCGACCTTGACTGTCGACTCGACTATCAAGTTTGCCTCCCACACCAAGTACTATCAGACAATCCACATCGTCATCCATCCAAAGTCAACCCCATCCAAGTCCATTAGTATGGCATACCCTAGGCCCGATTCCTTCTCGTTAGACGACGAGCGGATGTACAGCATGAGCCATCCGAGCCCACTCACTCGTCCCAATGATACCTTCGCCAAGGGACCCGATCCTCTGTCGGCTAACTGGAGCTACGACAATGCCATCGATCTGTTCTCCCTCAACACCATGATGCCGGAGACTTTCCCCTTGGAGATGTCCAACGAGATGATGAACTTGGACCCCAAGGATTTTCCCGCCGACTTCTTCGCCCCACCCCCAGATATCAGTGCGTTCACCATCTCCAACCACTCGGGTGAAGATGCTGCTTCCTGCGGGTCTCTCTCATCGGTATGTCTATTCCATCGGCATTGAATGGTGAACCATAACTAACATATACTCAATAGGACCTCGACAGTGATGATCAGTCATGGTCTCCTACCTGCCGTGTCTCTCCCATTGAGCCTATCCACATGGAGCTGCCTAAGCCTGCTGCTCGTACTTCCAAGACATCTACTCGTCGCAAGACGGCGTCTCAACCGAAGGCTCGCGAGGTTACCGCGACAAGGTGGTCGTCCAGTCCGGAAATTACACCGCAGGACTACCCCGCCACCAGTGTCTCACCCCCGCCCGCCCCCTCCTCCCCTGCCGCCAACACCACCGCCCGCAAGACCACCCGCAGTCTCTCCAGTGACTCCAACGCCAGCACGGGTCAGGCCCAGACCACCACCGGCCGTAATGCGGCGAAGCGGGCGGCGCACAACATCATCGAAAAGCGGTACCGCACGAACATGAACGCCAAGTTCGTCGCCCTGGAGAAGGCGATGTGCGGCGGAGTCCAGAAGCCCACCAAGGGCGGCTCGGCGTCGCTGAAGAAGTCGGAGATCCTGACCAATGCCATCACCTTTATGCAAGAATTGCAGGAGGAGAACAAGGCGCTCCAGAAGGAGCTTGCCATGCTCAAACAAAGCATGGTCCCGAACGGGATGTGGCGACATAGCAAGGGGAGTGAGGCGTTTCACGCATAAGCCCAGCGGCGATGCGTTGTTTTGTCTCTGCCCAGAGATCCCCTTGTAATGACCGTCACGTGTATTGTATAATAATTATGATTTCCTTTTCTTTTGTTCCTTTACATCTTACAACAAGATCTGGGAGTTTGGTTCATGGCCCTCTCCTGTCGTGGGCGGCGAATTATGGGATGAATCGGTGTTGTGTTGATATATACCCGGAGATAAAAGTTCGACCTAATCCACTCACTACTTTACATTATTTTCTTATCCTTAATAATAGAATGTAATTCTACAAAGTAAACACCCACGGCAAAAATAAAAAAAGAAAGACTTAGACCAGGTTACCCGTCCCTGGACCCATCCCATCCCAATTAAAAGGTAACCCATCAATTCCATCCGTTACACCGACAAGGCGCAAACCCCGCCCGTCCCCCCTCCCCATCAACCCAATTGATCCAGCCTTGCGAAATCTCTCCTACAAAGTAACAGCCAGAAGAAGCCTTGTAGATACCCAATAAACATAAAATAATCTATAGAATAGATGCTACTCCGCACTAATTCCTAATTAATCAATCCACCATATGCAATGAAATTCAAACCAGCCCGACACCGACACCCACACACCCTCCCAAAACAAAACAAAACAAAACAAAAAACAAATCTTTCGATTCTAGAACGTCCTGGCTGGCCCGACCGATCCAGACCGGCCGATAATTCCCGCCCAGCCGACAATCCAACCATTTTGCTTTTCTCCATGTATAGTGGATAGCTCTGGCCACGGTTGGAGGCGATGTCGTCATCGAATCGAATCAATTTCTACTCACACTTGTTGATTTATCTGAAGATACATTAAGGATGTACCTGATAAGAGTCTGGACCAGGTGTGCATTGATACACACATACACACACACCTACACTAGATAGCTATTGTCGCTTACGGGCAGATCGGATACATTTCTATGCAAGTAAACTAGTAGGGGGGTTTATGAGTGGTCTGGACTGGACTGTCTGCACTGCACCGAGCGGAAATGAGATGAGATTTATGCATTGTGATAGATGGATGAAAGGAGTGCTCGGTCGTTGCCTACTCGCTTCATTTCATTCCTTTTTGCTGTATCTTCATTCTAGACCACCTTCTAGATGGGCGATGGGCTGTGAAGAGTGTAGTGAGTGACGAATGGATGGATGGAAGGAAGGAAGGAAGGGAAAAGGGAAGTCGATGAGGCTGTAGATATCTCTCTCTCTCTCCTATCTTTGTCGGTCTGTGTATGTGTGGGTATAAATTGGTGTATACTATGATACTACTACTCAAATGTGTTGTTTTCTAAAGAAAAAAGGACTACTACGACACATACAATCTCCCTCTACTAGTACTCTCATCTAGTCTGGCTTTTCCATACTTGCTGTGTACAACAACTCCTTACATCGGTCGACCACAAATCCAAAACACACCCAATCACAATGCCCGAATCCACCTCTCGTACAAGGTACTTTACCATCACTGCATCGAACCATGGTATTTGCTGTATGGGAATGAAAGCTAACCCTTGACTTCAACATATCCTCGAGAGTAAAAGTACCACGCGATCTATCACATCTCACTCCACACATACCAATGCGAGCACAGAGACGGGAACGCAAAGTGAAACGACGTCATCGGACACATGTCAGAAACATACGCAGAAAGTGAAGCACAGAAACATGGAGAATATTCTTCGGTATCGGGACGGGCCGGAGTGGGAGGATCCATATTGTCTTGTGGGGATAGAGGGGAGAGGGCAGGGGAGGGTTACTCGGATGGAAGAGGAGATTCGGAAGGTGGAGGAGGTACTTGGGTTTGGAGTTGATAATTAGATAGATTACTATTTTGGATGTTGATAGAATATACCCGGACATGTATGAGGAATATTTATTAATTGGATACTTGCATGGAAGGTATCGGGACTATGCTTTAATAAGGCCTACATTCACACGATGCTAAACTATAGGAAGGCTTTACATACAAGCCATATATCCCCTACTCACGCCTCAATCTTCAATACAGATATCATCGCCCTCACCCTGAGGGCCCTTCATACACTTCTTAGGGCATTCATCCCTGAACCATACGGTGTCACCCCAAAGATCGCAAGCAAAGCGCGAGTTGAGAACGTAGTCTTCAGTTGTTGGTTTTCCCAGAGATTCAAGAGCATATTCGATCCTCTCTCTGTAGTAGTCCTCATCTTGGAGGAATTAGTATTTGCATGGAGATTTTATGAGTGAGGTAGTCATCTCATCAGAACACTTGTCTACCCAAATTAGGAAGTCTTCATCGGCGGTGCAGAGGAAGCGCGAGTAAAGAACGTAGTCATCGCTTGTCGGGTTGTCTGACCTTTCAAGAGACGCCAAAATATCGGTATAATAATTTCCTTTCGTCCATGGTTTGTCAGAACCCCGCAAGATGTTCCTGAGACGCAAATTCATGTCTGCTCACATTTTTTAATCAATGAGGTGCCACAATAGGTAAGACCTCGGGTGCATCCATAAGCAAATGCTCCAGAAGCAGCACTAAGAGTAAGGAGGACGGTGGAAAACTTCATTGTGAGAATATTCGAGTGGATAAGCTTTTTTTTTTTTTTTTTTTGATATCTCTGAAGCAACGCTGAGATTGTCCTTTGTCTCTGTTGGACTGCATGGAGTATAGTACCTCTGCGTCCTTTAATTATCCAGCAGTTTCAAAAGAAATGGACTAATTCAGTCTATTCCCTTCGATACAAGCCCGTATCACCGTTGAACAACATTCTTCAGCTCCTGCATGTGGATTATTATGCAGGCATGACATTCCGAGTGCGCATCCTCGGGACCCAAAAATCTCGCTTGACACCCGTTCTGGACAACGATGTTCTAGTGTCTATGTCAGATATCGAGATGATCAGATGATTGCGTGGGTTGAGGGACATACTTGCTGGGTTGCGGACACGATGGCAGTAGTTCTACTACTGCCATCTTTGATTGATTTAACCCTCATATAGTTCAAGCATTTTCCCTCTGACCAATTTCACTCAACTTTAACACCCCCAATACTCGATATAACCTACGTCCTGTGGTAGTAGTCAATATACAAACTCAGCCAGGAGTATCGCAGTAATGAACCTGACTTGCGTATCTTGAGAAAGCTCTATCAATCCCAGCAGCTAGTATTCTCGATGGCTCTGGAAACTAATTTCGATTTGCAAGTACAACCACAAGAATGGGTAGATTTTTCTGTCACTTGTTAAGAACCTCCGGATGAAAAGCATGAGTCTAGGAAACGGATGATATTTTAGCTTCCGCAAGACTACAGGACAGAGAATATGTGAGTTGCGTTCACCGAGTCTCTCCAACTCGTTGGTTTGCTGTAAATCTCCGTCGGGTAAGATGTTGTCGATCTAAAGAAGATATTGAGAGAAGTGATAGAGTTACTGGATTCTGTATCTGATATTATCAAAGATGATGAAGAGAGTGTCTGCGGAGTCAGTAAGATATCTTATATATAACTTTATCTAGACAGCTGGGGCTATCCCGTTCTGGTCATATATCCAATAGGGAGACAACCAAATTTGAAAGAGATATATGAATAAGAAGAAAAGAGAATTAAATAGAGAAACAGATATAATACGAATGGGAGAATCTCCCTTGTGGTAAGAGACCTCGCTCGGGTAATACGTATAAGCGTGATTCGACTGCAGACTCATAGTGGAAGATGGGTGCTTTTCGTCGAACCTTTTCAGGAACGACGCATCCTTGGTGAGGGACAAAAGGCAGACATTCTTGTATGATGATAACGACATAAAAGTGTGCAAAACCCACACTTTTTTTTTTGTTTTTTTCAGTAATAGCTCCAATGATGTCTTGCCTAAATAGTGACTCAATGCTGACACCGTAAGGTATCCTGAGCATCGAAAGGCACCATTGAGTTTCTCTTGCGAGTTCCGGGATACGGTCCGTTGAGCAACGTTTTCGTTTCTTTTTGCCACAAGTTGATATCTCGCAATCTAAGGCATCACTGTAATAGAGTTCAGTAAAAGAGAGTGGAAGTAAACGAAGTGCCCTATCTTAATGATCATCTGGCCATCGATGGTGGCATATTTGTAAACTTGTTTTACCAAGCTCGGGCTCAAGTAGAACTGTCTGGAATGCCTCTTGCCGTATTAGTCTTATTTTGTCGCTGATAGATTTTCCAACTTTTTTCTCCAGGCAGAGATGTTTGCTTCTGCTTGATTTTATTTAACGCTGGTACTTGTGGTCGGTCGTTCCACGAAGAGTGTTGTATGCCTCTCTCTTTGAAAGTGCCAGGCGTCCAGACGACGCTATGGGCCTACATTACCTTTCTTCTCAGCTGATACCCTGGGTCTGGCACCCACATCTCGAAACCAGTGATTGCTCCTGGAATGTCAGCATATTGTTCAAAGCCAGCAGACCCCTGCGCCGACGAGAGACTGATCTATAGGAAAGTGCTCGCCGGGTACCTGCCAGACGGTCAGCATTTATGCGGTAGGTAATAGAAGAAAAAAAGACGAAAACAACACACCGATTCGCAAGAGTGACACCAATGAACAACCACGCACAGATTGGGTTGCGTGGATGAAATATGTATTTCCCCATACCAGTAAGTGGACGGAACCGCATTGGAGGGATAACAGCTGAAGCAGAAATGGAGTACGTGTGACCAGAGCTATCTTCAACTGTCCAAGATGGATCAGTTGCTAAGTGCTGTCATGCTCAAGCAGTCGGTTTGTTTGGAAGGGAACTTGCGCGTAGTTCACCCATTCTTATTCTCTAGTTTAGCCAGTGACCAATACTGGCTGCGAAAGATGTATGTAGAATGCGATATACCCGAGCGTTTGATAGGTGAATGTTGGATCCCATATCTTTTTCGTGCTTGATTCCACTGGCGTCTCATAAGGCCGACCACCGCACTCATGTAATCATGACAATGCAGGCATTAAATGCCCAGTATGTTATTACCTAATATGAATGGTTTGTCACCCATATGTCTTGGAATCTCAAGTACAGGCCAATTGCCGAGATTGATCCGCGGCGAAGAGTCTTGCAGCGCACCGTGCCTTGATGTTGATGTTGTCAGAAATGTATACGAGAGGGCCACCAGAGAATATTCTGGTGCTGTTCGATAGCTCCTATAGGAGATATCTGCGCCTTCTGTAGGTTCTTTCAATGTAGGCTTTTTTATGATCAAGGGTTTGTGGGAAGCAGCTTTGTGTAGCACCATGTTGAGATACACGTTTTGTTCGCAGAATGAAAATGGTAGATTTTAATATGACCGAATAGTATGAATTTTCGGAGGTACTTAGGGCCGAGGAGGCATTTTGCCTCACAGTTTACCGCCCAGCTGGTCAGAATGGGCTGCATTTTCTGTACCTACGTATGTTCTCCTGAAGTGCAGTTTGTTTATGCTGGTATAGGTCGCTATGCAGGGTGTCATTGACCCGCTTTACTGACTGGTTCGAAATGATTGTACGACAGGCTTTCATATCCCTCTGTCCAGGTGTTCTTAAAGATCTGAGAAGTGGTATCTATGATGGGGATATAGATAATTGTCTAGTTATCCGGGTCTGACTACTACTAGGTAGTATAAATATAGATGTTAGAGATTAGTAGGCTAGTTGATATGGAGTAGAGAAGATGGTGGTTGATGAGAAGGAAGGAGGAATTAGAGATTATCTCGATATTTATATGGCCTGCAACATTATCACTTGCTATTCAGGGAATAGAGTAAGGGCTGGGATATGCATTGGTTGGAGGTGGCTTCACTTCCCGTATATAGAATGTAGAGTTGTGAATAAGGACCACGTCCGTGAAGTAATGTTGAGCTTTCAGGTAAGATATATGCATGATAAATGGATCTTTCCACAGCAAGGATTCCATGCTAAAGAAAAATTCAAAGGAAATGCAGAATGTCAATGGTATTAGCTATTAGGTACTATCGGCTTATAAGCCAGTGCCCTCAAAGACAGAAACTTAGTGGAAAGTAATGGAAACAGAACTAGAAGGTCTCCATAATCCCATGCTCCCAGCCTCTTCCTCCAAGACAGCTGTTGGCGGAAGTGCCCTAACAATTTGTGACATACGGATATCGGAGGCGCTAACATATTGGCCTGTCAGTTAACGTTCAAGTTGTTGAATGTAGCCCCTGCTGCCAATTGACGCCATTTGAGATATCGTGAAATCAGTTCAAGACAGGGGTATTATTTTCCATTCTAAGTAGAACTTCCTCCCCGTCACACCTCTAGTAATGCATCGGTCAAGCTCTGCTTGTGCGCCTGCTTGACCAGGCCGCAGCTTTAATTTGAAAGGCCAATCTTCCACGATCGTATGGCTTTCCTTCATAGTTAGCCATCCCTATTAGTTTCGAAACATCACGTAATATGTGATTGGCTAAAAAGCTATTGTCGGTGTACTAAATACAACGAGTCATTATTATCATTTTTTCAGCCGTCAATCCTGTCGGTTCATGAAAATACGTCAAGAGGGGATACCAGGATTGCTTGTTTAAGGTGATTTTCAACGAGCGCTTCCCGAATGTCCACGTCTTGGGTATGAGACTTCCTCCTGTGGCGTCCTTGATCGTTTCGCAGAAGCCCTGGATTAGAGGACGCCGAAAGACATCAATCGCAGGGGTATTGCTCCACAGGTAATTATTCGTTCAATAAATTGGTGTGGGGGCCCTTGAACAAATGAAGGCAGTCGACTTTCTAGAGCCCAAGCCGGCTGCCACGTTCCCTGCCCCAGTGGTGACATGCAGGCTAACTTATATTGAGGCCAATGGGAACCTTTGGCATTCTGGACCGCATTACTGCACAGATATAGTGATAAGTACGATACAGTTTGAAAGTTCTCATACTTCATGGCTGAACGCACATTCACGAGACGGCAGCCCTTGCACGTGAATCTCCCCTCTTTTCTGCAACCAGACGTGTCGGACTCTAAGTTGGCGCAGACAAATCTTGGTGCTGCCATAACTATGGTCAAATTAGTGCTCAAGCACGTATCCAAGGCACTGGAATTGAACGGTATCGCCCAGCGGAAAGAAAGTCAGTATAAACACGGAAAGAGTCAAGTGATTAAATTACTGGCACCGAGTAAAAATGAAGAAACAAAACGACTGGAGGCTGCTCTCAGTGACTGAGATGGAGAACTCTACAAAGTCAGCCATGTCCCTATTACTGGTGTTTCAGAAATGAGCCTCAAGTCAGTCATCGAATGGCCATGCCTTTTCCCACCCAATCTTCTCTTCCTCAGAAGTTGCAAGCTGGTGAATCAAGTCTGTCTTGGCGTGCTTGAGAAGCTCCCTAACTTCGTCATACCGCTCAGGCGGCACGATGCCTTTCTCTGGCCACAGTTCATCCAGAGACTCTTTCACGCCCCGCATCAGCTCCATGCTTCGGGATGCCTTATCTGCCATCTTCGCGAATGGAGCTGACCTCGCCGGTAGTATATTGCAAAGGAAATGGTGGATTTCCGGAAGCCTGTACGCCTGGGAGATATGACCACTCCTCTGCAAGCTCAAGTATCCTGGCCTGATACAAAGCTTCTCCGTCAATGAGCAAGTTCTGAGCCAATAGCATCAGGTCAAAGCTCGATGTCTCCTGAAACTCCATAGCTTTGAACAGTCTTTTATTCTTGCCATAAGTGAGCTTTCTATACAGACTCGCGAGAGACATGTTCAAATAAAGCCTTTCGGCCTTCATCTTTTCGTCAGGATTGAGTTGATCAATGTCGCGCGGGAAGTCCGGTGGATCGAGGCCAGTTGCTGGAGGGCCATCATAGTCAAGAAAACATGGCTGACGTTCATGGTCGAAGAGAGGTAAAACCTCACTGGACTGCCAGTCAATGATGCCTACAACCTCAGATAGATTTTCGGGATTAACAAAGATATTTGCAACGTGGAGATCAGGGTGCCATAAGAATGCGGACAATATTGAGTCATCCGTTGGGAGGAAGAAATGCACCATGCGGAGATAGTCCCGAATAGCAGCTATTTCCTTCGATGGTGAGCGACGGTATGTGCCGGGACCGTATAAACCCAGGATTGACCGGGGTAATTGGGGCATTTCCTGTACACAGGCGAGTTCTCGGGACCCAATTGCTAATCTGTATCCGTACAGCTTATCCCCTGGAGCCGTATCAGCAGGAGATATCGACAGACTGGTAAGGAAATCTTACAGGGGCCCCGATCGAAGTCAACGTCGATCCTACCGTCGTCAAGGAACCCTCTTCCTGTTGATGGACTGATAGCAAATTGATCGTCTTTGAACTGAGACCCGTCTTCATTCACGAGGATGCAGCCACTGTTACTTTGCAAGTCTTTGGATTAATATAGACTCCCATATCGGATGAATGACTTCGACATCCAGGCTTTTTGATACCTGGCTATTGTCTTGGCGAGCTCAAACCTCTGCTTAATATTCATCCGTGGCCAAACTTTATTCAGCTGGATACCTCCAACCTTCTCCATAATAATGTATCCTGCACCAACTGGGTTCTCACTTGCGTTTGAGCTCCAAGCCAAAACCTTCGGCACAGGAGTACTCAGCTTATTCCCTACCTACCAGTGGGCATTAGACACACCGGTGAAGAGGGTAGTATGAAGCTTACTTACAAAATCCATCGTTGCCACTTCACTGGCTGTGGTATAGTGTGGCCGTCCAGCATTCGTATTCGGCACCTTGCCTACAACCTGTGTACCGTCCTGCATGGTAAAGAGGAAAGCTTTATTGAACATGCCATCCGGGAATCTCTCAACATTAACGCATTGATCGTGTGAAAAGCCGACTGATTCAGCCGCACGCTTTGCTAGCTCACTCATACTGAACTTTACCCGGCGTATGGCCATCTCGTGATTTTCATTTACCAAGAAGCGAGCTCTTGTGTAGTCATACGACTCATGGATCGCATTCCAACTAAAGGGGTATGACTGGCTGAGGTTTGTCCGGTATGAAAAGGTTGGATGGTGAAACGTTCGTCTTTGACCGCGTAACAGCGGAACAGGCTTGCGTAGCATCATGAAAGAATCCCAATACATTTGTGCTACATTGAGAGAGCATCAAGTGGAATGGATAATGGATGGGGATGGAGATCCCCTGCACCTTTTGGCTGGCGGGAAGATATCGTGACTGTGGTACAGACACGTGACCCTGCATGGCAGTTTGCAGAGAAGAAGAGATGGAAAGGCTGCTGGAAAAAGTAAATATACCGGCGATATATCGAGAGTTGGATTATATGGGGAATGTCCCTTTTCATTATCACTTCCTCGCTACTTCTGCTCACTAAAAAAGCACAGTACTACCTTCACGCCGTTGCAATTCTCCTGGTCGAAGTAGACGCAACTGTTGTTATTACTGGGTACCGACTTCTGGTATTATTTCAAAAAATGACAGCCTTGTGACAGCTCCAGAAGCGGAATATCTCCGCGAAATGAACGGAAAATGGTGCATAGAATGCACGCAAGAAGTAAGTCATATCGCGACAAAATCCAGCATCATCAGAAGCAAATTTATTCCGAGTGACCCTGCAGCAGGCCAGGGCGAAAGCTATGGTCATTGGACAATGGCTATGGCCGATCGTTTCTAGATGGAGCTAAGCGCCGCGGAGTATACTATCCCTGTCAACACAAGGTTTGTTGATGTCTCGGGGAGCATGTCGGAGGAAGATTCAGGTCCTAGAAAGGGTGCACAAGACCTTGCTGTCAATTCGCCATACATTTGATCTATCTATAATGTATGATCATCGGTTCCTCGAATTCGCGAACGAGATAAGGGGAAAGTGGGCTGCCGCGAGCTGAAGTTCACTGCCGATCAGACTATTTATAGATGACTACAGGCAGATTTGTGGTTTTCGGAGAAAATAATAACAGATGGAACTTATGGGAGGGGATTTGGTCAGTGACCAGTAGGCAATAGATGCTGGTTTTCCAATGCTGCTCTGATGATAGGATACTCTGCTTCACAGCGTCACTAGGTACCAGTCTATCCATCCTGTTCTAATTTGTTTCCCCAAGCCAAGGAGAAGAGGATGCTACACCCGGCGGAGAGCCGGGGAAAGCATCGGAGGATTCGAACCTTCTCTGAGACCATGACAGCACAATACTACATTGTAGAAGATAACATTGATGCACGAGCAGTGACCTGCCTCTTCAGGATAGCCCAAATCTGCAGAAACCAAGGGATTGGCCCGATTAGCTAGTGGCTTATCAAGAAAGCGGGGGGTGAAGCTACCAAAATGACGAAATAGGAGCAGAACTATCACTTCTACTAGCCGTGCCAAGATCTAGGAAAGGGGAAGCAGGAAGGCGGGTGGAGCCGGTCAGGCTGGGCAGTTCCTGAGGTTGCACTCAAGTGGCACCAATTTGTTCTCCCGCATCCCGCCCAGCCAATCATAAGAAGCCCGGTCCTGGCAAGATCTTGGCGGGGAATGGTACAAACCAGCCAGCCAAACAACCGGTTTATGGGACGCCCTGCAATACACTGAAATCTTGGGCTGTTGGACAAAAACAAAGCAGGCAACAGCAAGATAAAATACAGCGGAATGATGGCATATCCCTGTCGATCAGCCGGACAGTTTGGCGCTAGTGTCACCTCCAGCTTCGGCTACACTCGCAGCGGACCCAATCAGTGCCCCTTCCAGCCCCCGATACAGTAAGGGCATGCACATCGCAGTCTTAATCGCCTGCAGTGGCAGTAATGATAGTCCTTCTGCTGAATGATCCCCCCCATAACAGATAAATAAATAATACTACTTATCTCTGCCCGTCCCCTTCACTTCCCTTTCGCCGTCTTCAATCCCCTCCTCTTCGTCTCTCCGACACCCTTTCACCATGTTATCCTCCTTCCTTAGCCAGGGAGCAGCCGTATCCCTCGCGTTATTGTCGCTGCTCCCTTCGCCTGTAGCCGCGGAGATCTTCGAGAAGTTGTCCGGCGTACCCAATGGTGAATTACAAACATCAACGCATCATCCCGAACCATATACTAACGCGACTTCTTCGATTACTACCAGGCTGGAGATACGCCAACAATCCTCATGGCAACGAGGTCATTCGTCTTCAAATAGCCCTTCAGCAGCACGATGTTGCTGGTTTCGAACAAGCTGTAATGGACATGTCCACACCCGGTCACGCCGACTATGGAAAGCATTTCAGCACACATGATGAGATGAAGCGCATGCTGCTCCCCAGCGACACTGCCGTCGACTCAGTTCGCGACTGGCTGGAATCCGCCGGAGTCCACAATATCCAGGTCGACGCCGACTGGGTCAAGTTCCATACCACCGTCAACAAGGCCAATGCCCTGCTGGATGCCGACTTCAAGTGGTATGTCAGCGAGGCCAAGCACATTCGTCGTCTGCGCACCCTGCAATACTCCATCCCCGACGCCCTGGTCTCGCACATCAACATGATCCAGCCCACCACTCGCTTTGGCCAGATCCAGCCGAACCGTGCCACCATGCGCAGCAAGCCCAAGCACGCCGACGAGACATTCCTGACCGCAGCCACCTTGGCCCAGAACACCTCCCACTGCGACTCCATCATCACACCGCACTGTCTGAAGCAGCTCTACAACATCGGTGACTACCAGGCCGATCCCAAGTCCGGTAGCAAGGTCGGCTTCGCCAGTTACCTTGAAGAATACGCCCGGTATGCCGATCTCGAAAAATTCGAGCAGCACCTGGCTCCCAACGCCATCGGCCAGAACTTCAGCGTCGTTCAATTCAACGGCGGCCTCAACGACCAGCTTTCATCGAGCGACAGCGGCGAAGCCAACCTCGACCTGCAGTACATCCTCGGCGTCAGCGCCCCCCTCCCAATCACTGAATACAGCACTGGCGGACGCGGCGAACTAGTCCCCGACCTGAGCTCCCCTGACCCCAACGACAACAGCAACGAGCCCTACCTCGACTTCCTCCAGGGAATCCTCAAGCTCAACAATTCCGACCTCCCCCAAGTCATCTCTACCTCCTACGGTGAAGATGAACAGGTAGGTCCCCTTTCATACCCCAAAACTACCCCAACTAACCACCCCTACCACTCAGACCATCCCCGTCCCCTACGCCCGCACGGTCTGCAACCTCTACGCCCAACTCGGCAGCCGCGGCGTCTCCGTGATCTTCTCGAGCGGCGACTCCGGCGTCGGCGCCGCCTGCCTCACCAACGACGGCACCAACCGCACCCACTTCCCCCCTCAGTTCCCGGCCTCCTGCCCCTGGGTAACCTCCGTGGGTGCCACCTCCAAAACCTCCCCTGAACAAGCCGTCTCCTTCTCCTCAGGAGGCTTCTCCGACCTCTGGCCCCGCCCCTCCTACCAACACGCCGCCGTGCAAACCTACCTCACCCAGCACCTGGGCAACAAGTTCTCAGGCTTCTTCAACGCCTCGGGCCGCGCCTTCCCCGACGTCGCCGCGCAGGGCGTCAACTACGCCGTCTACGACAAGGGCATGCTGGGCCAGTACGATGGAACCAGTTGCTCCGCGCCGACGTTCAGTGGTGTCATTGCCTTGCTAAATGATGCGAGACTGAGAGCTGGTCTGCCCGTTATGGGATTCTTGAATCCGTTCCTCTATGGAGTTGGTAGTGAGAGTGGCGCGTTGAATGATATTGTCAACGGCGGGAGCGTGGGTTGTGATGGTAGGAATCGGTTTGGAGGCACGCCCAATGGAAGTCCCGTTGTGCCGTTTGCTAGTTGGAATGCAACCACGGGGTGGGATCCGGTTTCTGGGCTGGGAACACCGGATTTTGCGAAGTTGAGGGGCGTGGCGTTGGGTGAAGCGAAGGAATATGGTAATTAAGAGTGAAATGGGGGAAAGGGATTTTCTTTTCGTTGTGAATATTAGGTCAATTGTGTGGATATCTTTCATACATAATTAGTTTTTTGAAACTGATAATCTAGAAGAATTGTTTCATGGGTGTGGTTTGCTTATGTGAGCTGGTTGTAGTGTATAACGAATAATCAATTGAGTGGAGGGTATTAATGAACTAGAATTATATACAAAGGTTAACCCATGCAGTCGTAACCCATAATGCAAAGCTCTATTCTATCTGTATCGGTAGCAGATAAAAGTGTATGCAGTGTGTATCTGTCAATGACGCAATCAAGCGGGCACACCACCAGTGCCAAACAGCTCCATCTTGATGCGATCCGCGCTCACTCCCTCGGCAGCCAGCTTGCCCTTCACGTCCAGCATGAACGACTCGGGACCACACACGTAGTACTGCGTTGTGGCATCATCCAGGAACAAGTCCTTCTTGGAATCCAGCTTGCTCAGGTCCAGGCGACCGGCAAAGTCGTAGTCTTCACTCTGCTTGTCCTCGGCAGCTGGGTGACTAGTGAAGAAGAATGCCTGCAAGTTGGGCACCTTGGTGGCCAGCTCGCGGATCTGGGGCTTGAAGGCACGGGCGGCGGAGGTGCGAGCGCCGTGAATGAAGGAGATTTTGCGCTGTGTCTCAGACTCGGTCTCAAGGATCGTGTTCAGGATCGAGGTGAGCGGGGTCAGACCCACACCGGCTGCCAAGAGAACGATGGGGCTGGAGCTCTGCTTCTCCGCATCTGACAGGAAGAAGTCACCCTGGGGGTGCGACACCTTGATGATGTCGCCTTCCTTCTTGAGATCGTGCAGGATGTTAGACATGAGGCCAGGGTGGGCTTCAGCACCCGGCTCGGTGGCATTAAGGCCAGCCTCCTTCTTCACAGAGATCCGGTAGTAGTCGGAGCGGGGCTTGTCACTGAGAGAGTATTGTCTGGCTTGAGGGTGGTTGAGTTGGGGGACGAAGAGCTGAATGGAGATGTATTGTCCGGGACGGAAAGAGGGGAGGGGCTTGCCATCGACAGGCTCGAGGTAGAAGGA